ATCAGTAATGAGTTAGAAACCCAGGGAACACCGTTTGTGCGCGTAGGATTATGCATGACAACGTTGGTCCCAAGCAGAATCAAATTTTCTCAAAATAAAAACGCGTGACAACGATGGGCCACGAAGCGGCCCATCGTTGTCAACCTTTTTATTTCATTTTTATTCACGTTTATTTTTTTAAATTTTTTTTTTTTCGTTATTCTGTTTTTATTTTTATTTCAAATTTTTTTTTTGCAATTTTTTTTATGTTTTTTCACAACTATTTTTTTTATTTTACTTTTATTTTAAGTTTTTCATTTCATTTTTTATTTTTTTTTTCACTTTTACGCGTGACAACGATGGGCCACCATAGTCATGTGACGTCATAATGGCGTACTGTGACTTAGGCAGAAATGTGTCTATGACTTGGGGTCATACGCAATTTTGCAACTTGACTATATGCACCAGTCCTGAAAACCAAACAATCCAAAAACGAATGTAATTCTTAGTATCTACGATGTCTAATCCCCTAAATAGCTAATTTGTTTCAATTACATTATTTTTTATGTTTAAAAATATATATTTCATTAATATAACACACTCTGCACACCCACCGAAATAAGACTAAGATTAAATATAAAGAATAAAACAGCAATGTACCCCTATATAGTAGTAAACCAAGGTGAATTGGATTCAGACAGTGAATATCACAAGTGCGCGCCCCCCTATACTGTAGTATAAATTCAAATTTATAAGCGCTAAGTTAGAATCTGAGATGACAAAACTCGAAATACCTTCGCCGAGGTTATTTCGCCTTTGTGACGTCACAATAGTCCGGCGTTAACAATGACAATTCCTTATGACGAAACGATTGAACGAATTTGCATGTCATACAAAATCTCCATTTTTATGGGTTTCGGAATTCCTAAAATAAAATCTGAGTTAACAGACAGATCCGCAGCATTACATAAATACCTATTTTATAAAAAACTCGAAACCGCCAAAAAGACTTACGCAATTCGGTTATTAGCTCGACGATATGGCGTTTCATTCGGTTTTCAATTCTTATGAATTAATTAAGAGTAACATACTTTGAATATCTTAATATCATATACCTTTGAGATTTGTAGTATTGAAAATTTGTGGTTAGCATCCCTTTTTCGCTTAATAGATTTCGTTTGAATTAAAATGCTTTCAAAAAGTAGATTCGAGCGAGTCATACTTTTATTCATTTACAATGCCGTCAAATAGAACGGTGAAATAATAAGCTCGTTTAAACAAAGATTGTATTTAAAGCGTTATTTTTTCAAAAAAGCCCTGAAATGGCATAAACTTAAAAAAGCGTTTTATCTTCCCAACATGGGACAAATATATCGACCAACTAGGTCACAACGCGCTTATTCTGCTCGACATGGGAAAAATATATAGACCAACTAGGTCGACCAAATCGTAACAATGAGATAATGCGAAAGTATTTTAGCGTAGCGAAGTAAATTGAATTGAAAATATGTTTTAACCATTCAAATCAAATAAAAAGACGCCATCTTTCTGTAATTCTACTTTACAACCTTTACCCTTTCTATAACCTATTCTTTATTTCAATGTCTTGTCTCATTGTAGATCATATACATGTAAATGTTTTTTACTTATATCATTAATTTTAGCATTGTGTATTGTATTTTGCGATATATTTCCACTATATTAGAGGGTGCCAAATCTTTAAACTTCCAGTTAGTAAGATGGGGGAATAATATAGCAATAACCCTCATGAGTTTACCTAATTTTCGGAGTTTTACCCTCATTTAATATTAAAAATATGATAACAAAGTTAATTTTTCTCAAAATTCAAACAAAGACAGGTCTGCGACAGTCCACGAATTAGCAATATCCATTATATTCGCTATAATGGTACATACAATATGGTAATGTGACTTACGTATGGTAAGCCTATTGTGGAGGCTAATTATATGCTAAAGCAGCGTTTCCCAAACTGTGTTCCGCGGAACACTAGTGTTCCGCGAGCGTCTTACGAGCGTTCCGTGGAAAAGGAATAAAAAATACGTCTAAATTGATCGCCACGACGATCTAGCGATCGAGAAGTTGGTGCCCAACTGACCGTTCGATTTCGCATCACCGTCGGCCTAAAGCGGACTAACTAAGGTAGGGTAGTGGCATTGTCATTAACCGTCGGCCTAGCTTTTTGACTGCGAAGTTCATTATCAAGTTTACAGCAATCCATTCGCTATGGGCAAACAAGTAGGTCTAAAGAGTAAAGGCAAAAGGTCAACTCTTCTTCCTCCATCTCTGCCTGGTTCTACTTTGAAATGTTAAAATGTTCGCTAAACTCGCTTTAGCAGATAACAAAAACTACAGGTCTCCAGCTCGCGAAATTGCAGCAAGTGCTTCTTGCTCCATTAGACGTAACATTAGAGGCAAACACTACGTAATGGAAAGAAATAGACATAGAAAGGTAAAGTGAATTTATTGATTCATATACACAGCATAAGAAACAATAAAACATTTATGAAGAAAAAGAATGCAATATCTGAAATATTCAATCATATTGTAGGTATGTTTAACACAATTCTGTTAGTTTTTGCGGCGAATCCATTGGGAACCGTTACACTACATCTTTTCTTTTTTCAATTTCACCCTTTCATTTTCTGGTGGCGAGGCGAGATAAAAAGTGTAAGTGTTCCGTGGGCGAAAAAGTTTGGGAAACGCTGTGCTAAAGGATTGTTGGACTCTACACCGTCGAAGGATGGTTCACGTAACCGCAGGTCGGTTACGGATTCTTCCGTCATCAAGTTTATGCATCTGAAACAAATAACTGATTAACTATTTCCATACATGCACTGGTAACCGGAAGAGAGGATGTGATTCGCTATATATCTCCTCTGTGTTAGATAAAAATTTTCTATGCTATCCTGCCCACAAAAGACCAAGTTTAAACAAATCTAAATCGCTATAATGGTACATACAATATGGTAATGTGACTTACGTATGGTAAGCCTATCGTGGAGGCTAATTATATGCTAAAGGATTGTTGGACTCTACACCGTCGAAGGATGGTTCACGTAACCGCAGGTCGGTTACGGATTCTTCTGTCATCAAGTTTATGCATCTGAAACAAATAACTGATTAACTATTTCTATACCCGTCATTCACTGGTAACCGGAAGAGAGGATGTGATTCGCTATATATCTCCTCTGTGTTAGATAAAAATTTTCAATGCTATCCTGCCCACAAAAGACCAAATTTAAACAAATCTAAAAAGTAGTGCTTCTTCCAAAAATTTCGAGATATCCATTTGGTTATCTCGTAGTTAGAAAAAGGAAGAGTCGGAATCGAATGTTTTTGACAGTGAGTCTAAATTTTTGTCAACCTGGATTCGGAGTCGTTTTGTCTTGACTGATCAGGAGCCATCTGACTGTACAGCCCTGATCAATAGTTTCAACAAGCCGGTTCACTTTGTTGAAATGCGATGTTTTACATAATTGTTACCGTTATAAAGTCGATGCAACAGGGGTTGACATATTTCAAAACAATTATTATAATATCCTCGAGATAAGAATCTCAGCGTAGAACCTTGTTCGCGGGGATCACAATTTTTTTATGCTGAAAACGAGCCATTCATAGAAGGAACATGTTGGAACACAGTATTAAAACATCACGCCATGCTTGGATTCTAATAACTCGTCAACTTATGAATTGTTCGTTCATAATTAAATCACTTTACAACGTTACCCATGGGAACAAACCAATACATTAAAATATCCTGTCGGCGTAAATAACTGAGCGCAATTAGCAAAGGTAATGCATTTGTGGTTAGGTGAACATTACAGTATTTGGGGAAAAACGAAAATGTGCAAACGTTGACCTTGAGTGCATTTTTGTAAAACTATAATTAAAATCCGATAATGCAACAACGAATGGAAGCATTGAAAATTAAATTAAAATAATGCAAATGGGATACACATATATAATGGTGATTAAAGAGTCAAACTTACAGAGAATCATATTTAGTAGTACGTGACAGATATGTAATTTTTACTACCTGAGAAGTGATTTATCCCACCAGCTGTGAGAAATTGCAATTTCACTATTGACACCCACTTTGATTTTATGATAAGATGTTGTGTTTTGTACATTACAAATTGTATTAGTACTGAAATAAAGAAAATAATCTTACGATTTTAAATTATTGAACATATATGATTGATAGCAAATTCGGAACGATATCTAAGTGGTAACTTGTCGAACGAACGAGTTCCAATTAAGCAAACTGCGAGGAAATTTTTACAACTAAAGAATAGATGATACCTTCATTCACATTCTTATTTGAAACATTGGCTAAATCAAGCATGAAACTCTTACATAGAACACACAATAACCAATGCACGATATAGGAAATGGTATAATATGCATGATGAACAAATAGAATGACCCTTTGAATTTAAAATGAACTTCTAATTTACTCACTTCAATAAAAGCAGACTGACTGAATCACGAATGAATTTGGCGATGAGAATGAAATGAAATTTTAGGTAATTTTTAATTAATAGTAACAAGCTTAATATATCAAAGACATTACTATTTCAATATATATGATCGTGCTGCCGACTTCAAAAATATTATTATTTTTCGTTATGGTTTAATTCTTTAAATATTAACATGCGATTGATCGGCATCTTTGAAGTTTGAACTGTAAAAATTGACAAAACTGACGCCAGCGTGAAACTTCGTACTTGAGCCAAACGGAGAGGTAGTGAGGGTGCTACGTCTTTAGTACCAACGAACCGAAGGGCCTACGTAGTTACAATTAAAAACTGCGAATTGCAATATGAAACGTAGATCGCGCTGCGAATTCTCCACGGGATTCGGAAGACTGTTGGGAAAAAGAAGTCGACGGTTTTTCATTGAGACATATAGCAATAAATAGCGATGACATAAACTGCTTTGTGATATATTCAATATATGTTCTGGAAAGAATGTCATTTGCTCATTGGAGAAGTTGAGAAGGTTCTATTACCGCTTAGCGAAATCAATTAACACCATGGAACTAAGTGTAATGTGTTCGTTCGATATCGAATTCTTTCACTTACCGGCGTCAAGTTGAGGCATTTTGATTAATCTTGAGCTTACATTTCTCTGATTCAATAATTGAATTTTATTTAGGGCTATGTACTTCTAAGCTAAAATCGCTAGTGAACAACAGCAGGAATATGCAGAAGAGGTGAAAGCTTTCAGTCTATATATTACCTTTATATCAGTCGAGTTTTGTTATTAGGAGCTGGGCAATATCTCTGGCATTTTCTGACAGAAATAACTAAAATTTTGATTTGTTTTGTTTCATATCCAGTCAGTCAAAAAATTTGCATTCCTATAATTTGTAATATTTATATGACATCACCATGCCAAGTCTGATGGCCTCATCAAGCATCACGGGAAACGTACTTACATCATCACCTTCCGAGGGCCAAACACAAGAAGTTATCATTTCCAGGGACGTATTTGTTAGTTCTCCTGTATGCTCAGACTCCGATGAATCATTCCGACAAAGTCCGGATAGACTAAACGAATTTGCAAACAGTTTCATCAATACTTCTGACTCGGGTATCGGAGCTGAGTTTTGCCTGGATGACATTACCAGCACTGCGGGAATAGAAAGCTTATGTTACAGTACCGGCAGCGAATATCATAATGTAAACTTGAACAGCCATCATCAACAAGATTTACTGTTTTCACCTACCGGTATACTAGATTTGAAATTGAATAATGAAAACACAAACCATACAACTGAAGATGAATGGAAGGCATGTGATATTTTCGATACATCAGTAAACTTCTCGGACAAAATTGATTCAACTCATCCCGGGATAAAACTGGAATACGGAGCATCCGATTATCTTGATCTGAACGACGTTGAAGAATTCCAACTTGATCTTGAAAACTCAATTGCTGATGCCTCCTTGAAAAACAGCAGCACGTTTGCGTTTTCACAGCGCAATGAGATTGATAATTCTTTATCAGATGGCAACCAAATCCTAAATCTTTCAATATTGGAGCCAACTTTCACGGAAGAAGGAGGTCACAAGGAAATTATTCAGCCTATATTTCCATTCGTGGCAAATCAACAGGTTTCCATAATTTCCCCAGAAACTAGTGGCGTAGCAGAAAGTATTTTGGCACAGAGTGTGCAATGTGCGACCGTATTCCAAAATGGTACCAGGACAAGCATAGCACCAGAAACGGAAAACGTTATGTTGAACCCAAGCGATTTATCTTCTCTTGCAGAATTTCTGATGGTTGCACCCGAAAATAACAGTATTCTAAAGTCACCAGCTCGTCTTGCTCCATGCTCTACTTTACTTCCTGGCTCAAAGATTGCTACGTTGGCGTCGAGAGAACAAAATTTTGTTCCCACGAGTAATCTTTCTACAAGCAATATACACCAATTCCAGTCAGATTCATCAATTTTAACAAGTGCCTTCAAAATTGCAAACGTTGAGCAAACTTGCATAAACAACACCATCAATTACGTAAATCCAGTGAACTACCGCTTGAATTCGAACACTTTGGTACCATCGGGCGATGGATTTCTTCAAGCATCAGATCCAGTCACCGAATTATCGCAAGTTTCGATCGGGAACATGTTGAATACCAATGCCGATATCACAACTGATAATATAGATACGGAGTTTCTAACAAGTTCAGGAAGCCATACGTGTCATCCTAACGGACAACAATGTCTCGTATGGGCCTGTAAAGCATGCAAAAGAAAGACCGGACCTCATGACAGGTAATTATTATCAAAATAAAGTAAAAGAATGATACTTCAAGCAATATGTCCTAATTTATATTTCTTCTACAGGCGACGAGCTGCTACCTTGCGAGAGCGCAGAAGGCTAAAAAGAGTAAACGAAGCTTACGAAACTTTGAAGCGATGTGCTTGTACCAACCCAAACCAAAGATTACCAAAAGTAGAAATCTTACGCAATGCTATAACATACATTGACAATCTGCAGAGAATGTTATACGAATCTAAAAAAGGAAACAATGAAAACAAATGGCACGAAAACGACGCCTCTATTATCCCACGTAAACGATTCTTAGATTCGGAAGACGGTAGTGACGAAGAAAATCAATCCTCAAAACGAATGTGCCTAGATATTATGATGCCTACGAAAGTAAACGATTCAAAATTAATTGAGGAATTTTTGTCTCCAATCGCTGCGTCTTCAATGAAACAAGAGCAAATGAGTGATGTTTCAATGGTGCCATTCATTACAATCCCATCACAAGAGAATTCTGACCTAACCTCTTCAACTGTCACAATTGCATGAATGTCACATTGTCGACAATCGACATATTACGTTATATTCATACATATACATATACGTTATCTTCTTCTTGGGTATATTTTTATTCTGTTTGTATTATTGTATGTATGCCAATATGCCAGACGAAAACTTAAATATCGCTATGTAGGAAATTCTGCGTGCCTTCCTTAATTTAATAAGTGACATGAATAGTGTCTTTGCTGCGTAAAATTAGATTTTTGCATCAAGCATGAGCAGAGTACGTAAACGCTCTATCCGTGGCATACATTACGAATATGAAATTTAGATAATTGTATTATGATTCATAGAATACACGCTACGGATGTTTGAATACTATATGATGCCTTGATATTTTATTATTATTTATTTACTTGCCTTTGTTGAAATAGTTTAATTTACCTTTTTATTTCGCAATATTGTTGATTTTTCTAACTGCCAATGAACGAGTTCTACTGCTGATTATTTGATTGCTTGTTATTTATAATTGATGATTTAATGAAATACCAAAAATTTGTGCCTATACACCTTCAATGTTGATGTAATTTTCTATACGTACATGTATATATAACGATAAAAGCAGAGGCGAAATGTGGCAGACATCGTGTGTATGTATGATAAGAAATATTAGCCCTCCATCGTCAGTAATTTGTTCGTAATCTAGAATCTTTATTTGATGCCGAGATGTGAATGTACGATTCACAAAAAGTAACACCTTAGTTTATATTGAAAAAGGTTCCGGAGAAACAGGCAACCGATGACGACGTATCGCCGAAAACGCGAATTAGTCAATATTTAAACTAATGAACATAGACAACCTCGTGGGTAAAAATTGCATTTTCAGTTTATTCAAGTACTAGAATTATTCTCTTTCCTGCACAACCCAAATTGAATTATTCATCCACAAAGACCACACTATGTTGCTTCCGATGTCATACAGATTGTTGAGCTAGCCCTCGCGCAGCTAGCTTATAGAAATCCTTCTTTCACGTCGACGTCGCTTTAGAGTCATGAGGCAATAAAAACAATAACAACAGAAATGGGATTCATAGGTTTCCAATAGAATAGTAAACAATAATATTCTTTGTTATTGAAACTTTTTATTCAAATTCGGAAATTGTACATGAAGTATTCTCTGCGGGACCGCAGCAGTAACGTTCTGCTTTTGATGCTTTCGTTTATCTCAGCATGTATACATATAGCGTATGCTTATTTTAAACCATTGTGGATACATTGTTTTGATGAAACATCAGACAATCAGATGAAAGGCTACCTCAATTGAATACGGTCATTTCTTCGTGAACCCGCGGTGTTTTATTAGTTGCATTAATAAAAGGACAAAATAAGAGTCGTTTAACGATGTCATTGTGAACATTCATGAAACATGCTGGAATTGCATATTTTGAAGCGTGACTTCTTTTCTTTTCGGATATTACTAGTAAAACCAAATTCTCAACGTACGAAGCTTCTCTTTTATTTCTTATAAAGACATGTGGTATAAATTTGTACTGGACAATGTTTGAGTGTTTCAAATATCCTTATAAAAGTTTTATTATACTGTCGACAAGGAAAACATGTTAAGCTTCTTGCACTCTTTGTTGAGCCCGGCAATCGATTTTTATCTTTTATTTTATATTTTATTTTAATATTTTATTCTATTTATAATGATAGATAACAACTTGCTAAAAGTGTATCACACAGAGTCCCTAAAATTATTTTTGTTAAAAATACGGAAATTCATTTTGCATACGCAAAGAAATTAAGAGTCTTCGATGATGCTGGTCATGCTTGACACGTGGAAGGGAATTATATGTACCACGCTTGTTAATGGGAATGATTTCAATAAATCACAATCAATTGTTCTTCACTCATTTTTGTTTGTACTGTTTGGCACGTGCTTAACTGTGAACAGCTGTCAATGAAAGTTTTTATTCCCAAACGCTCGCGCATGTTCCCAAGTTGCGATAATTCGAACCTTTCCCCAAAGACGTAATTCGACAGTATTATTCCGGCATTTAATATGGAGACATTAAATTTTCATTCACGTCTGGCTAGCAAAACGAACCTTTTGGAAGAACTACGTTAAAAATAAATTATCTTTATTTTCATATTGTTGGCCTTATATCGGATTTGGGCTCAAGTTCAAATCACCAAACATAAATTCTTGGTGCTGGTGGAGTGCAGGTTTACTTTCCGAAATGTGGGCCGTTTTTTTACCATGAATCCCGATCACATGTTATTGTGCGCTTCCCATTAAATTCAAGTTTTTCACAAAATCTCATCAGTTTTGCAAGATAATAGTAATCATCATAATAGAGTGCTTAAAGATTATCGAAGGGATAAGAACCTGAATTATATTCGGTAAATTAATTTCAATTCAAATCAGATTTTTGATTTGTTAATTAAAAAATATATTGAGATTTTCAGCCAGTTGTCGGTTTTTAAGATTTTTTAAAAGACAACCATAAATGGCAACCGAAACTTTGTTTTGTTTATGTTGTTTTCATACAGATGACTTTTGATCAAAATATGACGCGCCCGAGTTTCCTGTCTCAGTCATGCAACTGGTAAGACGACCAGGGCGGGTCACTCCGGTGCTTTTCAATTTCATGTACATTTGATTGAATATTTAATGCAATTTGCATAAAATTGCGTAGGTGACATTAAAACAAATAGCAATTACGAATTTGACACAAAAAATCTAAATTCCCTTGAGATATATTGTTATTTGCCGTTTAAACCCCATAGACTATTATGGCGCCGGAATGTCTTCTGTGCCGACCACTAAATTACTTTTCGATTTTTAGTCTCATATCCAACATTACCAACCCATAATCTCACATTGATTATCAGTGATTCACGTATAATCAAGCATGGTTTCAAAATTTGATGCTGACGTCATGGTTAGATAAAAATTTTAACGTTTGCTAAAGAATGCGTATTCGTGGATGAAAAATACTTCAAATCTCAAGAGACTGTATGATATTAAATATATTCTGAGATTTTACTGCCTTCTTTTTTCGGATATTACTGTGTTCGACAAAATGTGTTCCTTGTCAATTGCCAAGGTAGAAAATATCAACTGCTCCTCGATGGATCTGATTTTGCAACTGGATAAAATGTTTTAAAATTTTATCACGTGGATATCCTGGTTCCCAATAACCAGCAAGATAAAGGACCATTTAAACCCACTGAATTAGAGAGACACGCTCCAATATAGTTCAGAAGCGTATATTTGTCACTGACATTGCTTTTATTCGGTTTTTCTGGCCTAAAACAGCGCATGTAAGTTAGCGTTAAATCAAGTCAATAATACTCAAAAATTCAAACTGAATTTGTAGTAAAGTCATTGTAATAATTATACGTAGAGATATTTTCCTCCGCTTTCTTACCGAATATATTAGATGTATATATATATATATTCATTTTTCAATCGGTCGGCAATCGCTCGAGAAGAAATTAAGATATTTCATTTACCGACACCGAATCGATAGGTTCACTTTGTTTGTTGACCACCAACAATTCGCCGAAATTGATGGAAAAGGATATGGCAAGTTTTTTTCAAAATACTGTAGGTAAAATTGATGACTGTCAATAACATCAGGATTAACGTAGGCTTTGATGACTACGAAATTACATTGGGGTTTCGATATTCAGCCCTGTTTCCCTGTTTTTAAACAGGGGGTCTGTTCCTCTTGAATTTTTTTATTGACATATCGAAAATATCACTGAAAGCTACATATATATAAACGAGTCCTGGTTCTAGTAGAGTCTATATTTACAAATATATTCATTAAAACAAGTGACAACTCGCAATCTTAGATCCTTATATTCGGACCTATCTAACGTGTGGCCTCGCATACATGATCACTTTTCCTCTATTTCGCCACTGTCTTAAAATAGTCGAACATACATTGAACTTGGGCAATATAATCTATAAGTCTTACAACGATATGTTCCATTTCAACAAATTCCGCGGGAAGCATGAAAACTCAACATAACGCTGACGTAACACAATTGAGGTAGCGAAATTATAGCCATTTGCTTAGCATAAAATTATCCAGTCATTTTCTTTTCGCGTGTGCAGACCAGAACTGTGTCATATAGCATTGTACTAATACTATATCACGCACTAAACAGTAAATGAAAAGAATTCCAACACAAGCGCAACCACAAAAGCTCGCCACATTCTCCTCGATTTGGCAACTATGAAAAATATCGCCGAACTGCATGCCGAGAGAAATGTTTAGTTTGATTATGGGTGGCCGGTTTCCATCGTGTATTATCAACCTGGGAGAGAAGATGTTCGTGCTAGTCGATACATTTTGTCCTAACGTATTTGGTACAATAAAAAGTGTAGTCAGTACAAAACTGGTAAAAAATGTGACGAAATAAATATTTCTGGACCAATTCATTCTGAACTTCTGTCAACTGGTACTGCAATTATGGTATTTTCCGTATTCATGTATGTGTATGTTCTTCATTTGCTCACCAGCAGCTCTACATACCTCAAAAAGTAATGATGTACAAGTGAAATTTGCCATTATTCGGTATAATTGGAAATGTTGGAAAAGGTCATTTCTAAAAATATAGCAAGATTCGAAGGTCATAGATATATCTGCAATATACAATGAACACAATTACAATGAATTCATTACATGTATAGTTTTAGCACCACAGTCCTCCAGTAACTTCCAAGTTAGCGCCGTTCATGTAGGAACTTTCTTCGGAAGCAAGAAAAAGACAAGCATTTGCTACTTCGTCTGGTTTGCCAAATCTACTCATTGGTATAATTTTAAGAAGTATACTTTTAATCCCATCCCCAACGGTATCCAACATTGGAGTATCAATGGAGCCTGGCAGCACTACGTTACAACGAACTTTATGTTTCTCGTATTCCATTGCTAAGGTTTTAGTTAATCCTACTACTCCAAATTTTGAGCTGCTATACGGCGCTATTTTTGCATTTCCTTTTATTCCATCAATGGTTGATATATTTACAATAGATCCCTTCGAACCGGACACTTCTGAATTCTCAAGCGAGTTAATGAACTCTTTGCAGGGAAGAAAGGTACCTTTCAAATTCAACTGTACGACGTCATCAAACAATTTTTCAGTTACATCACCAATAGGTTTTAATCCACAAAACATTCCTGCGCTGTTGACTAGAATTGTAACTTTTTTTCCCAATTTTTCTTCAGCAATTTTAAAACATTTTGCGACGTCCTTTGCTACGGTGACGTCTGCTTTGATGGTACAGTGAACATTGTTGTTGTTACGTGTCAACAAGCTGAGAACCTCTTCCATCCCTTGAACATCAATATCTACTATTGCAACACTTGCGCCTTCCTCGGCAAACTTTTGACAAATTGCGCGACCCAGCCCGTTAGCGCCACCGGTGACGACGGCGGCTTTACCAGTAAGTCTCTGTAGAGACATTTTAGCCTGCTTTGAATAAGATATATAACGATGGAAACAATAGAACTATAATGCTGTAAAAGAAATCCGTGATTTGATGACCGATGAAAAACTTAATTTTTTAATGACAGAATAAGGTCGAAAACTTTGAAGTAAGTAATTTGAATGCATTCCAGTTTTCAAGTTAAATCTTGGGAAAATATGGATTTCACTTTCACAAAACTTTGACTATTTTTTATTTGACAATCACACATTGGGTTATGTTTGCCTAATTAGTAGGCTACGAGATTTCATGATATTTATATATAGAACTCGTTCAGAGGACCGTCGTCGAACCCCTGGAACAGCTCAGGTTAAGAAGCACTGCTCTAACGTCTCATCTGGATGAAGAATGTATTGAATATTTGACAGGGCTATGATGAAGGTAGTCTGTAGTCAAATGTTTCTTCATGGGAAGTGCAATATATTAGCTTCAACACATCGGAATTGGAGACAATAAACGTGAGATCTCTCGAAATCAAGTTATATATATCTGTGGTGGGCAACTTGCGCCCCACGGGTCAAATGCGACTCACAAAAAATAGTTTTGCCGCCCGCGAAGAAGTGCCAATTTTGAACGCTGTGCGGCCTGCGAAACGAGTTTTTAATTCAGTGTAATCTGGTAAGTGCGAGAAATTTCCACCCTTTTGCGCTGCACGGCTTATACTTGAGTCCAATTTATCATCTATATGTATAAAACGTTACAATGCCCTAACAGCTAGCTTGTGCGAAGCGAAGAACGCATGTCATAAGATCCGTGAAAGTATGAATCAGTTCACAAAAATTTTGGAAAATATCCACAAGACTACTGGTTCTTTTGTAGTCATTTGCAAAAATGATTTATTTATGTGGATGAAAATAGAAGCACAAATTATCAAACCATAATTCTACTTCTTATTTAGAGCAATAAAAACCGAAAAAAATCTATTCATACGCTAGAGCAGTAATCTATATCTTGACTAAGCCGCTGCAAAATTAAGAAACCTGAAAAATATCATTGCCCATACAGAAGCTGCCAAGAAGTACTTGCTAATACTAATCTGTATCAATATGCTCTGTGAGTGACGGAATGTTGACCATTATGTTTGCTAGATAAATAAACTTCTTTGCGTTAATCATTAAACGCAAGAGATTTCATAACTGCTTAGTATGTGGTATAATTGTCAACTTGTATAACTGAAGAACAGCTGAGAATTACGCACCAATTTATTGAATATTACCTGTCGTACAGAGACTCTTTCTCATTCCTATGTGATACTGTTGGAACCTTGACGAGAGGTCGTTGGCTAATGATGCCAGATGAAACAAATATATATCACATTACGCTTTAAAATGTTTTTGTATGACCAACCCCTGCATTAGGAAGATCAATATTGAAAACGTTCCGACTAGCATTTAGTCTTCATGAACCGGGCTGGTAAAGTTTTAGTCAGCTATATACAAAATTAGGCAATTTTTTGCTATTCTTTCATAAATACAATAACAATTATATATATATATTATAAATCATAGAAACCAGGAGTATAACAATTTGTAAAATTCGGAAATAAATTCTTCGCATGTAAAGGTAAGTTTTTCCAGTAAAAACTGTTGGAAGAAAAATATAGAACAGCGACGAAGTGACAAATCACAAGCAAACATGTAGTTATAACATCTTGTTAAAATGTCAGAATGTGTAATCTATTCTGATTTCTGACTTGAAGCTTATTTTTGAACAGAACTCACCTTCCTGATTCCACACTTTGACTTGATGTTTGATGACTACTTCTACTAACAAAAAGGTACTCCCGTAGCATATTTTAGGGTTAGGCCATAATTTTATTCCGATTATCCACAAGCTTTCCGGTTGAACTGAGAATATTTTAGTATTACGAGTTCGGGGACTGTCTGTGTTAGCCAAGTGCATATGTAGGTCGGAGTAAGTCGGACCCCCGGGATATGATGGACAGGCAAAATAAAATCCTTCTAAAAGGAACACCTCGCGCTTTTCGTGCATCGCGTGAAAGAGCGACATCATTCGAACAACGACAGAACGAAAATTTTACATTTCAAGATCGGCAGCTTACAAAGTGGGGCTTTTTGCGAAAAGGGTGTTTCTTCTGGGAAAGAAAAACGTCAAATAATAGAGTCCCAACGTTGCGAAAAATAATTTTAGCCGGAAAACGTCTGCGAACTCGGATTTATTTTGTAAATTTGCTGAAATTAGATGCATAAGATTGAATAAATTCCTTAGTAGACTGTCAGTGCTCATTTTTGGGTAGGCAGGGTCACTCAAGAGGTAGAGTGGATTTTGAGTGGGGAAGGGGGAAGATTTTTTCAATATAGTTTGTTGGGAATGTCAATGGGCCGTCGTCATCGAGACTTGTTGATAATTTTTTCTTGGTACCAAGTACCCCTTTACAACACGGATAAAAAGCACTCTCATCGCCATATTTATACTGGGTCTCCTAGAAGTGGTGTCCGGCGTAAAATCTCATCTTACCCCATCCAATTTTTTTTACCCCACAGACGTTTAAAATACGTCCAAGGTATGCCAAGAAAGTAAAAAATAAATGCTTCTAAAGGTTTGTATAAATAAGACGTAAAAACTGCAGTTGAAAAAGTGCAAAAAATGTTGTTGTTTTTTAAAGCTGTTCAAACTCTTTTAAAAATTGCCCTGTAATGTCCTTTATGGGGAAAGACGGACACACTGGTTAATACGCAGGAAAAATGATCTGTTTAAACGAAATGTTGGCAGACCTGATCCTAAGGCATCTAGGCGTTGACCGAAATCTTACGAGACACCATCAAGTTATTTTGATGTATGTCCGTCTTGCCCACAAAATGTTCAACTTACCCCGAAATTTTTTTAGCTGAAGATCGCGCGTAAATTCCGATGTGCAAATGTGGCAAGATAGCTGGAGGGTGGGTGCATAAATCACACCTAGAACGAATGCAGCTGCGGCATTTCGTAAAGAGCTATTCAAAATAGATTATTAGTGGGTCCGACTTCCCCCCACAGATTTCAGTCCCTTTATACAACTTGATGTAAAGTAGAATAAGAAGAACTTAAGTAGGTAATTTGAACGCATATTTTCTAAAATGTCTGTTAGGGCTAGGCGTGTTTTCTCCATTCTTCTCTACTAAAAAATTAGCATAATTAGTAGTATTAGTAGTAATAGTAGTATAGTACTATTAGTATGATCATCTATTCTAAACATTCTTTTCTACTCCTCTCCGATTCCATTTATTGTAGTGGCGTATCTAGGGCGTGGCAGCCATGGCTCGTGCCATGAATGCCGTTTAAAAGAGGCGCAGAAAACCGAAAAGTTTCAATCGTAAAGTGTTTATGGATTTATTTGTGACTCTTCCACTTGAACTGTCTGTCCTGATTGTTGTGTATTGTCATTTATTTGTTCTTTCTTTTTTTGTTTAATTGTTTGAGTAGGACTCTTTACATGATGTCTTTTAGGAATATTTCCTTTTCCTGTTCCATAAATATTTATCACGTTATTGATTTGCTCAATTACTTTTGTGACACCCTCTCCTCTTAGATGAATCATGTCGGTTTCAAAATAGCTTTCGATGATTCTGTCCTCTGATATGCATTCTGGTGGATCTATGTATACAACTTTCGCCAATTAAACGATCCAAACATTTTTTTGTATTGTCATATGGCTTTGATGATATTTCATTTGTTCCTGCATAAATAACTACTCCTCGATATTTTTTTGATGTTTTTTGAGAGCAGTTTCCAAACTTACCTTCCTCTACATGAACAGCTTTCACTCTATTTTGATTAACCTTTGGCTTCATCCTTTTGACTTGTGAATCTCCAATGATTAGTATTTCTTTTTTCAGTCCCAAGTTTTTTGATGATGTACTGGTGTTCGATTCTACTGCATTCGTGTTTGGCTGTTTTGAAGAATTGGCATTTAGTGATTTTTGTCTTTTTAATTCTCTTCAATCTCTTTTATCACTTCATTATTACTTTGACGTGACCTTATTTAATTTGTTGAATTTCCTTTGTGACAGTTACATTTTCTAGATTTTCCTTGTTTGATATATATATATATTTTTTTTCAGACAATCCTTTTCGAGATGCGACTTTCCTTCACCATTGCTGTATCTGCATTTGCGTCTTGGACATTGTTAAACGTCATGTTCCACAGAATGACAGATATAGCACCAATCTTCGAATTTTTTTATGTTTCTTGGTCTAGTTGGGTAGTATACACATATTTCTCCGCCTGAATATTTACTTGGCAATCTTATTTTCGGAGGTATTTCATTTCGCAATATCATTTTACACCTTAAAACCCCCATTCTCCACTCCATCTTCATCCATCATATGTTTTATAGCTTTGATTTCTCCAAAATTTGAAAATAATGTTGACACTTTTTTATCTGACACTTCATCAGACATTTTACTTATATTTACGATAGTAACATCTGAAAAAACTTGTTCAATTTAGGCTTTGAATTCTGTTTCATTGTGTTTGTATGTTATTCCTTCGGTTAATGCATTTTGGAATGATTCTTCGTTTTTAAATTTTACTTGCCATACTTTATTATCGAGTATGTACATACTCTTCATGGTCTTTTGACAAATTTGGTTATATATTGAATCTTTAACCTGCTCTCTTTCAAGTCACCGGCTGTTGTTGAATTTCATATTTACCTTGTGCTTTAGTTCCACTCAATCATCATCGTCGTCTGCTTCGTCATTCATTATTGTACACCACTAACTACAGAACTATATTACAGTATTGGCCTACAATGCAACCTTAATGAACTTAAACAGCGAACTTAAAACACTTTCAGACCGACGTCAGAACAGCCACCAGCTAGATTTTACAGTGGTTCCCGACCTTTTTTATGTGGCGGCACACTATTGAGCTATTTAAATATTCGCGGCACCCCTATCACAAAACAGGAACATTTCCTACTCTTGAAGCCATTTAGCTATAAAATAATAAAAAAAACATAGAAGATCAGATAAGAGAAATTCTATTCTTGGTAATATAACATATCATGTATTTAAAATGAAGGGTTAATAGTTACCGATATTATAACTGTTTTCTTACAATAATGCACACGAGACCCACTTTCGGAGCATCTCACATTGTTGTAAGAGATGCGCGGCCGCAGGGGTAATACGTAAAGTTGTTATAAACAATTTTCACCGATGAACAAATCTTTCCACGTTATGAATCTCGTGCAAGGCCCGAGCACAATTTGATGGCAAATATCGTAGCATTTACCATGTCGAAACGCTCATTCGACTTTTCAGACCGCAGAAACTATCCGAAAAATAACCGTTTCTGTGTTCGAGATATGAAATAATCGTCAATCCCACCACGCTTTCGTAAAGTAGTGCAATTTACTAAAATTTAATGAAGGTTTTATTATTAAGTTTCATTACATCAGTGCTTGTGCTACCACGCGTTTTTCCTGATTACTGGCATGATTACAGATCGCAAAGATGGGCAAAATAGAATATTTTTATCGAATCGAATAATTCGAATATTTATAACGAATTGTCGAATATCGGATATTTTTAATACAAATACAATGGGCATCCAGAATGCTAGGCTTTCTAATGTTTGTGAGCTATTTCCGCCGTCCACTCTTTTTTACTAGGACTAATTCTCACGCAAAATTTGGTTTTATATTCCTGGGAGAACTATGCGTTCATATGGGCGACATATGTTAAAGACGGCTATTAAAGAGTGAATTCGGGATTTTATTCTGATTTTTATTTTTTACGCCGGTTTTGATCCTTCTCCCCAACGATTGTAAATTAACTGTCCCAATTTTAAGCTAACAAAATTATCATTTCCGACGTCGGAATGCGGATATTTATAAAGACGATAGTTGATCTTTTTATGATTTTACTTTCCTATTGTGTCTGTTTTATTTTCGTATTAAATGGTGAATGAAAACCCTGCAAAGTCATTGCGTGAATCTTGAATGTTATTTTGAGTTTGAATAATAATTAAATAAATAGGCAATAATGACAAGTCTGTTAGTCAAATAATGATTCCTTGGTCAAATGTGGGAAAAATTTCGCACAATAATTTGTTACCTTGGTTGACAATTTCTATTTTACGAAACGATGTTTGCGCGCATTATGAAAAACTTAGAAGTAAAAGAATACCTAAATACCCGAAATACGGCTCAAGTTTGTCGTTTCTGTTTGTTATCAAGAGCCGTGAGTAATTCTTGTGGAATTCAAGGGATTGGAAATTGAAATCACTTGAAATAAATTCAAAAATGAAATCTCTTCGCGGCACACCAAAATTTTTTCGCGGCACACTAATGCGCGCGGCACCCTGGTTGGGAACCACTGAGCTAGAAACTTCCAGAACCCTGCAGGATGCGCGGTCCCCTGACGTCACTTCCACAAAGTCATTGTGGTGCAATAACCAAGCATTTCATAAGCTGGTCCATGGCGCCAACTTGCGGGAGAAATAATTATACTTCAAGATAATGGCGGTAACAGTAATTATCTAGTTGGGTTTAGGGTTCGGGTTAGGAATGATTTAAAAATTTGAATGAACCCTAACTGAATTATTTCTAATTTTGAACGGAGACGGTGGTGTTTTTGTGGTGGGGGCTCCGTACGAAAGATTCCGAAATACTTATCCGAGGCATTATTAACTATAGAATATTGCATATTATCTCCACACAAAATGTCATAAAGTAAGTTTCGTTAGGACGTATATATGTTGAAATACGTTGAAGGGCGCAACCAGTATTACCAAAGCGGGTATTACCAAGTTAGGTTCAAATCGGGATCCGGAAAATTCCATGTAACAGTCGCCAAAATTTAACGGGACACTCTTATGAAAAGAGCCCACTTTTTCGACGGATAATGATATTTCTGTTATGCAAAGTATTCGATACCCCGCCGATACGAGCTTTTTAATATTGTTTAAATAAGTTAAATAATGCTGAAAAATCACATAATGAACTTTTGTTGTTTCAGTCTGCAGTAGTCAAATCAACAGCGAATGGATAGGCTGTAAGCCAAAACGTAAATAATTTTGTTCCTATAATCGAAGTTACTCCGTATTGTAAATTTGGTATTCCGTATGTTATAGAGGGTCTGTTACGGTAACTGTATGAATTCTCTTATAAATTATAATCAAAAGGTGACTATTTTATAAACTTGTTCAACAATATAATATTAGTACATAGGGCGATGGATTTCTTTGTTATAAATTCTAAAATTTAAGGATAATAATGAACACTTAAGATAAAAGTATAACTTTTGAACATTGGACATATTTGATTTATCTTACATATGCCTGATCAGTAAAATATGATGCTTACAGGGCTCATAAAGTTGCACGAATGATTGTTTGAACGCATAGTTGAATAATGGATTTTAAAAGTTGTTCAGAACACTTCTGACGTTTCTGCTGTGCCGAGTCGGATTATTACTGGGGTTTGCAAAACTGCTTCCAATGGGTACTTTTCCTTGAAAAATGTGACTTTGGTATTTCACTTTGAGCATCGACTTATATTGCTTAATACTAGTAATCTTTTACTCGTTTTGAAAATATAGGTTAATATAAACATTGTGTACTCGTTCGTATTATGTTAATATTATTTACCAATTACAAAAATATTTGTAACACGTAAAAAAGATTTCCTAAATGAGTTACATATCAACTTTGTTATCGCATGCCAATAATATCCATTTTAAAATAATCGCAATCTGCACTAAATGCCAATAGTAACCAGTTTGTGTCAAACCGCAACATTTGTATTGTATTGATATAACTTTGTGAAAGCGGATGTGTTTGTGTTGAGTAAATGATTATCTTAAGCTCATTAAAAATGCTTCGCCGAGGTCATCCAATACAATGTTATAAGTAAACGAACAAAACTAAACACGATTTTATTACCTGGTATCACAGAGATGATTGTATATTAAGGGCGTTCTTAATCTGATGGTACAACTTGACAAATTCTCGATTTTCATTGGTTACCAGTTACCTCTATACTAACTGTCGCTGTCTTTAAAGTTTACATGTTTTTATGTTGTCGATAACCGATTTGCAGCTTTGAAGTCTGATTTCTGTATACATCCACACTTTAAATTTAAGGTTGCAATTGTGGTTCTCATCATTTATAAATAATACGCGCTAGATGCACTTCATTGGACACGAAATGGACCTATGGATCGTTTTGTAATTGTGTTGTTGTTTTTGATTGAACTTTTTTTTCGTAGTTACCGTATAAAAAAATAACTTTTCTCATTAACTACTGAACCAAATGCTTCGAAATTTTCAGCGGTTGAAAATTGCATTTTTGGCTAAAGGGCTATTAATGTTTGTTTATTTCTAAATTTTCTGCGAATCTACGTCATCTGCTGCTGAACATTTATAGTGTCGCTGACACGATGACTTGATAGTCTTTCGCGGCTCCTCGTTAATTGCAGTTGAAACATTGTGTGTCTGTTTTTTGCTTTTGCCTTGAGTTATTATTGTTTGTGTTTACAATGTTTCATGCACGACGCAAATAAATTATCTGAATCTATGAGATCTAATATTTCATTCAAAATTTCGCTATATTATCTTTTTATTAACGTGAACACAATTTTTAGCCCACGCTGTAGGGAGATACGGTAAGTTACTGTAAAAGGTAAAGTACTTTAAATTAATTAATAAACATATTCAGACTCGTCCAAGGTATGATTTTTGGAAAATTGAGAGTAAAAAATTTTTTTCGGCTTTTGTATTCATATAAATGAACTTTGCTCTCTTATTTTTATATATACAATATATACTTCATTAGCAGTGAATCCTTGGTGTAGCTGCTCTAACAAATCCACAAACTTTCTCTCTATTTGGTATAGGTCAATCGCTTTTAAGGGAGAGGCCATTCATATTGGATTGGGATGTTTTTCTAACATTTCTTTTGAATTTACATAAAATAATGGTTATTTCCTAACTTCATAATATTCAAATATAAGATTCAGATAAAAAATATAGTCCGGGCTGGGGTATTTGAGCAGTCACACATTGCCTATTTTGCAGATCATCCGCGACTGGGCAATATTATCAAATATTAAATCAGGTTTGACTACGCTGTCATTCTCTGAATTATTTGCGATCAGATAGAAACTTTCCACACTGCATGTTTAACAAGGTGGTTGAGGCCATTTGGACGATACTAAAGTTTATCGGGCAAACAAGCTATGAATACATAAGATGACCTTGAAAATCGTGACTACGACCGTTAATTACTTTACCTATTACACATGCACGCCATATTACTTTATATTACTATTTAAATTCGCACGCGATTACAATTTCTGATAAATGTACGCGATTCTGTATCAAGCAAATTGATTGCAAATCATTGAACATTAAACAATCAGGAAAAAGGCAGTAGAATGTAAACAACACGATACACTAAAATATCGACCCATCTCAGTAATGCAGTAATGTTAAAGAGCTTAGGTTTATTGGAGGCATAATCTTTATTGTTCAATATTCATATTCTAAATTGTATGCTTGACATATGAGAAAGCATTTTGGGAGCAAAATTGTATCTCTGTACCATAATGACTGAAATATAAAAAGAACATTTATTTAAATTTTGCAGAAAAAATATTGAATATGACGAGTATCTTAAAATTACTATTCGTAATTGTTACATTAACAACCAAAAAAGTTTTTTGTGTAGTCGAAAAGCGAACATCTCCACAAGAAGTTTTTATCGAGACATTAAGCAGAATGTACAATGTACCAGAAAGTTCTCAAGACACAGTAGAAGATGTATTTGATGTGTCAGGTGGAAACGTTATAATGCTTATGAAAACGCCCAAATATTTTGATGGTACCTGTGCTTCATATATATTTGTGATCCTGATTTGCTGTAGAGCATGAATAAGAGAAGCAAAAGTACAAATTGCTTGCTTCGTATCTTTAATATGTTGCGATGGAAAGTGCTAGAAATGCGATATTGAGAAACATTCATACAAAATATATTTTCATATTTTCAAAACTATTATTTTCTGTGCAACACTAACATTAAACGCATAATACAGAATGAATTATTAGAGTTACGATTTTGCTGTTGGATAAGAGAGTCCCTGCCTCTTTTTTGTAATAATGTTTTTCTTCTTGGGCATAAGGCTTACCATTTTATTCAGGCCCTCAGCCCCAAGTTCAGACATCGTCAGGACTGATACACGGGATAACTACTGATCATGATCAATCGTTTTACGGAATTCCTTATGCACGACCACCTCTTGGAAGCCTGAGGTAATTATACGTCAGGGTCTATTACAATAAATAGGACATATGGAAAAAAATTATACGGCAGACGATACATAATATGTTAAACCATATCACACTATGATGTCACATCACAATGCAATTGCAATAAGGTTCATGTGCAAAAGATTATGAATGTTATCATGAAAAAACTTTAAAAAATAGTTAAAATTTAGTTATATAAACGTCGTCAAATTTTAATAACGGCCTCGTTTTTCATGAAGTAGAAAATGATTTTATATATGTGTTGAAAACAGCCTAAATCACTAATTCCTGATCGTTTAAGCACGCCATTATGGAGTTTAATTTACTTGGAGTTGGAGTTTAACTACTCCCTAGTAGATTTCATCAATACTTTTTATTTGTAATTGTCTGACTTTTTTAAATTAAATGCAAACATAAGCTTGTATACAACTTTTCATTAAAGTTTCTTTATAATAGATTCCAACCCCCTCAGTCTCTCAATACTCCAAATAAAGTTCGTAACAAAACGACTCAAGACTTCTTAAGCTGCTATCAGATTGGCAGGATACTGAGGGTGGGTATAAGTCTGTAAATTAAGATAAATCAAATAGATTAAGAGGTTGCATCGAACATTTAGTGCACATTTGAACAAACGGCGTCAGTACCTTTGCACTCGTGTATCTTCGTGACTATAGCCATTGTCGCTCATTGACACTTGCATCCCGCACATTTTCCCAAGCATATAGCTATATTCGAGCAATATCCATAATTATAAATCCGTATTGGTACTAGCTTTTACATACATTTGGACCCACAATGCACTTCCACCCACAGTCATTTTCAGGTGCACCATCACTTCATCAGATTTAATCTCCAAGCCACATTCAAAATCTTTCAAGTACGTGTCATGTCTTAGTAGATATTTGATTTCGAATATTTTGTAATCGTGATTCAATATCGTGAATTTATGCATTTACAGCTTTCGGAAGACTGTCTTAATCTGGATATACACGTACCGCACCATGTTAATTTATCTGACTCTTTTATGCCCCCAGCCGATCGTTTACCGGTTATGTTTTGGATTCACGGAGGTGCATTTTTTCTCGGTGCAGGCACATGGCCACAATACGAGGGGAAATTCCTGAGCGAAGTTACAAACACCGTTATTGTGAGAGTGAATTATAGACTGGGTATCTTTCAAATTATAAACCTTATCGTCATTCCAAGGCAGTTTTAATAATGAAAACATGCAATATATAAATCCATACCACATTCCATTTATAGGTCCGTTTGGATTCCTCACGTATGAAGCGAATGGGAATAAGATAAAAGGAAATCAAGGAATTAAAGATCAGCAACTCGGTTTGCAATGGGTTCAAGATAACATTGAAAAATTTGGAGGAGACAAAAACAGGGTTAGAATAAAGACTCAGACATTAACGCGCCGATGTCGCGCCGGGCCATACAGAGTCTAATACGGTTAGTTAACTCTTCCTCTCATTTTCAGGTGACAATATTTGGAGAAAGCGCTGGGGCCCAATCGGTCATGCACCATTTGCTTTCCCACGTTAGCGATAAGCTATTTCATCGAGCGATTATGCAAAGCAATCCTTTTCCAAGTTTTTATCCAACGTTCGAGGAATCTCTCAATAGAACGGAAGAAGTTCTACAGTTTCTAAAATGTGGACCGATAGATGTTGCTGGGCCGGTAGAAAGAAAATGCTGCAGACCGCTAACAACCGATATTGATTGTCTCGTGTAAGTTTTACACATATTCAATAAAGTTATATTTCTTTCCACAAAACTCTCTCAACGTCTCGAAGTAAATTGCTTTGTTTTTAAAATACAAAGTGTACGTATTAAATTTGTTGCTATAATGTTGTTGTTGGAGGTTGTGGAAGGTCTTTTTGTTATGTATGCGGCTGTGAATTTTGTGGAATCATTGCTTTTCCTGGCAGCTTCTGGGCCTATCAATTTTAACCAAACTTCTCGGAACATGGAGACGGAGGAAAAGCAAAAAGGCAGCATCTCTGATTTATTTTTATTATGTTTGAGAAACTTGTTTTTTTTACAAATCTCAAACATTTCATGAATCTTGTGAATAATAGTTTTGAATTGATAATGGAAATAGTTTTTGTCGGAGCCGTTGAATAATATAAAACCTAACCCTCTTTCTTCTGAAAACCATTTTAATCATACCTAAGTGAATGTATTAGAAGCCCCCTAGCAGTATAGTATAGTAATCCTGACACAAAACGAAAATTGTAGGTAACTAATTTCACTTGTGGACAGATGACATAAACGACATAAGATAATGTTACATAATAAACAAATTTCACTATCGTGATACTTCATAATTGAGAGTTAAGTAGTGAATTCAAGTATATCCAATCGTTTATTGCGATTTGAAGTTATATTTTTATTAATCGAATGAAAGAAACATGTTACTTTGTTTAGGGAGGCGGAACCTCAGCAACTCATCAATGCAATGGTATCTATAATGACGTCAGAGTTTGTTAGATTCGATTTTTATCAGGTACAACATTGATTAAAGTAGGCGAGGGGTGAGACCAATTAAATATTGCCGGAATAGTAATCTGATAACTATTTAAAAATTGAAAATAAAAATATTTTTCTTGTAGGTGGACGGACAGCACTAGTTTTTGCATTTTATAAAGTTGGTATGAATGTGTGAATGTTATAAATGTGATAATATGTAAATGATATAAATAAAGCTTCAATTTCAAGAATTTAATACCAGCAGCTGTAATTTCTGAATATTGTTTAATATTCTACGTTTAGTTTGTCGAGCCATTTCGACCAATTATCGATGGTGATGAATTCACAAAGCAGCCGATTGAACGTTTCAAAGAGGGAAATTGGCAAAAACATAAACCAATCATATCGGGAACCAACAGTGAAGAACTCGTCGTTTTAAAATTTCTAGTTCCGTTTCTAAATGAAAATTCGTATAAGGTTGGCATGGTTGTAATATTAACAATACGATTTGGGGTGCGTTTTTACCCTCATGCTATAAGTAGGTTTCTGCTGCGTAAATTAACCAGTGTTTTTATCCCTACATTAGACGGCAACAGTAGCGTGTGAATTGCAAACTGCACTTTTTAGATTTTGAACAATCGCATGTTTGAAGGACTTGGAAAGTATGAAAATACAGGAGAAATTGTTTCCCAAAAGTATATGGAGATGTATGGGACTTCAAATTTTCCTGAATTGTTCGGTATCGAAACAACTCATTTGGTATTCACATGTAACCAGAGGGCGCTGGCCAGGTTTGTTATTCATTCCATCATATTTTTATAATTTTATACAGACTGAATTGAAATAAAATGAACAAAAGAGAAAAGCTCATTTATATATATATATATATACACAAAAGCCAGAACAAAATATTCTACCCGCTATATCCTGAACGGAGCTGGAACTATGGGACGGCTATCGTACATGTGGATCTAGTGTAGTTCAGCATCACGAGTATTACTAGAGGGCGTGGCGTTAATATTTTTGTATATATAGATCAATTCTCATACGCCAGTTGAAGGTTGCTTGTTCACTATACTCATTTCGTCAAGTAAATTGAGGAAAGGTGATGCAAGTCTAACTGGAGTCATAAACAGCTAACAACAAAAAAAAACAAAAAATCAATTACACCTTTTTTAAACAGATACGCATCGAATACAACACAGTCTTCTGTATACCATTATGTATTCAGCCACAGCTTGGATGGACCAGACTGTGAGGCACGTTTAGGTCGACTTTGCAATTACTCGTGTCATGCTTCGGACTTACATTTTACATTCCGAACGATCGAGCATTTAGGGTAAGAGTAACAACTAAGAAGGGACCTCCTGAAGTATGCGCACCAAGATGGCGCACAACCTGAATTCAGGTTGTGTACCAGGTTAGGGTTCAGGTTATGCAACATCTTGGTGCGCATACTTCAGGATTACCCTAAGAAGATTCTTCGTGATGAAAAACCCTGTCGCTAGTTACCACTTATACATATATACATATTATTTTGATAGCAGAGGAGTCAAAAATATCGTTTGATAATAAAAATAGTTATAATAATACTTATACGTAGATTGGTGCCTGATGTGGAGGATATACAAGTTTCGAACCAATTTAGCAACTATTGGGGAGGATTCGCGAGAACGGGCAATCCTTCCGAAGGTTTAGAAACTCCATTACCGGGAGATTTTCCCGAATGGCTTCCATACGTCGGAACAAACCAAGGCAATGAAGAACGATGGCTGAATTTGCGACTAGACGAGCCTGTGGCGTACCTCGAGAGCGATTACGAAAAAGAAATTTGTGATTTTTGGGATAGCCTCGGTGTATACATGAAAGCTCAAGAGACTTCAACGCACACTACTATACCTGTCACCACCGCCAGTGTAACAATGCCTTCTATGCCCACAACGACAGAAAGTGATGGAAAAATCAATACCACCAGTGACGGTGTCATCGTACGACCGACAGTAGCATGTGTCTTTGTTACTGTGCTATTCGCAATCTTGAGAGGTTTGCTTCAATAACTTAGACGTTGCGTTCATATGATACTTCCAGTTAACTCAATACACATTTCTTTGGAAATTCGGTTGTCTATTACCTACATTTCCTTGAAAGGCAATATTATCCGACTTTTTTACTAGCTAATTTAGTCTGTTTTCGCACACATTTATATAATTCATGAATATATGCTAATAGTTCGAACCATTTTGTGGATATTCGTGGTTATGAGGTCGCTGGATTGACTCTTCTCTTGTAGTTAGTCCACATCGGATCAAATGTTTTCTTAGTGACAATGTCGATGCCGAACGGAATTTCACCGCCAAGATTTTGTTTTAGTTGACAACTGCATTTGTGATGAAGTCAGTTACATGATATCCATGTATGCTACAGCCAATATAACTTGCATGTCCGCCAAGTTTCAAACATTATATACAGTCATTTGGGTTATGGACATATAAGCCCACAGCCATGTGCTTGTACCCAAATATATATATATATATATACTTGTGCAAACTTGTATGCCTGGAATTACCCATGAGTACAATTGTACGTGGGTGCAAAATGTTCAAGATTTTAGAACATGCATATAAATTGCATCCGTGTACATTTGCATCCATATACATTTGAACCTAGACATTTTCACCCATATACAGTTGCACTCACGTACAATTGCACCCGTGGACATTTGTACCCATGTTCAGTCTTCATGCATATTTTCACTTATTGAATAGAATAGACAAACTTGTACCCTGTAGCCAATGATAGTAAGCGCGGATGTACTATTCCAAGTAAAAAATATAAGACGTAAGCAAAGTAACGTAAGTAAAAGACTCATTTTACTTCGTAAATATTTTAAAATCTTCTATGCATAATTATTCTAGTTACTTTTTCATGGTGCATTACTAACCTATCTCAGATTCTTTTTTCTATAGTCTACTCCAGCGTTTCCCAAACTTTTTTGGCCATGGAACACCCACGATTTTCATCTCGGCTCGCGGAACACCAAAAAATAAAAGGGTAAAATTGATAAAGAAAAATGGTGTAGTTCAGCGATTCCCAGAGGGGTGGCGAGTTGCCAAATGCGCCGCAAAAACTAACAGAACTAAAATATTATTGAATATTTTACACATTGCCTTTATTTTATTGATTTACTGTTTCTTATTTTAAATGCTGTGTATATGAATCAATAAATTCATTTTACCTTTCTATGCTGACGGTTAACGAAAATGCCACTACCCTCAAAAAGTTAGTCCGCTTTAGGTCGACGGTGACGTGATATTGAACGGTCACCAGTTGGTCGACAACTTCACGATCCCAAGATCGCCACGGCGACCAGTTTAGTCGTAATTTTGATTCTTTTCCACGGAACACTCGGAAGACACTCGCGGAACACTAGTGCTAGAGCGATGAAAGGGTAATAAATCCAGGTTCAAATATATAGCGGGAATGGCGCGAAATATATGTGTGTACCTGCTACCAGTGTACCATCAGAGTGTGTATTTAGCAGTGCAATGAATATTTTATCCTTATCACTATTGCTTTTAGACTTTAGAGCAGGGGTGTGCAACCTGTTTTACAGGCGGGCTAAATACAAGTAACTGGGTGAAGCCGCGGGCCGCACCAAGAAACTCTACCTATGAAAGTCTCTGGATACGAAAAATTTGTAGTTTTTATTCGGTATTTCTCTGTTCTTTCTTCTTACCATGTGTACCTTAAAGAATTTTCTACTTGCAAAGGGGTTTCCATAATTGGAACGAAATTAATTTGTTCCAAGCCCCATCATAAGTAGGAAATTCCGTAAGTACGGACGCTTTTACCTGAAAATGCACTAATTCGTTCCAAGCTCCCACAAAACTAGGACATAATATTTGACGGGGCTAAGCAAAGATCGTGGAGAGGACGGCGGTCGGAGGAGACCTAAAAGTTGAAATCTAAGAGAGAAGTAATGTACGAAAGTTAGCACGTAGAATTCCAAATTAGAATTTACTCTTTTTATTTTGCAGTTTCAGTTATTTTTTTTCTTTACTTTTAACTGTTACTCTCAACTGAAACTGAGTGAGACTTATTGTATACGCACCCGCGGGAAACGAACCAGTCAATGTGATGGCAGATAGTTGATTGACGTGTGACAGGGCTGGTACCACGGACTTATTTTTTATATTGCTCACGAGACCATTCGTTGATTCAGAAAAACCTAAATGTGATTACGCGATCATCGGCATTATCAAATGAATGAACCTGATTTCCAAATTCCCATTTGCCGATAAAATAGAAGGCGCTGGTTTAAATATTTTATGTCGGCTGTTATGATTTTCGTTTTTATTATAAAGCATATTCGAATTTGGCGTCGAACAATCGATATCGCACCAAATATGCCAAAATCTGATTTTTATCGATTTTTGAAGGCCCATATTTTTTTAGTTTCCATTACGCTGGTGATCATACTTTGTTGTTGAACACTTGAATTATACGTGTAAACGAAATCTTTGTCAACATTTTTCGGACAATAGAATAACATATATATTCGATTTTGGCGTCGAACCATCGATATCGCACCAAATATGCCAAAATCTGATTTCTATCATTTTTTGAATGCCCCCATTTTTCTAATTTTTATTCCGCTGGTGATCATACTTTGTTGTTGAACACTTTAGTTATACATGTAAACAATATAATTGTCAAAAATTGTCGGAAAATAGAATAACATATTCGAATTTGGCGTCGAACCATCGATACCGCACCGAATATGACAAAATCTGATTTTTATCAATTTTTGAAAGCCCTATTTTTCTAATTTTCATTCCGCTGGTGATCATACTTTGTTGTTGGAGACTTGATTTATACATGTAAACGAAATCATTGTTAAAAAGTTGTCGGATAATAGAATACTATATTCGAATTTGGCATCGAACAATCGATATCGCACCAAGTATGGCAAAATCAGAATTTTATCAATTATTGAAGGCCCATATTCTTTTAATTTTCATTCCGCTGGGGATCATACTTTGTTGTTGGACACTTGATTTATACATGTAAACGAAGTCATTGGTAAAAGTTGTAGGGAAAATAGAATACCATATTCGAATTTGGCATCGAACAATCGATATTGCACCAAATACGGCAAAATCTGATTTTTATCAATTTTTGAAAGCCCCTATATTTCTAATTTCATTCCGCTGGTGATCATACTTTGTTGTTGGACACTTGATTTATACATGTGAATGAAATCATTGTCAAAAGTTGCCGGAAAATAAGATGACATATTCGAATTTGGCATCCAATAATCTATGTCGAACCAAATATGACATAATCTGATTTTTGATCGCTCATATTTTTTCCAACATCCGATACTTCATGAAATCTCGCTCTGTTCTTTACCCCATATCATATATAATACTTGCGACTACATATACCGTTCTGGATTACTCTTATGCTATATTCCCTTATAGATGCAAAAATAAAGTACAAAGCTTTATAAGAAATATAATTTCACCACCAAAGGACATGAACAAGCTTTACACACCGAAATACAATAAATTAGACTTTAAAATGGTGCTAAAACAGGGCCATTCGAGCGAAAAATGCAGGTATTGCAGTATGCAAGGTATTCCATAAGAAACGAAGTTATGAAGTTTAGTACAAGTTCAAAACAATATTTATCTAAAACCTCCAGCCAGCATAACGACATATTGGGAGAAAAGAAGAAACTTTATAGCTTCGATTTCATCATGGCAGAATTGTAGCAGCAGGTATAGCGTATATTCCGATAATTTTATGAAAAATATATATAAATCATAGTTAAAATTAGTTTTGTATTTCTACTAAAATTACTAAATATTTAAACAATAATCTTTTTTACTTTCTGATACACGGATATTGAACGTCTAATACATTTAAAATAGGTATCGGAGAGTATAAATAGCAAAAAACATTTTACGCCCCTCGTGGATCATTATGGAAATTTCAAAAAATTACATTTTTGGATGGGCGATTTCTCGAAAACCTCCAATAAAGCCAGCATAACGACATATTGGGAGAAAAGAAGAGAGCTTATAGAATCGAGTTAATCGTGGCAGAATAGTAGCCGAACGTTTTAAACAAGCCATATATGATACCAAACATAGCGTATATTTCGGTAATTTTATGAACAATATATATATAAATCCTAGTTAAAACTGGTTTTGTATTTCCACTAAATTCACTAAATAATTGAACCAATATTGTTTTTAGTTTCGAATACACCGATAACGTCTGATACATTTAAAACAGGTATTGGAGAGAATAAAATAGAAAAAAAAAACATTTTACGTCCCCTTGTGGATCCCTTTGGAAATGTCAAAAAATTATTTTAGAAATTTTAAATAATTACAGTTTTGGATGGGCGATTCCTCGAAAACCGACAATAAAGCCAACATAACGACATAGTAGCAGCACGGTTTGAACCGGCCATATAGAATACCAAACTTAGCGCATATCATTCGCTATTTCAACATTTCAGACATGAAATATTTCGTAGTTGTTTTGTGTTTTATCTACATCGATCAAATGTTTAAAATTCACTTTAAAATATATTGTAAAGCGTGGATAATATACATTGTATGTTCAATATGAGTTGTGGCAACTATATAGTACGGCCGAAATTTTTGTTACGTCCTGTCATGAAAAATAAACTTCAAGCAGCGATTTCTCAAAAGCATCCAATAAAGGCGATAATGGGGCGGCCAATCGACAAATATTTAAATTTATTTTACCAAAATCATAGTAGGGTCATAGTCATAAATCATAGTTTTGATTGAGCCATACATGATACTAAACGTTTATTCTTTGATTGTAATTTATTGAATCCATTTGATAGTTATTCATTCAAATTTACTAAAATATTTTTAATCAATAAGCTTGAAGTACATTACCACAAATGATTATTCCATGTCTAATACATTTATTTGAGTAGCGGAATCTATGAAATACCTTAAAACTCTCTAGGATCGGCCTGGTCAAACCCTAACAAAAAAAACCTAACAAAGTCATCATTACGTGTCAATTACGCAGTAAAAGAACCGCCATAGATGTGATTTTAATATAACAGAGCATTAGAAGCACGTTTTTACATTGCTATAAATGATAATATTCATTACTTACATTCAATTTGGAAGAGGGTTCGAATTTCATCTAAATGTGATGAATAATTGAGAAATTACCTCGGAATTCCTCATCGTGAACTCATGAACATTGCACGGCTAATAAATTTGGTATTAATAGCGGACTACATTATACCATAACGATCTTTGTCGCTTTTTGTAGATAATTTTCAAAATTTCAAAATCAATACACATTTAGGCAGCGATTACGGGACAATTGGGGGAAGAAAGAACTGTTTTAATATAACAGAAAAACAGCAGCATGTTCTGACATGACCATACGTAATGTATAATGTTCAAAATTTTAATGTGATAGATGACAAAGATGGAGAAAAACATTTCAAAGAAATTACATAATATATTTAAAGCTAGCTCCCTTTTCATTGTTATTAATTAATGACCACGCGTTTTAGCTTTTTTCTAAAAGCTCGTACGATCAAACGCATCATAAATATATTTTATAACGCTCTTTTCCCGAGATACGAGATATTCTCAAATAGAAAATTCGCGTTATTTGAAAGTTAGGAAATCAAACTCCTAGTAAATTAGAGTGACCTGGAATGGCAAACAAGATCATTTAAAATAGTGCGTAGTTATAGTAAAAATAGTACATAGTAATTTTAATATGGCTATAGTATAGCATATAGATCTAACAAACAACATAAGCATATACATTTGGGTAAAATATTATCCTTTTGAAATTAATAAAATTGTAATGATACATGAGAGAAAAGCGTTGCTAGATTGATTGGTCAAAAAATACCTAAGAACAAATGTAAATAGTAAAAATTTTATGTATTTTTCATTTGGAACCTATCATACGGAAATAACACGGTGTAAAATTAGATCAAATTTAGCTGTTCTGGAGAACAATTAAATATAAGAGGTTATTTATTACTTCATATATGGAAATTATAAACAAAGCTGCGTAACTATTTATGCGATAATGGCAAAAATGTTGTTGCTCTCCCCTATATTACAAGTAGCAGTATCTCAGAAATCAAAAGTAAAGTGGGCGAAATTTCCAAAATAATCCACGATGGGCGTAAAATGTTTTTACCTATTTTATTCAATCCGATACCCGTTTTAAATGTATTAGACGTTTAATATCGATGCATTAAAAACTAAAAAAGATAACTGTTCAATTATTTAGTAAATTTAGTAGAAATACAGAACTAATTTTAACTATGATTTATAAATATTTTCCTAAAATTACCAAAAAATACACTATATTTGGTATTATATATGTTCAGTTCAAAACGTGATGCTACTATTCTGCCATGATGAAATCGAATCTATAAGGTTTCTTTTTCCCCCCCAATATGTCGTTATGCCTTACGGTTATGCTGGCTTTATTGGCGGTTTTCGAGATATCGCCCATCCAAAACTGCAATTTTTCGAAATTTCCAAAATAATCCAAGAGGAGGCGTAAAATGTTTCCACCTACTTTATTCTCTCCGATACCCGTTTTAAATGTATTAGACGTTTAATATCGTGTATTAGAAACTAAAAAAAATAATTGTTTAAATATTTAGTGAATTTAGTGGAAATACAATACCAATTTTAACTATGATTTATATATATTATTCCTAAAATTATCGAAAAATACGCTCTGTTTGGTATCATATATGGCCAGTTCAAAAAGTGCTGTTACTATTCTGTCATGATGAATTCGAATCTATATTCATTTCTCACAGTATGTCGTTATGCTGGCTTTATTGGAGATTTTCGAGAAATACCTGCCCCAAATCAAGTCAATATTGAAATTCAGTCAATTTCAAACAACCCTTTGATACAGCTTGGAATTTGAAATTTAGACTGTTACAGTGATTTTAGCGTGTTATTATATATTAATAAGATGAATAGTGTGATGACTAATTGTTTTACCTTAATTGCTATCGGTAAATCACTCAAAATATACACTTCCTAGCACAAAATGATTTGGAACATTTGATTTCACGTGTAGGAATTTTCTGCGATTCAGTCAGCTCCAATTTCGTGATAGAGGTTATATCTATAAGTTTATTTCGACTCCATGCAGCCATAATCCTGTAATCACTGACTGACTGAGACTGAATCAGCAGAATAGTCGATAAAATATGAAATACGGTACCGTAATTGATAAAATCAAATATAGACCACGGTACCGATAGACAGGCAGCCAGGTACCGTACCGTACCGGTACCGGTACGGCAGTTGTCTGTCTGTCTGTACCGGTACGGTACTGGTATGTCAGTATGCAGCCAATGCAGGTACCGGTACCGGTACCGGTACCGGTATGTGGTGAAATGGGAATCCAGCTTTACCTTGGTTATCAAACACATACCATCAAAATTTTTTGCATGAATGGAGTAGTACAGGAGTAAAATGACTAAAAATACCGGTACCGTAAAAGCGCCTAACTTCGGACAAAATTACTATATATTCGTGAATAACTCGGCCATTTATTGTCCAAACGGTGCCAAAATTGCTCGGTAAAACATTCGTGCGGTAATTTACATTCCCTGCAAATTTCGGTTCAATTGGACTATTTTTACTATTGAAATAATCGATATTTCTTGCCATCTGACCGTTATCCTTCACTGCCCTAACTTCGGACAGTCATTTTCTTCACTGCGTAACCGCGACGCACAGAGAGAAAGAGGCTTCCGATGCGGATGACGTAATCACGTCGTTGCGTGAAGATAAGACGCTCGATCGTCGTCGTAACGTAACATTGACGTCACGACGAAAATGCATTATTTGAAACTTCCGTCGTCCTATGTTTACATCTTTCGTTCGTTATTTTCGATACTTCAGATGAGTGTAATAACACGTTAGTCATTTTAATCAGGAAATGCATACGTAAATATATCTGATGCAAACCGTTTCAATCCACAATGAAGTATTTTAAAGGGCTTCTATCGAAGTCTTTGAAGTATTAATATTCTCGACGGATAGCTTTTTTTTATTCTGCGCGGTTATCTTTATAAATGATAATTTATATCAAACACGGTAAATCCGATTGTAAAGTTTAATTTAAAATTCAACTTAATCTTGTAAACATGTAGGTCCCGTTTATTTGTTGGAGATTAAATTTATTTTTAATTTCGAGTGAATAAAATTCACCCAGGCCGTATTCAATATCTGTCATTTCGACTACTAATCGTTAAATAATGGTTAGGTCAGTGCACTGTGCCATATGGACGTTGGAATTATCATAGTTTTATATATTCGATTCTTAACGTCATCGATTAAGTGTGACATGTATTTTCATTAATGTAATTTTGGCATATATTCATACATGACCAAACAAAATACAAAAATATTACATTGGAACGCCGTCTTTATCTGAACGGAAATTGTCATATTGGCTCCGTTGTGTCTGGCGTCAAAATTCATTTCCGCGACGCAGTGTGACGTCGTGTCGGAAGTGAGCGAAAAATAATCTACGTGAGGTTGACGTAACTTTTGACGCTGCGTGAAATCTTAATATTCTTACGGAATTTATAATTCAGAATTTTAGGTTTTATTTAAATCTCGTACGACATCTTGCGATCACTCAAATAAATTATATACATTGTTATCGCCCTCTACCGAATGATGGTATTTTGACGATGATAGCTTCAGTAGGAGCGACGCTCTGCGCCGTTGAATGCCAGGCAGTCAATTTTCGGCAAAATTTCCGTTTTTTTACCAAAAAAATAATTATGCAACAATAAAAAAGATAAGAATAGATGTAGATATAACAGCGCAACCTATAATAAATAAAATTAGCAATATACGGCGCGTTTTAGCTAGATATGGCCATTCAAAAATTTTGTCCGAAGTTAGGAACTGTCCGAAGTTAGGCGCTTTTACGGTATGATGCTTGAATAATATAATTTATTGTTTATCTTTTAACAAAAGTTTGTAATACTACCGGTACTGTACTACTGTACTAGGGCAGTAGGGTGTCACAGCTAGCACTAGCAGGCTAGATAACTTCTTGAGGTTTTCTGTGACTACTTTCACTTGTCTGCCTGTGAATAACAATGTTTTGCTTCCGTTTGTTAATGCCGTAATGTCTGAATGTGTCTTCACTGGTGATGAATAAATAATACATACACATAAAGAAAATGATTGAAAGAGACTACATTTTGTAATATGTATATGTATAAACTAGATTTTTTATTAATATATTATACTTCTGTACCGGTACCTGTCTGCCTGTTCTATTGACGTTTCTTAACCTTGTTTTGTTGTTTTTCCATGCTTGATTTAATTTAATTGAACAATACTAATAACTTGATATCTTGAATTACACTATTCCTGTATTCAGCTATTGGAATTTATACTTCTGTACTTGAAATTTGCCGGACTTCTGGACTCAACACTGGTATATCATATATCTGTATATGGATGAATTGTTTATTTATATTATATTAGTTGCGAAATATCTGGAGATAAATTATTTTGGATAATTCAAAATACTCAAATTGAATTTCGAATGAATTTCATATGTATGTGTAGAAAAAGGTGTTTTCTCAGCCGGGTTCAGTTTTGATGCACTTTGTGGTGTTGTGTTAGGATACGTTAATGCTGTCAAGTGCACAGTCCTGTCGTATGTTAAAGAAACCTCACTATCTAACTAAGCATTGGTATGGAGGGCGACAGTGAGTCGAACGTTAAGGATATAACTTCTAATGAACAGAAAAACACAGAAGGAGAAATTAACACTGAACTTTTTCATGAAGAGGTTTGTCTGTCTGTACCGGTACGGCAGTACGGTACTGGTATGTCAGTATGCAGCCAATGCAGGTACCGGTATGTGGTGAAATGGGAATCCAGCTTTACCTTGGTTATCAAACACATACCATCAAAATTTTTTGCATGAATGGAGTACAGGAGTAAAATGACTAAAAATATGATGCTTGAATAATATAATTTATTGTTTATCTTTTAACAAAAGTTTGTAATACTACCGGTACTGTACTACTGTACTAGGGCAGTAGGGTGTCACAGCTAGCACTAGCAGGCTAGATAACTTCTTGAGGTTTTCTGTGACTACTTTCACTTGTCTGCCTGTGAATAACAATGTTTTGCTTCCGTTTGTTAATGCCGTAATGTCTGAATGTGTCTTCACTTTTCACATGGTGATGAATAAATAATACATACACATAAAGAAAATGATTGAAAGAGACTACATTTTGTAATATGTATATGTATAAACTAGATTTTTTATTAATATATTATACTTCTGTACCTGTCTGCCTGTTCTATTGACGTTTCTTAACCTTGTTTTGTTGTTTTTCCATGCTTGATTTAATTTAATTGAACAATACTAATAACTTGATATCTTGAATTACACTATTCCTGTATTCAGCTATTGGAATTTATACTTCTGTACTTGAAATTTGCCGGACTTCTGGACTCAACACTGGTATATCATATATCTGTATATGGATGAATTGTTTATTTATATTATATTAGTTGCGAAATATTTGGAGATAAATTATTTTGGATAATTCAAAATACTCAAATTGAATTTCGAATGAATTTCATATGTATGTGTAGAAAAAGGTGTTTTCTCAGCCGGGTTCAGTTTTGATGCACTTTGTGGTGTTGTGTTAGGATACGTTAATGCTGTCAAGTGCACAGTCCTGTCGTATGTTAAAGAAACCTCACTATCTATCTAAGCATTGGTATGGAGGGCGACAGTGGGTCGAACGTTAAGGATATAACTTCTAATGAACAGAAAAACACAGAAGGAGAAATTAACACTGAACTTTTTCATGAAGAGGTTTCAAAGGTAGGCATTGCATTAATATATAGGAATGATTAAAGCTTCATCCAAGTGCAATAAAGCTGATTAGATCATACTATAATCCAGGGCTTCTCGCTTAGTTACCAATCGAGATCAGGTGCCCGTATACTGGTATAGGTGTATGTAGGTTGTTTATCCAGTATATTTGTTCCAGATGCATGGTCTTGAATGGTGAAGATGCAATCACTAATTGACAAACAGGTTCATATAGTCATACCACGACTCAATTTGCATACTGGTAACAGGGTAAAAGTTGGTTTACACATCTATAACAGTTTGAACAAAGCTTTTTGTTATTAACACCAGTATCAATCATTTTTTTCAGAACAAGAAACCATGGTGGAAAACACATTTCTTTGTTCAAGATCCAGTTTTATTTGGAACGTGGGATGGAGTGTTCACATCTTGTCTTATAAACATATTTGGAGTCGTCTTATTTTTGAGAACTGGATGGATGGTGGTATGCATTATATGTCTTTAATGTAATGATAATCGTTAATTGGGCTAGAGATATCCAAAGAAAATCCAATATTCGAATTCGATCAAAAAAAATTAAAATTCTTGATTTTGTAATATTATAAAACTTTTATTATTTAGAATAATTGAAATATCACAATATTACTATTACTAAAAACGCTCTTTATTGATTTTCTGAGAACTACAAAAAATAGAGAACACCTACTAAATACAAACCTAATTGTATGTTTTTTTGTTGAACTAGGTACTTGGAATAGTAGATTATTTGGGTTTGGCCATCCCTAATGTTTTGTGGCAATTAGGAATTGTACTTACTTACCGTACTATTTTATTTCTGATGTTTCACCAATAGCAATTTCAGAATATGTTTTTCTGATTAGTACTTCCACACATATTTATATCCAAATATATTTCAATTTGTGAGCCCACACATTTAATTATCAGTATGATAGTGACAATGTTTTACAACCCAACACTTAAGAAAACGTGTCATCATTAATCATTATTAAATCCTTGACCAATCAATTTATTCTCCGGGTAGAAAAATATAAAATTTCAATCAGTTTTCTGCAACAATGGTTCATGTAATTTATTTGCGAAATATTTTTTGGTTTCAAGGGAAATGTTGGAGTTGGTTTAGCTGTCTTGATAGTATTCATGACAGTTACGGTTGCTCTACTCGCTTCACTTGCTGCTATCGGAATTTGTGAAAGATTGAAAGATGTTCACAGTGGTGGAGTTTATTTTGTTGTTTCTCATGTACTTGGTGGTAAAATTGGAGGAACTGTTGGTGTCATGTATGCCTTTGGACTGGTAACTAAACTTTGTTATCTTTGAGTTTTTATGTATATATCTGATTGGTTGTATATATGCTTGATCGAGAGCTCTTTATTTTGTTTATGTGCATTCCACTGGAAGTCACTTGGATCATGGCAGTCATGATTTCACTCAAATAAATATATATTCCTAAAAATATATATACCATGATTGGTAAATTGCGGTGTGGCACATCGTGCTAAGCGTTATGAATACGCTCACCACTGCACCTCTGATTACCCTGCGTGGGTATGCAGGTTCGAATCCCATGCGAGGATAGTTATGTGCTGAGAGGATTGCTGGTTTCCTCTTTGCTGTAAGGTGGTTCACATAACTGCTGGTCGGTTACAGCTTCCTTCGCTAGTACATGCTTCTAAAACAAATAACTGGCTAACTAATCCCACAAGTATGATGAGGGGTCCGTGGTTCGCCATATGATTAAGCCGTCGACTTTCCATTCCCCCAAGATAAATACCGGTATGTAAATCCTATCCTATCCTTTCTAGATTTACTATAATATTTTATTGACAGTAAATTGGGGGAATTTTGTTTCATTTTTGCTTGTTCATTATCTATAGTGAAATAAAGGATTACAGTTTCTGTAATGCAAAGTTTTTTTTTTTTTTCAGTGCATAGTATCTGCACTGTATTGCACTGGATTTGCAGAATCTGTTACTTCTACATTTGACTGGAATAACGAATGGGCTGTGAGAGGAGTTGCTGTTTTGACACTTTTATTACTTCTTGCAATTAATCTAGCAGGTGAGTTCTTATTGAAATATGGTTTTATTATTGAGAATAAGAATAATTGCCAACTGATATAAAATTGTGGTCAGCTATTGATTGTGCTACTTGAGTACTATTTTTTAATATGCTGTATTGTTCAGATATTCAATATAATCACGTATTATTTCAATGTTAATAAATACATAAATTTTAATCATACTTTTTGGATCTATGTATTGTGAATATTCTGTGAATGCAATGTAAACTTGACATATCTTGGCAAAATATTTTCAGTTTTATCCAAGTTTTATTTTTATCATCATTTAATGCAGGGGTCTGCAACGCTTTGTCGCTCGTGGGACAAAATAAGAGCTGCAAGTCATTGGCGGGCCGCACATATTTTTAGAAAGTTGAAAACCGAATGGATGATACTTTTTATAATAAAAATCAAGCAGTGACATTGCATTGAATCTCAAAAAATTCCATTTGAATATTTTCGGCACCATTGAACCCTTTGCACTTAGCATCAACTTTTCTGCGTTTTGTTGCCATTTGTCTAATTATAATTGAATTATAGGCTAATTAAACGAGTAATTGTGAATTTTATCGGTGCTCCAGAAGTATGCGCACCAAGATGTCGCAAAGCCTAGTCCTAACCGGTACACACATACTATGTTCAGGTTGCGCGCCATCTTGATGCGCATACTTCTGGAGGTTCATTTTATTCTTGTTAGAATATAATATAATTTAGTTAACACGCGTCTCGCAATAAACTCTGTTACATAAAGAATATAATCGCCAAAACAGCTGTTTTGTTACTATAATTCAGTGAACCGTATTGTATTACTCCGCGGGCTGGATCCGGCCCGCGGGCCGTAGGTTGCCGACCCCTGGTTTAATAGGTGTATTACATCTTAAAGCAGTGGTTACCAAACTTTTTTTTCCTGTTATCAGGGAAAAAACTCTTGGTGCACTTTATTAAAAATTAAATTAAATAAAACTAAATTTTGTGATCATTAATGTGCAGTTTATGCTTTTTATTAAAAGTTTCTAAACATGTAGGCCTGAAGAATAATGGCAATTTCAACAAAACAATGTCATAACATTCACACTTATTAATCTAAGGAGAGGTGTGCGGCTGCCGCTCTGAACACATCGTTTCAAATATTCAATCATTTATTACTTATGTTTAACACAATTTTGTTAATTTTCAGGGTGCACTTAGCAAATCGCCCCTTTTGGCAACCGCTGGCTTATAGTCGATCATCATATTCATGCTTATTTATTATCTTCATTCAATATTAATGATATGGTTTCAGACTTGATATTGCTATTTGCTGGTATAATTTATTCTTATTATTTCAGGTGTAAAGTGGGTTATTCGTCTTCAATTAGTATTGCTTTTCGTTCTCATTGTATCCACTTTTGATTTCATACTTGGGACTATGATACATACTGAGCCAGGTGACTTACTTTTCCACTTATATTGTCATTGAATTAATGTCCGTATGCCGTCAACTTCTTATTTGAATTTTTCAGATGCTGGCTTTGTTGGGTTCTCAAGCGAAGTACTTCATAACAATACTTATCCGTCTTATCAAGAAAATGAAAACTTTTTTACTGTCTTCGGAGTTTTCTTTCCAACGGCCACTGGAGTAATGGCAGGTGAGCAATGAGTCAATCTGGTTTATAAAATCACTTTGTGTATTTAATACGTTAGTTTAAATTTCACTTTGAATTAATAAAGAGTCGGTAATTGAGATTTCTGTTTACAGTGAATAATTTGCCATTTTTTAATGGTATTATATCTGGGAAAAAAATTTGGCTAATACATATTAAACTAGATTGGGAAAATATGGCTATAATGAGCATCACGGTTAAAAATCACTGTCAGCATACATGCATTTTCCTTTGAATGAAGTCTAATTTTGACATCTTGCATGATATCAATGAAACAATTGAAGGAAAAGCCTGTCACTTATATAAGATATATGATTGATAAGTTTAACTATGTGTGTCAGGATGCTGATGGATGCCACATTTGATGTTTTATTACGGATGTAGATATAGTTTAAAACAAACTCGAACAATTGGGAGTTTGGATTTCAAAATTTTATATAACATCTGGCAGTGATGTCAAACATTCAAACATGTCAAACATTATATTCTATATTTCAGAATAGTTTAATTTAAGCTATTTTATTAAATGAGCAATTGTCTTACGATGTGACTGAAGAAGCCTTAATTTAATTTCTTGTAACTGTAGCCAATCAAATCAAGTCTTGTATGTATTTTTTTGTATATCATGTCATGTCTCAATTCAGAAAATATTCAATATTCTATAATTTCATGTTGAAATCTAGGCAGCAATTTGTGTTTCTCCTTTTCTTGTTTCATTATTCATCAAATAGTCGATGTTTATGTATGTTGCAGTTGCTATTATATCAAGAACTATTATATTAATAGCTTCTAAATCTACATACATACATACATCAAAATACATTTTGGTGATCACTGGATCAAAATCCAGTGGGAAGGTTAATAAATATAAGTTGAATATAATGTATGCAATAATATACTTATTAACTAGGGGGGCATATTGTTCTGAATTTGATTTGGTGTTTTGTTTCCTTTACCTGTTCATTGTTATCACTGCGTATGGCTCCTCTTTTCCATACTGTTCTGAACGTTCATTGTTGATAGCCATTAAATAAGGCACAAGCTGTTGGAATTGAATATTATTTAAAGAAAATATGTGATGAGATGCCTAATGCCTTATTCATTGAGGTTTTTCATACCAATACAGTCTTGTATCACAGTCACCTGTATCACAGTCATTTTTAAATTGGTTTTTAATGTGTTATTTAGTCATTGTTATTATTATTATTATTATTATAGATTTTTCTTTAAAATTATCATATCTATCAGTAAAGAATTTTTGCACACAGAAAGTAATTTTCAATCTCACATGATCTTTCCAAGCTTCAAATTTGCCATAATTAGGGTGAATTGAAAATTTTTAGAGCCATTATTTTGAAATGTTAGAAAAAGCAATAAGATAGAGACTATGAACTGGTATGAGGCATTCTTCAGATTGAAAAAAGAAATTCATATATATCTGTTAATGTGATCTTTTCACTCTTTACAGGTGTGAATATGTCTGGTGATTTGAAGAAACCTGCTTCAAGTATTCCTGTTGGGACATTGTCTGCAATTATGCTTAGGTTTGTGATGTTTGCATTTAAAAAATAATTTAAGAAATTATGTGTCAATGGTTTATTTCATGCCTTTGTGTTCGGGTTATATATTTGATTAAACTAGTTTTTACTTTGTGTCTTGTGTGTGATGTACATATCAAATCAATTTTGAGCAAAAAGGTCTCACAGAAAAATTATAATTTTTGTAAACGGTATAGAATACTGATCAATTCAAATCAAAAATATTGTTTTTACGTCTGCGCATTCCCAAATTCTAATCATCAAATGGACATTTGTTGTAGCATATTCAATATTTCATATTCAGAAATATTATTTCAGAATGCATTTACCATAGTAGATTATTTGGTTCTGGCTTTCTCTGTCCTTTGTGTGTTACTGCTATGATGCAACTTCCAGATACTAAATGCATCAACTTTTTGGAACATTAGTTTGACCTTAATTAATTAATATACTGAAATAATAAGAGTTTGATTTTTAATATTCCTAAATTATTCTTATTGACCATTTAATTTTCCTTATTCAGCTTCATTCTCTACCTCTTGTTTGTGTTGCTTCTTGGTTCAACTTGCCTTAGATGGGCTCTTCAAGAAGATTTTATGATTGCTGAAAAGGTATCGGGAATGTTTTTCGAATGTAGCCTATATCAAAGAAGATTTATTTCAGATTACTTGATCCGAATGCTGTTAGCCATGATCTTTTTGTTTGGGTTCGCCATTGAAAGTACAGTAGTAGTACTCTGTTAGTCTGTTAGTATAAGAATGTCTATATATTTTTATTTTATTGGCTGAACCAGTGGTTCACGTAACCGCTGGTCGGTTACGGCCTCCTCCACCATCAAGTTCATGCTTTGCAAAATTTGTAATGAGATTTTTTTTATCTTTTATTTTGATAAAAATGGTTATTATTTTTATCAGGTATAAGATGACATTGGAAAAATCAGTAACAAACTTGCTGAAATTCTCTTTAAATTATTTCTCATTTTTAGGTTTCAGCTGTATCTGTACTGTGGCTTGCTGGACTTTATATGTCAAGTACTTCTTCTTGCAGTACAGGTGATAATAGTCTGTTTTATATGGATACTTTATGCTTTACTATTATGAATCATGTTATACCGTAATGTACTACAATTTTTGTTTTGTCACAGTCTCATTTTTCGTGTACAGTAGAATTATTGTTACTCCCGAAATATGTGAACCAAGGATGGGGTTGGGCCATAATTTCAGGTACGAATACTACGCAAGTCACTTGGCTAGTCCCCAAACTCGTAATAGAACTAAAATAGGGAAAATTGGAATGAATTTATGGCCTAACTTTAAACTGGTACACATACTATGTTCCGGTGTCCGCCATCTTGGTTCACATACTTCGGGAGTACCGAATTATTGATTAATTTAATAAATTGTATGTATTTGAAGGTCTCTATGGAGCTCCTCGTGTACTACAGTCTATTGCAAATCAAAATGTTGTACCTGTTATCAAGATTCTTGGAAAGGGAGTAAGTAAAATTTCACATGGTCCGAGTCCAAATTTTAAATATATTAGGACTTAGGAGTATTAAATAATGCTTTGGTATATAGTAGAAATATTCTATTTTATCCGCTATGGCCAGAGCATATCTTGCCTATTTCTGGAGAGATCTTGATTTTTTCCTCTTATACCTAGTCTGAATATATATATTGTTTTTGACTTTAAGAAGTTTAGATTAGTACCTACACTACGGTATATATTATTACTATTATTACTACATACATAGCAATTTTTCTTCAGTTTTTGAGTACGATTGTTTTTGACATTCCTCTATTTGTGGATCACTTATGGGCCATTCCAAGTGACTTTACGGGACAATTTGTTAGATGCAATTTATTTTTACATTTCTAGCTACATGTTTTGTGTCATTGTCACATCAGTCGCTTAATGGGGTTTGAGTTTGAACAAAATTGCACAAAAGTTACACAACTTAAATCGATAAATAGGTAAAGACATGTCCTACAGCACTGCAAACACTTTGAGCCCGGTGCATTTATTTGAAATGAAATAACTGTACCAGCCTATCAAACACTTGGTGTTACGAGTCGTCACAAACATGTCAAAATTTCAGGCCACTGTAAACCATCACAAACCTAGGTGAAATTTTAACTTTTTCTGTGAAATGAATGCAGTCCAATAAAATTTGCGTGTCTTTTGATATAAAAAATTCAAAACAATTACTTTCACTGCACTTTAAAGAAAATTGATGAAATTCAACAGTTGCTTGGAATGGCCCTTATACTGAAATTTATTTGAATTTATCAAATCGCCATCTTGAATATTTCAAATTTTTCACAGTTTGGAGCAAATAAAACTCCAGTTCTTGGAATCATTGCTGTTGGTTTCTGTTCACTTTTGTTCATATTGATTGGAAATTTGAATGCAATATCACCAGTAATAACATGTAATTTCATGTTGGTATATGCGGTTGTGGATTATTCTTATTTTGCACTAGCTATGACATACGACATGAGGATGAAAAACTTGGGAAAATATAAGGTTTGCAATTGAATGATAATATGATTTTTTTTTTCAAATCTAAATCACAAAATGCTATTACAGTATATTACAAATTGTTTACTAGTTCATTAGTGGAAGTGTTATTTGCCCATCTCAAATGTTTTATCTGGTAGTGATTCTTGTCTATAGCCAAGGCTTGAAACTTCCTATAAAAACTGTTTAATATCTTTTTAAAAGGTTAAATATGCTCCAAAAGACCATGATAAAGTTACTTTGGAGAAAGCCTCGTATGGAAGTTTTCAGCATGAAGCACCTACTGGAACTATGTTACAATTCAGTCAAGACTTAGATAAAATATTTCAAAACTACGTAAGTTTAAGACTTGATATTTTTCTTAGAACAATGTATTTCTCCTATTAAACAAACCTAATATATATCACATTTTGATTGATTTATAAACTATCAATCAATTAGATGTGGGGTGATATTTGTTGCTATCACACAGCATATTCCACATTTTTGTATTGACATGTAGACAAAGAAAAATGAATGTTGGTATCTTGATGACGAAAATGTTTTTTTTAAAAGAAACAGTTACGCCGTAGTCTGATATATTTTGGATTAAAGTTTAATGTCCTCATGTTCTAACATTCCTATCCCTATATAAATTCAGTAAATTTTGTTTTTAATATAATTAATCCTTCAAAAACTGTAATGATGATATTCTGATTCTTTTTCAGCAATATTCTGCATTGTTGGATGTTCGAAACGTTACTACTGTAAAAATCAATTTGTTCTTTTTTATAGGAATCTAGATCTTCTACTAATGACAATCAAACAACAGAACAGAAAAAACAATCCAATACGCCTGTACAAGGTCAGTATGACAAATTGAGGCAAAAAAAATTCCTAAATTGATGAATGTCTTTCTACTAGTCAAATATTTTAAGGATTTTTTTGATGAAACCATTCACCGAATTAAACTGAAAGCGTGGCTCGACCATCTTTTGCCATTCTGGACGAAATCCTTTGTGAGAAGCCACAAATATGTAATATATATATATATCGGAAATTGTTTGCTTAATTTATGCTACACTGGGTGAGGTGGTGGGCAATACGCATAGGATTTGAATTTGAGGTCTGTTACCTGTGATGCCTACATAGTTAAGTCGAACCCTATCTAATTCAAAACCAATGTCGTTTTTACAGTGTTAATCACAGGTCACAAGTTGTACAAAATGATTTTCCAGAGACTGGGAACTGATTATCCTAGAATAAGGCTCTACAATTTTGTCTGGAATATTACTTCGATTCTGGAGCAAAATTATACAATAGCATAAATATTTAAAAATAAGCAAATTATAGTTGATAAAACTGTTCATCTAATCTCAATTATAAACTGGATTGTCTGAACGACTACAGCAGGGATGGGCAATGTGTTGGACCAACGGCCAAAAATTTTGCCCACATAGATTGACGTGCCATGTATGTGTGTCCTAAAAAGTAACATTTTATGAATAATATTTACAGTGTTACAAAAGAAAATTGGAAAACAATAAGGTTTCTGTCAAAAAACTAAATTTATTCGCAATCTCAACAAATTCCTTGAGTTCTTTTTAGCTAAAACATCAAAATTTGGTTGTGACACTGACAGCATCAGGTGAGCCAGATTAAATTACTCAACGGGTCAGATTTGGCCCGCGGGCCGTAATTTGCCCATGTCAGGTCTATAGCCATAAAACTGCATGGTGGTCACATGCAGAAATTTTATCTTCATTTTCATTCCATTTAGGTCGACAGCATTTACGTGATACATTTCTTCTTGATGAACACATGGAAGCCAGTTATAATATTAATCAGAATTCGAACACTAATGAAACTGAGGTAGCATCTGATGCATTACTTGAACCTACACTTCAAAGTGAAAACCAAATCTCCAAATATGATGACATTCAGGAACATCAAGTTGCACAGGTTTGCTAATATATGCTTCTCTTCACCAGGTTGTTTTCACAAGTGGTCATTTAGTTCATTTTACTAATTTCATCATCGCTGAAAACATTGTTGTCGTGCCCAGTTAAAATTTTCGCTGTAGTGGGATGGCTCATGTCACTGCTGGTATAGATTGTGATCAGGGATGTCCATATTGAATTGATTTGAAATTAATTACGGTACATTCTGTAGCTGGAAGTTTTTGATTTCAGGAATAATTTAAAATTGTTTCTAAGTAAAATTCAGTTAATTGGTTGAGGTCTCACTGTAGGACCAAAATGGCCTTCATTTATTTTTTGATAACTATAAAAAACAACTTACGCATCTGGTCTTATGAGATGCCTTCACGTCCAAGTCTTCCTCGCTTTCTTTTTACTTTGCTTGATCACAAATGACAAACCAATGAACTCATTGTGGGTTTACGTAAACTTTATTTTGACGTTCAACCAACTTGCATTACTGCAATTCAATACAATTAAACATACATTGCATTCTATTCATCTTATGTTCAACTTTATCTAGTTAGAATATACATTCTCTATTCAAGAAACTTGTATAAGAATATTTTTGATTTCGACCCTCACTGCTTCCTTCACTAACTATGACCATGTATTCGGAATGTCTAACTGGTTAGCTATTCTGGTATTTCTTCCTTTCTAGTAACAGATCAGAACAAGAGGCTTTTCGGCTAAAATAATTATGAAAATCCTATTGAAAAGTTATGTAAATGTCATCGCATAATCCCATTTTTTACTTAAAATTTGACTTTATTAGTTTCAATTACCGGTTACAATGATTGTTTATCATCAAATCTTTATTTTTCAATTTGACAAGAAGCATGATGAAATTGTTGGTGCAGACATCGATGTTAACACAATGAATGCTGATACAGATAACTTAATCAAACTTGAGAAAAACAAAAAGAAAAGGAAGAAAAACAAAGATAACAAAGATCCGAAACCTAAAGAGGAAGATATTGAAGCACCAGTCAATACAGAGAGAGAAGAAATACTCCAACAACCTCGGTCATGGTATGGAGTTCTCTGCAATCGATGGTCATCGCTTTTTGGGGTAATTGTAACTTACAGTTTTATTAGATTTTAGAAACATAGTGAACCTTTAAATTGTTTTGACGATTTTTAACTTCGTGTTGTTAGCACAAATAAATCACTTCATCTGAACAGAACCAAGCTAGTAGAAGGCTATCAGTATTACTTTTATGGTGCTCCCGAAGTATGCGAACCAAGATGGCGGACATCGGAACGTAACATGGGTAACAGGTTAGGGTTAGGTGATAATTTTTTTCCACTTTTCCTTATTTTAGTCCTATTATCAGTTTGAAGACTAGCCAAGAGCCTCCCGTAGAATTTATACCTAAAATTATGGCCTAACCCTAACCTAGTACACATATTACATTCCGATGTCCGCCATCTTGGTTCGCATACTTCGGGAGCCCCACTTTCATATTTTATAATATTAGCTTCCAGGCCTATTGGTTTTGCCCCAGATTTATGAAATTGTGCCAAGGTGTGCGTTTTTGTGACGACCTTGTGAATTGTGATAAATAAATTAGATTGCATGATTGTATTCTATGGATTTGAAATTTGCCTCCTTTCAGCCTTATTTCTTGGTAGAATCGGTCACAAATTAGAACAGAAGTATTAGATCTATTTAAGCTCAAATCCTGGTAACTGCAACTGTGCGTTTGAAGTTCTGTTCGATTTATTATTTTGATTATGTTTGATAATATGGTGTATAAAGTATATTAAGTATACCCTTAATATAATAAAATGTTTTATTTTAAATTTTGAATAACTTAATTTTAATTTTTGAATAACTTCATTTCTAGGTTGTTCTCAGTCTAGTTGTGATGTTTCTTATTCAATGGCTATATGCACTTATGAATATACTGGCATTTGCACTTGTATATATCTATATATCACAAGCATGTCCCGGAGTTAACCCAGGTGTAACTAATGAATTTAGTCTTGAGGAATGGATAAAGCAATCTGTGAAGTCTTGCTGCAGGTAGTTTTTTTTATTTTATTTTTTTGTTTCAATATTGTTGTTTAGCAAAATCAGGGCCAAATTAAACAGACATACATTAAATATCATATGGGTTACTTTTGGTTAATTTTTTTAGCTTGATTTTTAATAAAATCCAAGTAATCAAAAACTAGGTTGACGATGAAATAATAGTGTAGTCAGTCAATCTGGTACGCCCGAAGTATGTGAACCAAGATGGCGAACACCGAAACGTAGTATGTGTTCCAGGTTAGACCATAATTTCAGGTACAAATACTACGGGAGTCACCTGTCTAGTCCCCGAACTCGTAATAGAACTAAAATAAAGAGAATTGGAATAAAATTATGGCCTGACCCTAATCTGTTACACATACTTTGGGAGTACCGTCAATCTTGTATGGTAACTCTCTCTTTGTTATGTTTGTTATAATATTTCAGTGTCTTGGTATTGAAATATATTGTTCTATAAACCTGTGCTGAACAATCGTGTTTGGCAGCAGGAAAGAAGGTAACTTAATCGAAAATTAGGGCAAATCCCAGAGTAGCAAACCCATTTGAGAATTTTCAATTCCTGTAATCTGCTTTGCGTTGTCAGGAAACAATGCATAGCACACTCAAACAACTGAAATAGTGCAAGCACCACATTTCATTCTGACATTTAGATCTACACCTGAACCCCCAGAACAGATTTTATTAGCTCCTATGACAATTGCACCTGTTGTAGTCGTATCTGAGCAATTGACATCTGACAATGAAGATTTTGCTGATAGGAGGAGGTTCCATCAAGCTTCGACAGAGGAATGCAACTATGCTAATATTATGCCAATCATGTCCTCACCTGATGAGAGCAAATAAAGTTCTGCCAGGGAGTTATTGAGTACATCGCGGATGGTGAATAACCAGCTAAGAAAACATTTTTACCAATATAGAAATTTGCACTATTGCCCTTTATCAATATAGATTGAATTTTGTGATATTGTAAGTTGAATTCCATTTTGAATGGTTTTCTATTCTCTGCACTCTTGCAGTTATCATATATCCAATATAGTCTATTTTTAGTCTTGCTTTCCATATGGCAATTGCTCACAAGGACTATTTTTTAAGTGGAAATTTCAGAACTTTATGAGGAATTAAAATCTTTATATTATACAAATTAAATACTTGAATGTGTAAACTGTGTCACATAAGTCTAGGTACAATAACCATATTAGATCACAGTAAAATTTTTCTGGTATTTAAAGCATAGAAGTTTCAAAAAGACTAAATGTGTTATTAAAACTTAACTATAGGTATGTTGGTGCATTTCGAGAAAGCATTGCATATTTTGCAATCATTAAATGCATTGCATATCATCAAAGTTTAATTAAAACTAATATTTATTTTAATGGTTTTTATATCATATGCAGCCTCTTTGATAGTTTTTATTTCTCTTTTGGATTTAAATTGGTCATCAATTTTGTTAGAAATTTGTGTAAATTTGCCATAGCACCAGTAATTAACTCATCTTGTTGCCAATAAATAAGCCTGACTTATACTTAGTACACTCTACCGTACCTGGCATGGACAGGTAACCTGATAAAGTTGAAATATTACATTCCTGTCATTATAATCCTTGTCTTCTAAATTTGAGATTTGATTATACCAATTTTTTTTGTTCTTCAATTTTGTAAAAGAGCTATATTGAATGTTCCGATATAGTTTTTAAAACTTTCTTGTTCCTGAGATTCAACATTTTTAACAACATTTTACAGCAGTCTTGATGTATAGAAATGTAGTTTTGTTTAATAATTTTTCTAGCACTTGACATTCTCAGTTTTTTTGACTCTCTGTATGTTCAGTTAAAAGCTCGACACCAACCAAACCAGCCGAAATCCTGTAGAATATCATTTGTACCGGGCAAGAAATATACCGGCATAACTGATACTCTCCAATGAAATAAGGAGAGTGTACCTGAGTTATTAGTTATTTCTCAGTCTTATAATTTGCTTGTGCCTTGTTTTAGAAATGGCCCAAAAAGATTTGAAATATTAAATGTTTTAGTAATCACATCACACTTGTCACTTATACATAGTTTTTGTGCCAAACTGTTTCGATTTCCACTGTATCTTGTGTACGATTTCTAGCACTGTAGTATGTATATACTTATATTTATTATAGTTTTGCCAAATCATGTAGTTGCATTATTATAAACATAATAGTACGTTTTTTCTAAATATTAATATAGTGAAATAGTACATATTGGAGTATGTAGCACAAATGTATGTGTCTGTTTTATATTTTTTCTTCAAATTTACTTCACTAGGAAAATTAGGGCTCATTGTTTTAGTCTGAATTTTGTGGAATTAAAAAAAAAGTACATCACCATGAATTTTCTCTGACATTATTATATACTATTACATATATATTGTTTGGGCCAGATATTCCAAAGAAAATATGGCTACTGATAGGTGTCATATTCTACCTAAATGGTGTCTATTGAAGTCGATGAATAACAGAATATGGTGTTTTTTTAAGATAGGAATCGCCCGATATTTCCAATTCTATATATATGAAGGTGGTTATGAATTGTGTTTTTCATTAACCTTCTTTTTCAGTGTATTCCACTCCTGTGTACTAATGTTAGTGAATTTGCATTTTCAATAGAAACATTTGTAATGATTTTTTTTCAATTCAAGTCTGAACAGATGATAGATTTATCATCTGTCCATGTTTGACTGAAGTTTTCCAATTTTTACTACAGCTGTTGCAGTTGTGGGCAAGGTGCAATTTACTAGCCTTCCAATTTTTATGTAAGTAATTTTTTTCTATATATTTATTAGCCAGGATTGGGGATGTGCAAAATTGCTTCTATATATTTTGGAATTATGGGATTGTGCAAAAGCCTGAATGTTATGAAATGCATGCGGCAGCAATAATAATTGTCGGTTTTTCTGTAGTAAAAAATTCAGTTTTCAGAATTGATCTAGAATTTGGTCGGAATAAAATGGACCAGATTTTACAATAATTTCAAGTTGATTCTATTTATTCCAGATAATCATATAAAACATTGTAAAACAATATCACACTTTTTGTCATGAATTTGGAACCTAAACCTGGTTTAAAACTACTGTAGTTTGTGAATTTGCTGCCATGGTGTATTTGCACATAACAGAAATGTTACTCATTTATTATTTTTATTTAATATTAGAACGTAGGACTCTCTGTCAACATATTAATGTTATTCAAAACTATTAGTAAAGTTTAACAAAAGTACTGTATGCGTTTGTATATTTATTTCAAGATTAGGTCTGCTGTGTCTTGCTTGCTTGCTTCATACCTTGCCTTAGGACGGCAAATGGAGCACAGAAAGGGAAATATGTGATCGGTGTTTATTCTGAAACGTAAGGTACCTTTCACTACTAGTTCTCACGGCTCTCACTCGCGGATCGCGGCATTGCTGTTTAACGGCTGTCTTTATTGACGATATTGTTATCGAAATTTCATGCGCATATTCTCTGTTCAAATATCGAGTTCAGTTCGAAAAATAGGAAGGAATTGACGTTAACGATACCGGTACAAATAATTCGAATTTAGACTAATTAGTATTGGTTTTACATGCGATACGTCTGCCATCAATGGGAATCAACGGGAAACAAACGCATTCACCGTCAGTATGTAGTCTGGCGCTGCGCTACACAGAAACAACAGTACGAGAACATGTTTTTGTGTTATGCTGGAAAAGCGGGACTTTTGGCTGGCTTATCGGGACGGCGGGACAAAACGCTGAAAAGCGGGACTGTCCCGCCTAAAGCGGGACGTATGGTAAGCCTACCTATGTAGTAAAATCGGAAAATGTGAAGTTACAAAATCTTAGCTAAGGGGTTGTCCCGCTTTGAAGTCACAAAAATATGGTAACCCTATCTACAGACAGTGGCGTAGCATCCACCCCCGCGGTCGCGGGAGGGCCCAAGCGGTTAGAATTTAGAAATTTAAGCCGCAAAACCAAAAGCTGCATTGCAAAACCAGTTATGCACATCTTATAACGTTGATGTTAGTTCTGCTCAAGTCGGTTTGTTACGTAACAATGCCAGGGAGTCGTCGATTTTCGGCGTCTTGTGGTTTGATCAGAGCCGTTATATAGTGGCCCTGGTTTGATCGCACCGGCAAAATTACGAAGGCTGTCAGAATGATGTCAATAGCGAAACCTCTCAGCACAGAAACGCAGAAAAAGGGCAGAAGAGGAAGCACGTATGAAAAAAATTAAAGTAACCAAGATAAACGGCAAATTTTAGGTTACCATTGGCTTTTAATAGCGACATGTTATGCTTTTTGACGAAATAAAAAAAGCGTTGTTTTAGCTTATGTCCGAGAGCTTTTAGGGTCATTTCCACGAGAGTCTTGCTACGCCACTGTCTACAGAAAAGCATGCTTGGGCGAATAAGTAAATTTTCAATGCCTGAAACGGCAGAATATTTCTCTATTCCTTCTGCTGTACATAAAAAATCTAAATTCGGATCATTTGTATCGTTAGCGGCCATTCCTTTTAGACCGTGAGACGAGGCCCTGAAAAACGCCTAGAAAATGAGTTTCGTAGCGCACATAAGGGAACTACCTGGAAATAATTCTAAAATGTTCGTTAGAAATTGAGTAACAAATATTGCCTTGTTTCCACTTCCAAAAGTCATGTTCGAGATGAATATGTATATGTGTTTAATGAATCCTTACACATAAGTGAAAAAAAATAAGTGAGTGGATTTAATCCATAAAGTTTTCGAGAAGAGTTGTATAATATATTTATATATGTATCTTATTTTTCTCTAATGACCTAGAACAGCGTTTCCCAAACTGTGTTCCGCGTCTTCCGAGTGTTCCCTCTTCATCCGAGTGTTCCGTGGAAAAGGAATCGAAAGTACGTCTAAATTAGTCGCCATGGCGATCGTGAATTGTCGCCCAACTGACCGTTCAATTTCGCGTCACGTTGAGACTATTCAACTTTTTGTTTCAAATTTGAATAATCACAAGTTTTTGTGAGCGTAATATTATCGAGGCAGGTTTGCTTTTTTCGCCGACGAGGTGAGTTGTGTACTAATATTTGCCGTAAAAACCTCCGGATCTATTGAATAGCTTTGTGGCCCAAAATTCCATTTCCACGCTCTAAACTAGAATTCTAATTAGGTATCTTTGATACAAATTCCATGAATATCATTTCTATACATGAATTTTTTGCGCAATATGGCGAATAGTTCAATATAGCGAATAGAATGAGACATTTATGTCATTCGATGTTAGAACAAGTGAATTGCTAAACCGGACGAGGACGATCATCATGTTCATGATAAAAGTTGTTTAAAAATTTATCATTAAGTAAAAAACAAACAACACAACGATAGCCTAGCAGGGGAAATCTCAAATTTCGAGTGAACATGACTGGAACCGATAAAATAGAAATGAATTATGGACAAGAAAGTACTAAATTGAGAAGTTATGAAGAAAACATTTTATTATTGATATAATGAAATGAGAGATCGTCGGAACAGACCGGTACAAGTTAAAAAAGCAGTGGAGCTCTGCCCCTCCTATTTGTGCGTTTCTTCTTACGAATTTACTACGACTCTGACTCTACGTGTGACACGAATTAAAAAGTAAAAGCTAGTCAACTTGCAGTAACTAAAATCTTTAAAATTTTATTTCCGAAGGTTTTTTGAGTGAACCTGAGGCTCGAATGACCCGTTATTTTCGTACTCAACACTTGAAGAAGGTATTTGCAGTGTACACTCCACATAGTAACAACAAAGTCCCGATTTTCAACGAATTTTGAAGCTAGCTGCCAAACCCTCTTGCGACTCTGTTTATAAGAATGCAATGACGTCAAACCGGTTGTAAAGCAAGGCTGCATAAATATTTGAGAGTGTGTTAGTATCATAATATAAAGATTACTTGCACAAGAACAAACTTTAGCTTATTTTCAAAGTTTTTCGAGCACATATTTGTCTTGAATTTTATGTTTATGCATTGAAAAAGGGCACGGGCCTTAATAATGAAGCTAAGATATGAGCCCATTTATAAAAGATATTTATATATTAAATAAACGGCTTTGTAGATTAGAAAACGCGTCCCGTGAATTATATTGGAAAATAAGGTAATATTGGATATCAGCAGTGACTAAATTATTATTTTATTTCTAATAATTTACAAGTAAATTTTGTAGTACTTCGGAGCACTTCGAAACTATATAATTATCTTTTGCATAGAATTTAAAATAGAATAGTGAAGTTTGAAAAACTTATTGCCATATTACATAAACCCATGATAAAATTAAATCTCCTATTTTCAATCTAGTTCACTTAAATCTCATTTATTGCGCAAAGACGAAGGAGTAATACCAGGATGCCGCGAAGGCTTATCAATGGTGCTGAACCGTCTACAAGTTCCGAGAACTTGCTTGGCATTTCAGTAAGATAACCTAATCATTGTTAAAACTTTATGCAAGCTAAACATGAACCAGACGTAAATATTTTTCAATGGAATAGTCAGTGATGGCCCAAGCTTGACAGGCAGTATGTGATAATAAATTTACCCCAAGCTAGTTTGCGGGGGGAATTCGTCAGCGATATAGCACCACACCCTCTGCTTCTGTTAATAATTAAAAATATTCTGGGATATGTATGCGATTGTTTTATCATTTACGTTAGTTAAATACACAGAGCAAAATGACGTGTGGATTTTGCAATAAATTGTAACTAAAGGAGTAGAGCTTTTGTGACGGGCGTGTTTGCGCTGGGTAATATTTGTACATATTAGCTGGAGATAGTAGACCGTCATTTTTTAATGTTAATGATATATGATTAATGAAACAGTTCAATATAAGATTTTAGTAAAAGCTGTCATTGTTTACAATGCACTTATACATTTTTTGAAATGTTTATCATTGACCAATGGAGATTTAGGAAACCGTAAATACGCATAGGCTCAGCTTGGTATTTCAGCATGACGATATGTCGAAGTGATAATAGGCTAGAGCTAGATACATTTGCTGAAATTTGACTGCCACAGTATGGCTGGAATTGATGGTAATTACTTCAGTATCGGGAACAGCGCGACAACGCAGGACTCGGAAAGTATGACTCGTGGTAGGCTGGTTGTACAATCTCTAACTACTCTTTGTCGACCATTTCAATGAATATTTTTGATTTTGCGCTAAATTATAAATTGGTATAGAAGCAGTAACACCCTGTAAACTGAATAACTTCTGAGTGAGTGCGTAATTTTTTAGTTGTATAAAATCTTTTCAAAACAATATATACGTGGGCGCGACTCTTCTGATTGGAGTGTCAGTAATTACAAATAGATTTGATTTTATATTTTTAAATTCCCCTTACTTCTTTGACTGCTAAAGCAAATGTTTTCATGCATTGCATCATAAATTGCGTGATTTACTTATTTCTATGTTAGTGTTTCGTATTTTCTTTCGAAACAATTGCAGAGAAGTTAATTAGATAAACATATATATATACATGTACTAACTTAAAAGTGAAAAACAATCAAATAAAAGCTCGGAATGTAGATCAATGAAATGTAGTTCATTACCTCAACTGGAAGAATCATGATTTTTCTTAAAACAAAACAAATACTGCCATCTTCATTTTGTCAGATGTACTCCTGGAGCCACAGCTGACAGCACATAGCGACATCTACGCCATGAACGAGTGTTGCCCCGTATGTGGTGATAAGGTACCATACAATATGTAGACTAAATTTATACATCGCAAAATCCTTGGTCTAGTTGAATATACACTTTCTTAATTAATCTAGTGTTTGTGAAGTTTACATAATCTAGTGATCTAGCAATTTAAATCCATGACGGCAAACTTGGTAAAAATCGTACGTTGCAGTAACCTTACTTGAAGAATATTTAAGATAGATTTTAGATTACATATTAATTATATATTCATTTTCCTGGCAATTAAAGTTGAAGTAGGCCTACTCAGGCTACTATACTCGCGTGGTGCTTGTTTAACCATTATCATTTTTGCTTATATCTATCCAGGTTTCGGGATACCATTATGGTTTGCTGACATGTGAAAGTTGTAAAGGATTTTTCAAAAGGACGGTCCAAAACAAGAAAGTTTATTCGTGTGTGGAAAGCAAAAATTGTGTTATAGATAAAACACAGAGAAAGCGATGCCCATTTTGTCGTTATGAAAAGTGTTTAAAAGTCGGAATGAGGCTTGACGGTATGTATGCACCATGGAACCTAGTCAGAATGCAGGATCAAAGCGTTAATTGGATTTTACATATATATATATAGATATATATGTATATTTTTATCTTATATTTCATCGTGTTACAATAAACATATCTCAAGATCCAGAGTGAACTCGTCCTCTGCTCAACTTTTGTTCACTCAGAAATTAGTTTGCCCATAGCTCGCTGAAATTAATTTATTTGTTCATCTTTCTAACATCGATTATTTTGAAAATACTGTAAGCTTTATTTTTTTTGTTCGATTCAATAAAAATACTAATGTCATGAACAACCAGTAATGTTAGCCTCATATATGCTTCAGCTGTACGAACAGATCGGATGCGGGGAGGCAGAAACAAATTTGGGCCCATGTATAAACAAGACAGAGCTCGAAAGCAGCAGATTCAAGCCTTCCATCGTGCAACTGGATTTTTAAACATACTCGATGGGAGGCAAGTACACTCGGGCCTAGAGGTTTGTTTCACTTTTTTAGTTTGGTATTGATTAGTTGTTAAATTTTCGAATTGCTGTGACGTTATTATATGAGTGAACGACAAAAATTCTTCATTATCCCTTTCTTTAAGTACGATATGCTATGTAAAATGATGTGATAATGACAAGTGATTGTAATTGTGTGTAATCACGCGGATAGAGCATGGCAGTGCGTTTGCGCGTACTATGCAATAAAAATAAAATCATGTAAACGTTAAAACATTTATATATCGGGTTCGATCCAATTCATTCATTATTCATCCCGACCAACCTGGTGTGTGAAAATTTTTGATGTTGGAGACAAAATAAGTCGCTATCAATGGTATTCGGAACAAGTATATATATATTTCTATCACGAAAGTTCTTTATAATTTAGGTTCCGGTTTTGGCTTCGGTAGTCCCAACACCACGGAAATGTGTAATAATTTTTTTTTATTCCAGAAACGAATATTTTACCCAATACCTGAATATTCTCCTGACTCAAATCGCCAACAATTATTGAATGACGCAATCGGAATTACCAAAGACGGCAGTCAACCATACAAGGACGTCGCGGATCAGATGTATTTCTCTAATCCTGCTCTTCCAACATCCAATATAACGGACGAAGATACTGACAGTTCAAAAAATGGCCACACCAATTACAACAACTATAATAACAACTCAATTACTATCAATAGTCGCGCAGGGGGATATATTATGAATTCCAATACTTTGCATGTGCCAAATCTCATGAAGTCACCGAAGGAACGAAATGGCGACTTGGACTTTCATAATCTTGTTAACAGGACACTTTACGGCTCAGACAACGCAACTGATCTTGAAAAAAGCGCTACGTGCGAATTTTTAAAAAATAGAACTCTTTTTGAAGTGAGAACGAAAGAGAGTGAAATAATACCTTCATCCGAAAGAGACAATATCAGACAGATTGTTCCTCCTCATCAACCTCAAATATTACTATGTAGTTCACCCCAACTATTTCGATCCAAGTCAGAATGCAATTTATCACGAAGTATACAACATCGGCAGTTAGGTCTATCTCAAAGACTCTCATTTCAGTTCCATGGTGAATCTGCGCCAATCTTATCACCAATCGTTCCCGAAAGATATCTGGAATTGACCAAAGAGCCCTTACACCAATCTTTTCCACTTAGTACTATTCCACATCTACGACAACCATCCTTGCTCTCGGAACTAAGACTGAACGAGGTACAGTGAGCAGGTTGTTTCAGAGCGACGGCAGGCTACTTGAACTGAGTTTATTTTTTAGATATGCGTCTAAAAATTCTATTATATATATGGAACCAAGTTTAGTTATGGTTCAAAAGTACTTTACCTAGATCTAATTTTCTTGATTTGTGTAATGACTGTTTGCTGTTTTAAAACAATAACCGGAAATATTTTTCAAATTAATTTCAAATTATGATTTATTCTTAAGGTAAACCATCGAACGATTTCTGATATTCACTTAAAGCCAGACCAAGTATTCAGGTATATTTGTGAAATTGCTAATCAAACGCTGTTCATGATTGTGGAGTGGGCAAAATCATCTTCACATTTCAAGCAGCTAGAGGTGATTTATAATATTTATTATTTGGATAACGATCGCTCTTAGGATTGTATTGTAGCCAATAGTGAAATAATATATAATTTGAAACAATTCCGAATTAATGACTCTAATCTTACAAATTCGAAATATTGCAAACAATGAGAACATTATAATCGTTTATTTGTTTGCTTCAGACAAGCGACCAAATGACTCTATTACAAAAAGGATGGATGGACATCTTGGTGCTGGACCACGTATATAGACAAGTGGGTATTCTGATTTTTATTTGTTTCTTATATTTATTTTTTCACGAGGATTTGCATTTAAGAGTGATTCTCATTCAAACAAAACTGTATATGGATCTCAAAGAGTTTTAATGTATGTCATAATGTGTGTTTATCGGTTTCCTCGTCCCTATTAGCGTGTTTCGATGAAATAAACAGGGAACAATAACAACAAATATGACAATAAATACCTTTTAATATAATAATATTTAAGTACTTTCTTTGTAGGTAAATATTTCAACGGACACCATAATATTAGCTAATGGACATACCTATCTACATGATGCATATGATAAATATGTGAGTCAACATTACACCGATAAACAAGAGGAAGATTTCGTCAAAAATATTATTCAAAGATCTCGAGAATTAACGATGAAATTTAAAAATCTACATCTTGATAAAATGGAATTTAATTGTTTGAAGTTTTTGATATTATTTAACGCAGGTTGGTTTTTAACATTCGTTGCATACTACTTCCTAACTAGTTTATACGGATTGTTTTTAAATTAGTATTTTGCGTCTTAGTGTGCTAAGTTAATTTTTGATTTTGCCCAGATGCTTCTTCGGTTTGCCGAGTTCATCTCAGGATGGCGCAAAGTACGTTTAATGAAGCATTATGGCAGCATTCACACAGACATGGAAGTTCTAATACAGACAGGTAGATAATTCAATTACGAACACATCCGTTACGTTCGTAATGACCGTTTATGTGCATTAAAATAATCATAATTCTTTTCTCATGTACGGTTAGGAAGTTCTTTCTGAGTTGTCCTACACACATATTTTCATTTTGCAACCAAACGTCGGCTTTTCATTTTTTAGAGTCGGTCAGCTACTCTACACCTTGTCAGAGGTTCGAACCTTAAGTCTGCATTGCGAAGAATATCTATTCAAACAATTTCAGCAAGGAAATACACCAAAGAATAACTTGCTAATTGAAATGTTACATGCTAAACGTAACGTTGCTACTCGCTGAAAACTCTAATAACTCTTTGACGAGTCAATTGCCTGCCTAAAAAAATCTCTACCGCGAGAATTCAATTCCACTGTGAATTTGAAATGAATCACGTGATTACAATCTACTCGGGGTATAGGATACAAAATAGACTTTACTCGTATATAAGTTCTTTATTTATTGATATTTCAAACTATACTACCTTCATTGAAGTGCTTAAATAAATTGTAAACCTTGGAGACAACTGTATCTTCAGTCCAAGATAACGGCACGCGCATGTGAAATAACCTTATCAAGCAATGTAACTAGGAAGAACGGGGAGTTTTCTTGTAGAGGAAAAAGTAAAATCAGTGTTGCGCCTAGAATTGTGGCTCCCACCCCAGCAGCTGTCTGGCCCCCTTGGTGGGCCACCGGCTAAATACAAATAAACAGAACATAGCTGATTTTACTTCTATCGATTGGGTGTATGACAACTGGTATAAAAAAAATTGAAATTCTATGACATTTTATACAATATAGAGCATGGGTGGCGAACCACTGACCCACTGTGTTTTTCGGTAACCTCCAGAACCAGAATTAACGCGAAAAACATACTAGCATTTCGGTACTCCTGAAGTATGCGCACCAAGATGTCGCACAACCTGAACCCTAACCTGGTACACAACCTGAGTTCATCTTGGTGCGCATACTTCAGGAGGTCCAACATTTCAGTGATGAATATTAATGATAGAACTGGCTTTGAATTCAGTTCAATCATAAGTGAACTACTATGACTAGACCGGTCTATTTGCAATGCAATATTGTCTTATAAGGCTACATATCAATACAATTGATCACTTCTAGCAAATTGTCTTGTTACAGTGTTTCCTTTTCTGAGATGCAGCGTGCTTTGGGGGTATACGGGAATTATATGATATATTGCAGTTTGCTCTTTTCCGCATACAATGCCATTTTAAAAACAAAATTTTATAAACCTAAATTAAAGACTATGAAAATCTGAAAAACCTTTAGACTATAACAGAGATTTTAAGACGATTAAGCCGATTAGAAAACTTGATCATCTCGGAGTGGAATTTCCTTCCAAACTAAAAAGATCATCGCCACCACGGAGGGAGGGGGGGCACCAATGGGGGACCTCAGGGATGCAAAAGCGAATTCCACATCAATACAGTCATTGATAAATATATATGGCCCACTATCCTCTTTTGAATAAAAAAATTATAATTTTTAAAAGTTTCGCCATCTGATACACAGCTTCTGTATGCCTAAACATGCTCTTCAAAACTTATATATTAATATTGATAAAAAGTTTCTTTACGTTGTTAATGGAATTGACAAGATTTATTCATCTGATTTGCTATCGAGCCCTCACTTAGATGTTTCCTACTTCGTGTACAATCGCCCATATGTACATATGGGAGGGAAAGTTGCCTTAAGTGGATTGGGGTAAAGTCAACCCCTCGTGAAAATACAAAATTTCTTCTGAAATTTCAAATTTCTTATTATATAAGATCACTGGAATAATAATAATTTTGAATCAAGCGTCTGGAAAATTAAAACCTTCAAATAACCGTTGTTCTGCATTCCATAGTATTATTATAATGGCAATTTTGTGGGATGAAACAAGCATTAATTGCTATAAGATGGGATGAGCTGGAACGGAGAAACATATCCCTCGGTCAAGCCTACCCATATATCAGTCCATGCATATTTTCTGGTCTCGTGAATCATATTAACTAACAGTTCACAGTGAATAGGTTATCCTTATGGTGTTCTTTGGATTTCTTTCCCTTTCGTGAAGAAATCGTAGAGAATTTGTTCAGGCAAAGATGATTTGTAAAACGTATTTAAATTATATTACATATTTTTACTTATTTCATTTCAGTTGAATCCGGTTTAATGTCGTTGAAATCGCCGACATGTGGCGTTTCTGTTTGATTTTTGACATTTTCACGTCGAATCTATGGACTGATGTCACCGCATCGGAATCAGAATCATTGGCATCAATTCTTATCGAATCCCAAAAGCAGAATCGTAACAAGACGTCACGTTTTATATGTTGCGGCCGGCCGTGACTGGGATTCTATCGGATTTATATTTCAGGCCCATGTATACCACATCATCGAGTGTGCAATCAATTTGATATCATGTCAAACTGGATATTTTCTTTTTTATTTTAAAAACACGGTACCATCTAGTATATTAAACAGAGCCACAGGAACATAAAAAAATTTCATCACATCTATCTTCAAAGTTTTTATCCCTATTTTTTAAAGAAAAACAATACTTTTTCACTAATATTACTGATCTGGGCGGAAAAAACTGCAATATTTTCAGTGATAACCAAGCCATTTCTACACTTCAGAGACGTAAATGATCTAGTTCTAGATGTAAATCATGGCTTTGTCGCTATTTCAACTTCCTTCGGATTTTAAATTGTCAAAATTACTATGTGGGGAAAGAGGTAATGTTCAGGCGGCAGCGAGCTTTGTGCGGACGCTGTATGACCTAAATAATTTCGTACATTTGGATTTTTGACTCTTTTAACGTCGAATCTATGGACTGATGTCACTACATCGGAATCAGAATCTATTTTAACTTCTTTCGGATTTTAAATTGTCAAAATTACTATGTGGGAAAAGAGGTTTATGCGGACGCTGTATGACCTAAATAATTTCTGAGTGGTTGATATATATGTAGCCTACTCCCTGCTGCAAAATCTCTCAAATTCGAAAACCGCTTGTGAAAGCGCTAAAAAATATTCATTACAAATAATAATTATATCAAAATAATAAATGAACTATATAAGCATCGAGGTTACTTGCTTCTTTATTTATACTAAAATCTGTATTTGTACTAATCCTATACCCCTCTGTACCCTTTCTGTTTTATCAAGAGACGAAAGCCACTGAAAAAACGTTGGTTTTTATCGTCGGCGATTCAATGATGAAGATGATCTTACTTTCACATTTTCGTGATATATTTCTCGTAACTTTGACGTCATATTGTGCTTGTAGCCCCGATATAATCACGGTACTAGAGTCATAAAAATGGAGGACGGGGAAACCAATGGAAGATAATGGGCGGCAAACTAGTCACAGGTAAAGATGCTAAGTATGATTACTTACAACAGGGGTCGGCAACCTACGGCCCACGGGGTAATATATTCCGGCCCGCGGCGCTTCACTGAATTATAGTAACAAAACAGCTGTTCTGACGTTTATATTCTTTACGTAACAGAATTTATTGTGAGACACGTGTAGACCAAATTATATTCTAACCTAACAAGAATATAATTCACAATTACTCGTTTAATGAGCCTATAATTTATTTATAATTTGACAAATGGCAACAAAAAGCAGAAAAGTTGATGCTAAGTGCAAAGAGTTCGATGACGCCAAAAATATTCAAATGATTTTTTTTTAGATGCAATGAGGAAATAAATCTATATTCTATTCGAGAGATGTATCACTGATTGGTTTTTATTATAAAAAGTATCATCTGTTCGGTTTTCAACTTTCTAAAATTATGTGCGGCCCGCCAATGACTTGCAACCTCTAATTTTGGCCCGCGAGCTACAAAAGGTTGCCGACCCCTGACAGGGACGCGTGTGGACTAAAGTATATTCTAGCCTAACAAGTATATAATTCACAATTACTCGTTTAATGAGCCTATAATTTATTTATAATTTGAAAAATGGCAACAAAACGCAGAAAAGTTGATGCTAAGTGCAAAGGGTTCAATGGCGCCGAAAATACTCAAATGAAATTTTTTGATATGAAATGCATTGAAGAAATAAATCTATATTCTATTCTAGAGATGTATCACTGATTGATTTTTATTATAAAAAGAATCATCCGTTCGGTTTTATACTTTATAAAAATATGTGCGGCCCGCCAATGACTTGCAACTCCTAATTTTGGCCCGCGAGCGACAAAAGGTTGCCGACCCCTGACTTATAAATATTCGATTCTTATCCGATTCCTAAATTTTCGAATCCGATTCTCGATTCCTCGCCATAGTTTACCGATACAACATACCCACCTAAACAATACCATATGAAAATGGACATGATGGCCAAAACTAGGTAGTATGGGTATTCAATCTGTCACAGTAGACAAATCGCACACTCACAAAAAAGAATCCCTTATAGCCCACAGAATTTTTTGAAATACATAGACGTAATAGCCTTTTAGTGAAAAATACAATTTTTAACCACTGATAAATAAATTCGAAGCAATTGGCCCAGTAGGTAATGAGGAAAATTTTTTTTTTATAACAAGAACAAGAAAATGACTTCTAACAACAACAACAAAAACAACATAATACCAAAACGATCTGTATGTCCACTTTGTGTTCAAAAAATTACTGCCATAACAAAAATTTATTTCAATATAAAAAGTTCTATTCGTCCACATGTCCTTCTGTGAGTCTGGATCCGCAATTCGGAGACGGTAAGCCCCGCTAAGCTTAATTCTCTGTCTGATGCAGGGGATGTTACTGGGACACAGAGGTACTTTTGGACGACAACTGCGATGTTTGATAAGTTTTTTGTTTTGTTGCCACCGTGATCAAAAGGGAACATGATAATTTCACTGGAAAAATAAAATGCCAAATATGATAAAGAGATAAAGCGTTCATTGAAACCATCGCTCTTTATTACCATATAAATTGACATTGGATTCATAATATCAAAATACCCCGCCGTAACTTTAACTTTACATTTATTCAATGAAAGTCTTTGCAAGAAAAATTCTATTGGATTATCAATACTGGAATACTATAAGCATTCAAATATTACGTCCCTTATTACACAGTTGAATGAATGGCTATACTATAGCGTTTATTTAATATATAATAAAACAAGAGATCTACTACCATATAATCCTAAGACTGATGCACGTTACATTGCAATAAAAGGGCAATGCTGGAAGATATGAACAAGAGGCCAAAACAAATTGTCATTAAATCTTATACAATATACCGGTAGTGTGACCACCAGATGGCTGAAATTCAATCGCGGATACTCCATATGGTGCCCAATTTTCAATTTTAATGATGTCATCACACAAAATTTGTAGACATCAGTATACAAATGCGAGTTGGATAAATCATGCTCAAGTCGAAATAAATCGATTTGCTTCTACAGATTTTGATCTACATATCTCTTTTCCTAAGATTACCTAAGATTTACCTAGATTTTATTTTCAACGCGTCTACGACAAGAGAATATAAAAATGATACGACTGTTCTTATATTTATAAAACAAAATTATTAACTTGCTTAATAATCATCTCCTAATGGACAAACATAATTAGTGTGAAGCTTCAACACAAATACCTATCAGGTGCAATTCCAGACATCCAAGTTTAGCGCCCAACCTCCGTCATATGGAAGCCGGCAGCAACCGCAGTAGACTAAATGAAATACAAGCTAAGATACTGACAACACACACGAAACTGTCTGAAATGGGTGAAATGCAGAAACGTGAACATAAAACGGATTTTTAAGGGGTTTATTCAACTTTGGTCACCAATAGCAGGTCAATATTGAACCCATTCAATATTTGTAATGTGATTGAATCCCAATTGTACACAATTGATGGATGGGACACCTCATTAATCAATATTGGATAACCTAATGTAAATTCAACTACACTTTAGGTTGCTTTATATTCACAGTTTCATTTTTGTAAGTGATGGAGACTATTTAAAGTTTGAGACAGAATTATAAATGGTATGCCGTGTATATAATACATATATTACCCACTACCTATATCACTTCAAGCACATTGAATATGATGAAGCATTCATTAAAATTTTTATCAGTTAGAATACATTTTCAAATATATATGTATATGCGCAATGGATTCAAATATAAACCATTTTAGAAAATACAAAACATTACCCACAACAATCCAATCTCTTTCCGTTGTATCTTTTCTCTCTTTCCGCAATGTGTCCAAACGTGTGAATCTATTAAATATTTATTTTCACACTTTTTAAATGTTCTTGGCTCATACATAGGTTTTCACACTTCAAGCACTTCCTGATTCGAAAAATTGTCTCTATTAAATCGCTCGAGTGTGTTATGGGACTCTGCATTTTTGATGATGTTCAAGAGTGGAGTGGGTCATATGGAATAAGTTGTTTTTCAACGATATGAAATTTAATCGACTCTCTGGATATTATATTCTTTTGCTGTAAATTGTAATTTTAAAGGGATAAAAAGTTCGAAATTTTTCTATTATTGTCATTTATAAAAATACTCGAAATGAACTTGTGACTATCCATAACTGTATCATAACGTCTGATCGTTGTAAAAGTGTAGGTAAATGAAAGTGCTAAGAAAACTGAAAAGAAGAAAAGAAAACTGCGACAAAACAGAAAAACCTAATTATAAAATACAGATAGTGTAATATTGAAAGGACCAACCGCGTTCGTCAAACGATTCAAAAGAATTAACCTTTAAGAAGAACCTTTAAGATAAAAAGAATAAGCTCAACGAAACTTAATTACACAATATCAAGAGAAACCAAATGAATGATTCTTATCTGTATTTGTTAATTGATAAAATATTGATAACAGAAGTATATATATTGTTATTTAGAAAGTCAGTTAGCATTAATTAACTCCGGGAAGCAAATTGAACTAACTAAGATTAATTTATTGAGGACAATATCGAAATGAATGCAAATTCATTCATAGGAACTGACAACAACAACTATGCGACCGACAAGAATGCTAAAATTACCACAAAGACGTTTAAAGCAACATTGGTTTGGAATAATCTCGTCGATACTTTCAAGTCAAAAATGCAATGCAAGAAAATAAGACGAAATCTGAAAATTTATGAAGAATGTTTTACGGGATCGTCTGCAGTTGATACAATGTATTTCATTTTACTATCAAAGCAACAATTTGGAAATATTTTACGAATCCAGGTATAGTTTCGTGTTTTTTCTATAAATTGAACCGAATTATGTTATTCCACGTCAACATTTATAATTTTTTTTATATGATTATTCAATTCTAATAAATTTCCTAAACAGGTTGCCAAACTCTTTCAAAAATTCATTGAACAACATCTAATCGAAGATATTCATGGAAAATGGATGAAAGAAAAATTTGTTGATTCCGGAAAGCTCTACAGGTAATTATTAATTGAAGATTGGTAAAATAATATGTTTTCATTGATAATATGATAATATCTGATGTATTGAATATAAAAAACATCCAAAGACGACAAAAAAATATTAATAACCATTTACACTGAAATATTTTTATCTTCCATCCATATATTTTTAAGACTCGTTCTTCATTTGCTCATTAGATTTCCCAAAGATCCTGAACTCTCTCCACTCGAGAAAACTGCCGAGGCAACAAACTCTCCTCATAGAAGATCCATATCACTCCGTTCATACTTCATTCAACCAAAGGTATGTATGTGTTCACCATTTAAAAACGTTTAAACTGATATGCATTTATGCATTAGATTGTTACATGTTAATTTCTGACTTTGAACTTTGCAATGATTCAAAACAACGTTTTACAGCTGACCACACTACGAACAAAAAAGTCAGTCAAAAAATCTCCATCGGTACTAAGAAAATATTCAACTTCAAGTTCAATGTTCGAATTCTCAAAGGAAGAAAACTCTTGTGCTGTTATCAAAGTTGCGAGATTCTTTTTAACATCGACTTCAAAAGTTCAAAATGAAAAGTTTTGAGTGTACTGAAAAATTTAATTTCGTTATATCGAGAATGAATGGAAAGAGAAGCGACCAATGCAAATCAGAACTCAACGCTTATTATTAATCCATTCGAACTTAGAATACTTTATGTGAAACATTTACCTATATCTAATCCACATCTCTTTTCTTTCTCTTTACACTTCTTTTTATATTTCTGTATTTCTTGTATCTTTTATTGAATAACTCTGTTGCTCACAAATATTTAGATATTTCAATTTGCTGAAGTTTTTGCGATCAAAATATAGATATATTTTTGAAAGATATCGTCTGTAATATGTAAGGTTTGCAAAAGTTTGTCAGTCAAACACCATGTTACTGTTGGATTAGAATGACTTGACCTGATGTAGATTCTGTGTCAAATAGTAAAGAAGGTAGGTTTCGATTGTCAATTCAGAATTATGAAATATTTTCCAGTGCTATTATCTGGCTGATCTGAGAATAAATATCTATGCTCATTTATGGGTGTTCTAACTAAACATCTCCTAAATTGCAAATCTAAATTGATTGGTGGAGCGTATCCACAATGCAATCATTTCAAATCCGATGTTCAAAAATGTAGAAATCTTTAGCACATTCGATCGGAAATGAAATATTTCGTAACATTTTGTTTCATCGGATGTAGGCGATTTTGCCTTGTAGTAATCTAACTCACCGTCTGTAACTGTGCTTCAAACTCCAGGAACACGTTGGATGGGTAATCAAAATATATTGTTTTTTTTCTGACCCAGGAGAAATATGGATTTTTTTCCCTAAATCCTCTACACCAGTGATTACCAAATATTTTTGCGTCGCGACCCCCTTTGGATATTTTATAACATGCCGCGACTCCTTTCATAATAGATATATATATATGCTGAATTTAAATTAGTGGGCCATACAAAAGAAAGGATATTAAGCTTTAATGCGTTTTTTTGCAAAATAGTTATCTTGAATCAATTCAAATATATACTATAAATTATTAAATAACCCTGTTATCTCCAAAATTACTATCACAACTATTCAATTAGTACCTAATTTCCGGATATTTGGCCGATTTATAAGACCTAATTTTTCAAACTGATTTACTCTGGTGGGGTTAGCTTTCGACCAGAAAATATCGGGAGTCAAAATCGGCCTGGGCGGTACCGGAAAAAATGAAAATTCATAACTCGTACTTTTATGTTACTCATTCCATAGAAATTGTGCCTTCTGTAGACTCCAAATTTCAAGGTTAACAATTGAATTGATATTAGAAGAGGAACAAAAGGGTCCTTACACTTAAAATTGAAAAAAATGAAGAACATTGTTAGATAAACATCTACAGAAGTTTTCTGCCGCGACCCCAGAGTTTCTTGTCGAATATTAATCCAACACAAAAATTGTTAAACTAGACCAGCGTTTCCCAAACTTTTTCGGCAACGGAACACTTACACTTTTTATCTCGCCTCGCGGAACACCAAAAAATGAAAGGGTAAAATTGATAAAGAAAAGGGGTGTCATTTTGCGGTTCCCAATGGGTTCTCGTGGGGAGTTGCCAAATGCGCGAAAACTAACATAATTATGTTAAACATACCTAAAATATGATTGAATATTTTACATATTGCATTTATTATAAATGTTTCTCTATTTAAGTGTTGTGTATATAGCAGAATTCGTTTATTTTACCATCCTATGTCGTTTACTTTCCATTACGTAGTGTTTGCCTCTAATCTTACGTCTAATGTAGATAGAAGTAGGTTACTTGTCACAATTTCGCGAGCTGCAGACCTGCAGTTTATTTTTCTACTGAATAGAGTTTAGCGAAAATGAGTAAATTTTTCAGCATTTCAAAGTAAAACCAGGCAGAGATGGAGGTAGAAGAGTTTACTATCTGAACATCTGTTCTTTAGACCTACTTGTTTGATGATAGCAAAACCAAAAGGATTGCTGTAAACTTGATAATGAACTTTACAGTCAAAAAGCTAGACCCGACGGTTAACGAAAAAGCCACTGACGCTACATCGAACGGTCAGTTGGGCGACCATTTTGGACGTATTTTTGATTTCTTTTCCACGGAACACTTCGAAGACGCACGCGGAACACAGTTTGGGAAACGCTGAACTAGACACATATCGCGATACTTCCCAACCGGGGAAGAATTCCGCTCAAGAGAGAAATTTAACCGTTTTAAGGGAGGACTTTTTATTGTTTTGTTTGTTCATATATATATATCGTAAGCACTTCGCATTGAGTATATACTGTGCAGCACAAATATTAATTCATTCTTTTTATGAATAATCACTTGAACTGTACAAAAAAGTGGAATGCGACTTGCGCATTACTTTGGAAAGCGGTTCATTAAAGATTCAATAAATAAAGTGGTGTTCATAGAGAGGAAGGGTTCCAAAATAGGTAAAGGGGAAAGTCAATAAAAAAGGTTGGGAACCACAGACTTATAGTTATATTAAAATGCGTGCTGTCAACAGATTAGATTTGGCGCGGCGGTGTGGCTCAACGGGCTAAGCGTTAGGAATACGCTCGCCACCGCACCTCTAATTAGCCTACTCTATTAAAATGCGTGCTGTCAACAGATTAGATGTCATGGTGGTAAGAGTGTTCTGAAACGGGAGACCTTAGTCCGGGATTTGTTACCATGGCTACTCCGACCAGTGGTGTATGGAGTTGCTTCAGGATAGGATTTACATATTTATTGCTTTCTTTTATTAATTAGACTGACACCGGGATATTGGCGCTCAAATGTGTCTCAGAGGCTGGCTTCTTTTTTATTTTCTTTCTTTCGACTTTTGCTAGCATCTTGTTTGAATTTTTTCCTCCGTATGATTTTTTTTTAGACTCACTTCCTCAGGGGTGACGCTGCTAGAAAACCTTCACTGGTTTACCGCGTCTCCTTTCACACTGAAACGTATTTTTTTATACATTTTTTTCGTAATTATGTTTATCCTTTGTGTACTTTTGGTATGTGATAAAATAAATTACTGACTGACTGGATTGGTTAAACCCAAACCCTTAAAAATAGTATTCTATTGTTTCTCGTTTTCAATATTTATGCCTATATACAAATTTATTTTTTTACCACTGGTTAGGATAGTTTATATAGAAAAGAGTGGACGTAAAATCATTTTGTTCTGCGACCCCCTGAAAAGGAGTCGCGACCCCCAGGTTGGCAACCACTGCTCTACACGTTACTGTGAACGCGTAACATCAGCAAATTATGGTATATGTGAATTTATTTAGCGGGACAATCACGGCGCAATGAGAGAAATTTTAATAATTTAAATCGACACGCTCGCCGGCTACAATTGCAGTTATAATGTACGCGATTCAATACATCTGTAGATAGGTAATTCGATCCTCGCACTCCCCGTTACTGGATTTATCAGTGATAGTATCTAAACTATTTGCTCGTCAGCAATTTTGATACTTTACTTCTGACCGCAAATTCATCATATTCTATCTATATCCAGAGATATGGAATTCTCTAAATTTTGATACATTTTTCTGAAGGTCACTCCCAATTTTGCAATAAAAAACAGTTTCAGATCTTCTAAAATTTAGAATGCACAATTAGCATGTTATCTGGCACAAAATGTATATATGAATCCTTTTCTAAACTATTGTTTGGAAAAATGTTGCTTATCTCTGCAACCAATGGACACATCGATTTTATAGGTTCAGTAATAAAAGATTGAAGATAACGTCACAATATGTTATTTTTCATATTTCCTCGAGAACCCCGAGACTCGGGGTGGATGTTTCATTTTTCTTGAAACTTTTTATTTTGACTCCCTTCGTTCTAGGCAAACAAGGTGATCGAAAGCTGTACCGGTACAGATACGTGGCCTCCTTGTCCATATTGATTCCGCACCAGGTGGCTGTTGCAAAATCTCACAAAATCAATCAGGCCCACCCAAACCTCACACAATACTACAATAAATACTTGAAAACATGTTTCAATGGAAAAAACTAACAATATCGATATTAATTTCACACAATTATCAAAAACAAAATCGGCAAAAAATCTTAAATTTTAGGCAGTTTTGGTGCAGTCACAATGGGGTTGTTCTCTTTTAACAACTGCCTTCCACTAGACTTGTAATCAAAAGTGCAATCATGTGTTTCAGCATATCGATGTGTGGCACAGAAGTTCTTCCCACATCTGTGAAAGACAAAAGAGTGGATTCATCGTTAAAGGGGTTGTCATTTCGCATGGAAAACTGAATAATTTGATATTCAGAATATATTTGAATAAATATCAACAAATATAAGATGCACTCAATAGGTATAAAATTTGCATGATCAATTAATATTTATAGACTTAATTTTGATAATTCAGAAAGACTTAAATGGAGCCCACTTTCGTCTGACTATCACATAACAAACGCTAAAAATGACCATTATCGAAATGATAATATTTTAAGAGCTTTCCAAAATCAGTAGAAGTTTAGTATGTAATAACTAATTATAATTTCCATTGTTTTAGAATATCGATTCAGGCTGGCAGATCATGCCCCATGCGTACAACCCGATGCCTCCAAAACTATAAAGTCAGATTATTGGCATAAAATTGTATATATTATTATTAATCTCCATTCTTTCACTTATTATCACCTCACAAGGAATAACCAAGTTCAAACCCCACAGATACAATATATTTAATTATGAATGAAAATTGTTTTCACAAATATTCCCTCAATAAGGGGCTACAAATTTATTCAGAAAAAAAAAACGATCAAAATGTTTCAACTTCAACAAACAAATGAATTGTCAGAGTTTGCCTAAAACTTGACAAAGAGTCATTACTTGACCAAATAGTCATTATCTATAAACGACTTTCTCCACCAATATGTTATATTAAACTTCAAAACTAGCAGTTCGAATCCATTTATGATAATTACAAGTCAACATAACCCTGGTGTGCGGAAAAATGAATGAATGATTATAAATGTCATTTTCTATACAAACCTGCAAGTGTAAGATGTAGCAAGACCAGTTTTCTTTCCACACCAAACACACTTTTTCTTTTTAATAACGAGAGGCCTTACAGGAGGGAGTATACTATTGGGAGAATGGGGAGATTTTCGTGAATAACAAGAGAGTGCTCTGAGGCAATCAACGTCCAATGATGTTACGTCGCCATCAAAATCGACTCGTTTGTTCTTGAGGCCCTAAAAGTAAATATTTTAAATGAATATATATAATTATTCCATATTATTTTAGTTTAAACCAATCTAAGTATGTTTGAAGTATTCACAAACGTAGTTAAAAAAATATAGCCTATATAAAGTTTATTAACAAATAATATTGATTATAATTAAATGCTGAAATATACTTTTTGAAAGCAATGAATAAGAAACAGTAGTGGTAAGCATTTCAAAATTCACCATTATTTTCATTTTTTTTTCATGAAAAAGGGGTTCGTTCCGAATATGAAAAAATTAATATCATGGAATTATAGACAGCCCTTCAGTAGGTCTCATCACTTATCAATCTCGATCGGTAAGTATGTTGATGGGTATTTGTCTGTTTGTTACTTTTCGATCTTGATCGGTAAGTATGTTGATAGGTATTTGTCTGTTTGTTACTTTTCGATCTTGATCGGTAAGTATGTTGATGGGTATTTGTCTGTTTGTTACTTTTCGATCTCGATCGGTAAGTATGTTGATGGGTATTTGTCTGTTTGTTACTTTTCGATCTTGATCGGTAAGTATGTTGATAGGTATTTGTCTGTTTGTGTGTTTGTCTGTTAGACACTTTCGTATGTTACTCGATATCTCACGAAAGCAAAGTTGAATCTCCTCCAAATTTTGCATATATGCATACATCATATCTCGGTCCAAAAGCCTATTGATTTTGGATGAATTATGTCGTATAATTAGCGAGTTATTAATTAATTAGTGATGGGACTCGCGGTGTTACTATTGAGACAGATCAAAGGAATCGTAACCGCAGATCGATAAGTCGGCAGGTCTCCGATCGCTATCTAGTTAGATTGTTATTGGCTATTTGCAAACTCGACTTGAGCTTGTAACTAGACTAAAAGCAGTTATCGTATATGCTCGTTTTACCGCCCGATCTTGATTAGGGGGCCCGTTTGAATAGCAGAACAGAACATAAAAATAAATAAGAGCCAGTGCTTGAATACCCGTCCGATGTAAAAGCTGATTTTTCAGTGGTAGAGAACAACAGGAAATAAGAAGCGCTTTTGTTACAACGCTGTTGAATTTTAAGCGCCGGTAGATAACACTCACGCCTTAGGCGTCCAAGTACATAACAGATAGCAATGATTACGTAACACCATGGTTCTCAAACTGGGCATCGCGATGCCCAAGTGCGCCGTTTCAATATTGATGGGGCAACGCAAAACTTTTCTTCTTTTGCGGATTTGTACCTGCGTTGCGTAGAAAAATTCAAAATTTTCTTTATTCTCGTCCAAATCATACTTGAGAACTGGAAATAACAATATCTTAAATCTTCTTTTGGGGATTTGTACTTGCGATGCGTAGAAAAAGTCAAAATTTTCATTATTCTCGTTTAAATCATACTTGAGAACTGGAAATAACAATATATTAACGAGAATATCGGTCAGAGACCGAAGACTTATCGATTGAAAGTTAGGGGAACCCCCAAAACCGGGCTCTTACTCCATAGTGACACCTTGTGTCCTATCACTAATTAATTAATAACTCGCTATTTATACGACATAATTCATCCAAAATCAATAGGCTTCAGGTCCGACATATGATGAATGCACATGCAAAATCTGGAGCAGATTCAATCTCGCTTTCGTGAGATATCGCGTGCATCTAACAGACAGACAAACAGACAAATACCTATCAACATACTTACCGATTAAAATCGATAAGTAATTATTGTAACGATCGAAAATAACAAGCGCCCGTGCTTGAATAAGGGCCCGGTTAGTGAGTTGGTTGAAAAAAATATGGGCCCGGGCTATAAAACGAGCAAATACGGTATTAACATTATCAAGTTGACTTCTTGACTTTCCTTCATATGATAACTATGGTTATCCTATCCTTACTCACCGCTGGTATAGATGGATTAGATGTGGAGTGTTTGGCTCTACCATTTGTCATATGATCATGATCATCATTGGGACCGAATAAAAAATTATGGTCTGGTTTGATAAGAGGTGTTTCAGAAACTGTAACTCCCAATGGCATAACTTTGGACAAAACTGTTGGCTTTTCATTGAAATCTGGAAATAAAAAAATTTCATAATCGAGTTGAAAAGCAGCAGTTATCATTGTAGAACAGAGGTGATGTACATACGGCCCACGAAGCAATCAGTGTATGTTTGGCGTGAAGTAATAAACCTTTAGGGACAGTACGATGAAAAATAAGAGTGCCGGTATTATTAATATTACTGGCAACGCTATTTTAATACATCTTGTTTTGTTGAATCATCGATCACCTTTAACAGTGGATCAAAATGACATGTCATTGTCTTAGCATAGTTACGCTGTCTTATCGACGAACGTATAGAGATCAATGGAAGAAGGGGTAACCTTACTTTGTGGAAATGTAATGTTTTAGCGCACGATACACAGGATATGTGGAAGAAATAGAAAGTTTATAACGTTACGGGATGGATTTGTTTATAATATTCATATCCAAAGAAATACAGATCTTTTGTCCGAACCCCCACCACAAATGCTGGTCAGATGTGGTCATTTGCTTGAATACAGGCGTCAGTATCAAACTCTGCATTTCTTTAGGCATATTCGCATCACTACTGTCACATAAACTGCCCGAATGCCAGGATACTTCTCACGGTACATATTAATCAGTAGAATCACCACCACATTCTATATCTTGCAAATCGCAGCGACATGCAAGATATGCCAGAACGCCGTGACAGAAGCAAAACACCCACCCGCGAAACTCACAAAGGAATTGTCGCATGTGACACGCATCACAGATCACAAAAGTTACTTTGTTGTGATCCTCCCCTGCTATATAACGACCGTTGGAAAAATCGCTACGATTTTTGCCTGAAGGTTTTTTAGTTGATATATTTTGAATGCTATTTTTCGGGATTGCCAATATTTTATAAAAATTATCAAATGAATGATTAATAAGGGGAAATGAGGGTTAAGAGAGGAAATATATACAGCGCACAAAAAGCCACTGCAATGAGAGTAGAAGACCAGGATAAAATCTATATTCTATATGACACTAAATATTGTTGGTGGAGGATGTGAAGGTGCTCTCAATAACATTACTCATTGTGGCCCTGGAATGATCATGCACAGTAAAGTTCACGGTTGCTATTTCTTAATGAACAAAGGCTAACTGAAATAACCAGAATCCAACATATTATACGTAATAAATTGTTTAAAGATTCATAGACCGTATTTCCTGGCGAATAAGTCGCTTTTCTAGACCCAAATTTTTGGCCTGATTTTTTATGGGAGGGGGGGTCATCTTATTATTAGCGAGTATGATTATTTTCATTTTTTTGGTGTCGCCTTATTATGTATTAGGAAATGTTATTTTATGGTGGACGGAATCGCGAGTTGAACACAAGTAGATTAAAGTTTGAAGACAGTTTGAATTCCCGTAGTTATTATGGATTGAATATTACGCTACAAGAAAACGTCATTATAAGCTATTTTAACCAATGCGCAAACGCGGCGACCGCTCAAAAGGCATATTCCGATCTTGATGCGATTTTACTACCCCGACTTATTGGCAGGTTATATGCAAAAACCCATTTTTTCAGGCTTGAAAACGGGCCTCGCCTTATTGACCGGGTAGACTTATTCGCCGAGAAATACGGTGAGTAGGTATGTTACAAAAAAATTAAAGGTTATCCGATTTAAATACACACTGTACCAGTGGATAGATCTAAGTGAAAATAAAAAAATATACCAAGTTTGTGAAAAACGGTCAAGAAATAACAAATATATCGGCATTTTAATACCGCCCGATACTCAAAATTTTTTCCATAAGGATTGTACTACGCTGACTCAAAAACTGTGACCGCAAGAATGTCAGGCCGATAAACAACAGAATGTATCTCGGCTATTTTTGAAGGTAATCGAAAAAAATTAGGAGCGAAAGGTATTGTGAATAGAAGAACGTAATGCAACAAAGTTTACAAATTCTTTTCAACGAAATTAGCTGCTTTCCAATTAATTATGTACGAAAAAATCTCTGAACTTTACATAACCTCTGGTCGGCAACGACCTACCCCACTCTGCAAATCCACGCCTATGCGGAAATTAACTGATTTAGCGTTTTTCATATCCGACCTTAATTGATGAACAATTAATTATCATTTGATATTCCTTAACTTGTAAGATATTTACCACTCTTAGTGAAACGCAAAACGAGAGAAATCGCTGCGAGGGAAAATGTCGGCATTCAATCGATAACTGATGCATGTTGACTCTTGCTAAGATCATACTTCCCGTGCCTTGAATTAATTTGTAGCATTTCGTAAACGTATGCGAATTGACTTTTTTTAATAAGAACTTTAATGAATATGAACAAAGAACACATATCAATCGTTAGTCTTTCGATGTTCGTCACATCTAAGAAATATTGGGATTATTTTAGGATTTTATTCTGGCAACGGTCATTGAGGCTGCCGGGAGATCGTTGCAAATCAACGCTGGAGTTGTGCATATTAGTTTGGTAGTGCCTCGTTGCGGGTAATAGTTAACAATGTTCGGATTGAACAAACTTCATAAAAATTGGTAAGTATCAAGTTAGGAATGACATGCACGCGTCCATATAAATTTTATCGGTGTCCATAGACAATATCATTAATTTGCAGTACGTATAACTTTAGCGTAATTTTCAAAAGCCCCTGATGTTGAGAAATTTATGCGCTTATGAAAAAATTTAAATACCAAATCAGAGTTGTGTATTTTACCTAAGTTATATCAAAATTTCAATGAATTTCAAACAACAGCAGGCAGTCCGTAGTCGTTTTCATGGGCGGTACTCTGACATGGCGTAATGGTACTTAGCAGACGTGATGCGTACATATGTGTAAAATAAGGTGTTTTACCTTGGCGTTTCATATCTTTGGTCTTTGTAGCATTTACAATACCAGTATATCCAAGAGGTAAGGGTAACGGAACTGTGTCTTTGATATCCTTGTGATCTGAGGTTGTTTTAAGTGCTGATTCCCCAGATATTAGTTTTGTATACAAGTCAGTTTTGGAAACCAATGCAGGATCCCTAATCCTATCAGTTCTTGCTGATCGACAAACGTTAGACGTTGTCAAGGGGGGTAACTGAGGCACGGGAGGAAGAGCTAACTCTCTCCTAGTGGCTTGGCTTGCTTGAACAATGGTTTCTGAAGTAGCAGTAGAATTATTTTTCACAGTGGGCGCTAATGGTTTCAGTTCGGAGTTTATCAAGCTTGTATGGTGTGAGTGATATTTATTTCCTCTTGTAGGCGTTTTGAAACGTCTACACCACGAATGGGTGCTCGTGTTTGCTGTGTAAGGTGGATTTGGTTGCAAAATCTTGCCTTCTGTTTTGGTGATACCGGTGGCACCATTTGAGGTGATCGATGAGGTTGTCAAGCCTGCAGTTGTTCTAAAATTGAAGCATAAGGTTGTCTCTAATTAGAAATTTCCAAATCAAATGAGAATATATAGCTGGATGAGAACAGAAGGAATTTCTCAATAATATAAATTTTAGCTGGACTATAATATTTTGTAGAAGGCCTAAGTTCCAATACGATACGCATGCACATTAGAAATAAAATGTCCGAAACTTACATGTCTAAGAATTTGTTCAATGCAACTTATGCCTAAGTTCTACCTTGCATCCCATGCAAAAAATTTCAGAACTTGTTGAAAACAGAATGGGCCAAAGTCCTTTTTGGGGGGTAAAAAACAGAAAGGAAGTGCCATAATATATCGATTACAAAGACATTCTCATCCAAAATAACCAGAGCTCAGGTCTTTACTAAGTGAGAATATCTAGAAATTCGAAAATAACAAAATTCAAAATTGTTTTTTGCGTTTTTCTCAAAACTTAAAATTGTGACTCAGGCCTGTTCTGTTCTCATCTAGTAGAAGCTATTGGCATTTGGATGTATATAGTATCTGAATAATTTACAGCTTTACAGCATCCTGATCATGAATCAATGAATAAAATGTTTTTAATTTCATGATAAAATAATAAATAAGATGCTTTTAGATACCCAGAAATTGAGAAAAAAAAGATATTATACTGCTAGACAGAAGAAAGAGCCTAAGAAAAGGAAAGCAATATGCCAATATCATAGAAATAGTACATATTGTACCTTGATTCTGTGATCGGATTTTCAACCATCTCATCTTGAGGAGGCTGAGGTGGCAACAGACCATATGAACGAAGATACATATCATGGCGATTGAATGCCATTTTAGATGTCATAGTGTGAGAGAATCGACTAAAAATGGATAGAAAGTATGAAATATGATGATCAAATTTGGAATTACTCATATTTTAAATGTGTCTTTTTAATTTAAGAATACTTCAAATTGGATCACTTTACAGAAAAGTATTCTGCAAAATATGGCCCATTCATAAACATAACTTCAACAGCATGCAGGCTTTAGTCTACCGAATTAGTTATCGAGGAAGAGTGAAAGTCTGAAAAAATGTGCTGTGAGTCAGACAATCAAATCCTGTGATCAATTGGAAATACCAAAAAACAATGTTTTTTATTTGCTATCGTTACCTTGATGCTGACTTTAATGGAGGTGCGACAGAAGTTTTTTGTTGTGATGTTGTGCTGTTCGACTTTTGTCCATTTAAAACTTTCAATAAGCGCTCCGTTCTTGGACTTTTTCGATCTGCAAGAAACATGAGAATAATAAACATTAAACTTACACACAGAATTTTGAAGTTAGGTATGAGCAGAGAGACTAATTGTCAGTTAGACCAAAAACACTTGGACAAAAATTAGAAAGATGACTGATGAAAACATATCATACATTATTCTTGAGAGTAAAATCCAACCACGAAAAATATTCATTTGAAATATTACAAAATTGGCGCTCCAGAAATGTGTGTACCAATATGGACGTAACAAATATAGTTCGCTCACTTTATATCAAGTTTTATAAAGGGACTGAAGCCTATGGGCAAATGGTATATTAAATTGGCTAACACAGACAGTCTTCAAACTTGTAATAGAACTAAAATAAAGAAAAATCGGTATAAAATTATGGCCTAACTCTAACCTGGTACACACACTACGGGAGTACCCAAATTTCAAATTCTTTACGAACAGCATCGGTACATCAGGTTCAAAATTGGACCTTGGTATTTATTTCCGGGTGATTGTTTGCATAAGAGAACACAGCAATAAACTATTTGATAATTGATTGTGATAGGGAAACCTCACCTGAATCATCTGAGGGTTCAGGAAATTTTTCTTCTTCAGAATCATAAATGACTTCTTGCTCTATTGCGGACGATGTTTTAATTTGATCCAATTTGTTTCTCTTTATTCTGTCCAATTTGGGTAGTGGGTTTCCGACTTTCTCTATTTTTGATGTTGTACTTGTGGACGCCATCTAAAAATAGACTAAGATTAAAAACTTAAAAGCTATGAAACACTGTCTGATTATGTTGACTCTACCCTAATTGAATGTCTCACTACTTAAAATAAATCCAGATGTTATAATATGATTGCAACAAATAAATAGATAGTGAAAAGAGAATTACATGGGATCTTCACTGAAAAAGGGATGTGCCAAATGAATGAAGATATGGAAACGAAAGAAAAACGTGTCAAAGAGCATAGCATTATAGAAACAAATTTCTAATATTAAACTTGTTTAGGAGGATTCACGAGAAAATAAAAATTTCGGAGAGGTAAAATTGAATCGGCTCTTAAAAATTATATTTTTCTATGATTTGAGAAAGCAGAGTTGAATTAAGTCATCACTACCCAAGCCATAGCTCACATAAAATTGCGATCAATAGGAGTTATGTTCAATCAGAATCTATTTTTTATTAAGTCAAATTATCAATTTGGAGGAGTCTTAAAGCAGGATGTGTCACTGCAATTTGTCACCAAATTGTAATTTGGACTCATCTTTACCACATTATATTTCACCAACCTTCATTACAGAAGAATTATCTTTCACTTGTAGGTCGTGCATTCTATTTTGAAGATGTTTCATTTTTGATGCTGTTATTCGATTTTCAATCAACCGAGACAAAGTTCTTGTTTGCTTACTTGTCATTTCTGCGACATCATCAATTTCGGAATATGAGGTGCCACTTAAAAATGGAACTGAATTTACAAAATTTGAAAATAAATTCAATATTAAATCATTCAATAAAAAGATTCAAATATTTGAATACTAATTTGTTAGTGCGAATTGACTATTTGTTCAAAAAACATTATTATAAAAGCAAACACCTTTTTTTGTGAAAAATAGTTTGCAGATTTTGGTAAAATCACTTAGTCAATAGTCTAAAATACTTTTATTTGATATTTATGTTATATCCAGTACTGTAATATTGAAAATGTTTTTTCTATAGATATCGGTCATTACTTATCGATTTTAATAGGTAAGTATGTTGATAGGTATTTGTCCGTATGTCTGTTAGATGCACGCGATATCTCACGAAAGCGAGATTGAATCTGCTCCAGATTTTGCATGTGCATTCATCTTACCTCGGACCAGAAGCCTATTGATTTTGGGCGAATTATGTCGTATAATTAGCGAGTTATCAATCAATTATTGATATAGTGATCTAGATTTTTGTAAAGCGAGAGAATTTTGAGACCCGCCGAGTGTGTGTGTGCGATGCGCAGTGCGCAAGTTACAAGAGCGGATGAATCGAAACTGCAGTTTCTGTTTTGGGGGATCCCCTAACTATCGATCGATAAGTCTTCGGTCTCCAACCGATATTCTCGTTTTTGTGTCAATCAATTTCACCATCTCTAGACATGAATCCTACACAACATAGGTTAATCAATGGAGTATATCAAACTTATATTTGTGAAAAGGTGTCTAAAATATAATCTTCAATCTATGTTACAGACTAAGGTGGATTGATTAGACAGCATTACCAGGTGTAGCAACTATTTATGGTCAGTCAAGACATCAATGAATAGATCAAGCATATAACATGTGTTAATAATCATTGGAAATACAAACTGATTTAGGGTTGACTTTACCATAATGCAAGTCATAAACTACATATCATAATCTTTGGGGGCTCCGGGTACATGCAACAAATTGGCTCGTTTAAGGGTATAATTTTGCCTTTTTAATTTATTAAATAAACATATCAAAATACGAAAACCGTCTCATAGTGCTGAAGAGATGTAATCCCAATCCTGATATCAGATCCTTTTCAATTCAAATACTCGGGATTCCATAAACGGAATTGCCCATACCTACATAGGATCTCAACATTAGCCTATAACCCATCTATAAAATCACTAATGGTGATACCTAAAAGATTCTGATACTGGTGAAAGGGCACCATCACCTCGGTCAACAACTCGAAAGAAATTGATTTGATCTCCGTTTCTGTAGACCAGTAGTGTTACCTGGAATAACAAGTTTATATAGTATTAAAAAAAAAAACCTCCATTAATTACTATTTACTGGTTTATATTTAAAAGTGCAGCTAACTTAAGACATTTTGATCACCTGTGAATTATTTTCCCCTCTACCAGTACTAGGTGAAACAGAAAGTTCTTCAAGCAATTCCTCTTGATTAGCATCTATATAATCAGCCATATCAAGGATACTAGGTTCGTCCATGGCAACTTAAAACAAAATTAAACATTTATAAAATTTCAACATTTATAAATATTAAAAAGTGAAGAAAGGTTTTGATTTGACCTGTAGTGAGGTGAGGAATTTATTTCAATGGTTTGCCTTACGTAGGGTAGGCCTAATTTTTTCAACTGATATCATGGAATGCAATTTCAAGTCATGTTCACAATGATATTTAAAAAGGTTAAGCCTGAGTAGAAAAGAAATCATTGTTTTGTGATCTTTCACACTTCAGCATATTTAAGATTTGAACAAAATTTTACACAGTAATATTTTATATAAGTAACAATTTAGTTGGTTCAGAATCAGAAAATTAAAATGAATCTCAGAGAAAAAGATACAGAACAGTAAACCATTGAGATATGGGCATCCCTTGTCTTACCCTTGCCAATGTGAGAAACTACTTCATGAGCATGCTTTAGGAAAGTTTTCCATTGATACAAAATATAATTTGAATTTATACATGGCACGGCATTCCAAATTTCTAACTTACATAACAATTACAATAATAATATACTACAAAAATAGGCTTACTTCTTCTTGTGTTTATTGGGCCACCTCTCATAGCTAAAACCAATTTTAGCATACAGCTGTCTTTTATCCTAAAATGAAACAAAAAACTATTCAATTAATCAATAGACATATCGTTTTCCCAATAGGCAATTTCATTTGACACAACAAACGTTAAATACCCTACTTAGAAGATTACACTTCCGCTGTTTATAGGTTGTTCCATACAGTTGCATCAGCTAAGAAACATTTTTACAGCGTCATAGAAGTGATATCTGAGTTTGATAGCATTGAACATTTTAGAAATAAATGTATTGAAAGAAAACCAAAAATAGGCTTGTCTGAATATATCAAAGATATGAAAAATAACAACATAGCATGCATGAAAAGTATATAATTGTGAAATAAAATAGCAAGTTCTATATTGGTAACACTAAAACGAGAATATCGATCAAAGACCGAAGACTTATCGATCGAAAGTTAGGGGATCCCCAAAACAGCGCTCTTACTCCATAGTGACACCTTGTGTCCCATCACTAATTAATTAATAACTCGCTAATTGACATGATTCATCCAAAATCAATAGGCTTCTGGTCCGACATATGATGAATGCACATGCAAAAATTGGAGCAGATTCAAGCTTGCTTTCGTGAGATATCACGTGCATCTAACAGACAAATACCTATCAACATACTTACCGATTAAAATCGATAAGTAACAATAAATATGACAAACCTATAATCATGAAGACAAAAGTCATCATCTAACTCTGTACCTTCCCATATAAGATGCTGCTGAGAAATTGGAATTCCTGAAAAAACATTTTTGATTTGAATAACAACTAGCCTATTCAATCACTCAAATAGATGAAGAAAAGGGATTTTTTTAATCAAATTTAGATATTCAAAATAAAGCATTCCACATAACAAAATTCATTTGGTAGCTATTGTATTAGTTCATCAAATCAAGTCCAAGTCGTTGATATTGGAGATCAACCTAATATAAACAGTCCACTATGTTTACATTAAATCAGGCTTGCTATGACAGGAGAAGACACTTCTTTTTGACCAAAGTAGTATAATCCAAGTCAGGAGTCTCCAACATGCCGCTCGCATGCTCCTGCGAGTTTTTTTTTCAACCCGCGGTTGAGATTTTTCCACAAAAAACTAAAATAGTAACATGTCAACTATAATGCATGAGTGATCAGAATTAACTATAAGTTTTATGTGTCATTTAACATCAAGAGTTCGGTCCGACAAACTGTGAAAAGTGGAACAAAAATTTCCCTCTGTTATTTATTCAGCTTCACCATGTTCATATTTTATTCCGTTATAATAATTCATTGTAAATTCAATAATCTCATTTCACATATTCATCATGACGAAATAAACGAGTTTCGGTCAGAACATTGTGGCCTGAGAAAGGTTCGCAAAGCTAATTGCACACTTACGTCGCATACGTTTGCCCTGTTTGACATTTCTCATATTTGCGAGCAGTTTTTTCCACTAATGAGAGTTAAATCAGCCCTCCACAAACAAATCAGCCCTCCACACACGACTAACGGAAGAGCATTTGCATGCTGTCTTAGGACTAGCAAACCCAACGCAAAATAAGGCCAAACATCGAGTCTCTCACCGTTACAAAACAGCGCCAAATATTCAGCATAAGTAAATGAATATGTTTCAGGTCTCGTTTGGTGTAAGATTCAAGTGTAATTTCAATAAATACTTCCCGATTTCTTTTGTTATTTTTAATGTATAAATTTTGTACCAATTTGTTGGTTTGCGGCCCGCGTCGTCAATCAAGTTCAAAAAATAGCTCATGAGTCTATGACATATTTTGAGTTGGAGACCCCTGATCTAAGTAGTCTAAGTCACTGCCACTGGCTTTCTTCAAAATTGGACAAAAGTAATATGAAACCGAACACATTTTCCCAACCATAATAATATGTTCTGTCAGTGATTATTTCTAGATACTTTACTGTATTCAAATACATTAACTACACCACACCTTCCAAACGTTGAATTTTTGCTTTCACTGATAAAATTGTTTCGAAGGGTGAGACTCGAAGTTCAAAACAAGTACCAGTTAAAGTTTCAATGAAGAGATTCATTGTTGCATGGAACGGAATTCTGAAAACAAATTTTTGTTATTAAGTAACTCAAGACAATGTACTGTATTTGTAGCTGGAAGTTAGTTTGCTTAAGCATCATGACAGAGTAACAGAATTTCAACTCGATAGTTGTCTTCACTGTTTATGTCTTTTCTTTTCTTTATCATTCTTTAGAGACTTGATCAACGACAAAAAAAAGCATGAAATCAAAAAAATTTTTAACATGTGTTATCCCGCTAACGTTCTGACTTGAACTGATGTTTGTTGAATGGTGAGATGCGTGGTTTGGCTTGTTTATTTATAATTTATTTATCTGGTGTTATGTTCACCTTGGGGTAGGTACTAATTCATATAAAGCAGAAAATGCATTCTGTCAGGAAAATTAAAAATGTTGACGCCTCAACCTGTTTCCATAAATCATACAAGAAATTCAGATGATTTTTAGAGATTGAAGCATTTGAAACAATACAAAAAACTTACCTATTCCCATAGTCCATTAGACAGTATTTTACTGATGCATTCCAGATTTTGCAACATTTGATGTGTAACAGTGTTAGACCTCCATCCATCAGAAACTGGATTGCTCTACTTTGACTTTTCGAGTCATCTTCTCTAATTTAACTAAGCAGCAAAGTATTGAAAGCTGTATTTTGAGACCTAACCATACTTTAAGTAACGAAATTCTGTATCAGTGGCCGCTATTCAATTGATTTTTCTGGGAAAAAGGAAATAAAATGGTACAAGCGGGATATGGAAAATCATTAATTAGGGCTACATGATCAGACACGTAAAATTTGAAAAGAAAGTATTTCCAATTCACTATTAGTATTCAGCCTCATTATAGTAGAGCACAGTTCTCCGATTCCAAGATGTCCTGACATTTGGTTCAGTAAAACAAACACTCTATGAGAGCGATTTTTTTTCTTTGGTAAGTATGTTCATTTTGCTCTGATTCAACGTATTTTATATCCAACAATTTTACGCATTTGTACTGAACAGTACTGGTATTCAAAGTCGCACAAACACTCTCAAAATTAGGGACAAACTGTAGAAATAATGTTCGGGGGTCAAAGGTCAAACGTCCATTTTTGCTATGATTCAACGTATTTTTTATTCAATACCGGTCATTTTACGCAGATTTATTGAGAGGTATCTAATGTCGAAGTCAGTTGCACGCTGGCGCAGTTGTTTTGCACGGCGTGAGCTATAATTGCAGGCCAGGAATTCTTATTTGCACGCAGGAATTTCTGATTGCACGCCCGATTTCTCGTTCAAAAACTGCGCAAACGGCGCAGAGCGTCGCACCTACTGAAGCAATCCTCGTCAAAATACCATCATTCGGTAGAGGGCGATAACAATGTATATAATTTATTTGAGTGATCGCAAGATGTCGTACGAGATTTAAATAAAACCTAAAATTCTGAATTATAAATTCCGTAAGAATATTAAGATTTCACGCAGCGTCAAAAATTACGTCAACCTCACGTAGATTATTTTTCGCTCACTTCCGACACGACGTCACACTGCGTCGCGGAAATGAATTTTGACGCTAGACACAACGGAGCCAATATGACAATTTCCGTTAAGATAAAGACGGCGTTCCAATGTAATATTTTTGTATTTTGTTCGGTCATGTATGAATATATGCCAAAATTACAATAATGAAAATACATGTCACACTTAATCGATGACGTTAAAAATCGAATATATAAAACTATGATAATTCCAACGTCCATATGTGGCACAGTGCACTGACTTAACCATTATTTTATGATTAGTAGTCGAAATGGCAGTTATTGAATACAGCCTGGGTGAATTTTATTCACTCGAAATTAAAAATAAATTTAATCTCCAACAAATAAACGTGACCTACATGTTTACAAGATTAAGTTGAATTTTAAAATTAAACTTTACAATCGGATTTACCGTGTGTTTGATATAAATTATCATTTATAAAGATAACCGCGCAGAATAAAAAAAAGCTATCCGTCGAGAATATTAATACTTCAAAGACTTCGATAGAAGCCCGTTAAAATTTTTCATTGTGGATTGAAACGGTTTGCATCAGATATATTTACGTATGCATTTCCTGATTAAAATGACTAACGTGTTATTATACTCATCTGAAGTATCGAAAATAACGAACGAAAGATGTAAACATAGGACGACGGAAGTTTCAAATAATGCATTTTCGTCGTGACGTCAATGTTACGTTACGACGACGATCGAGCGTCTTATCTTCACGCAACGACGTGATTACATCATCCGCATCGGAAGCCTCTTTCTCTCTGTGCGTCGCGGTTACGCATTGAAGAAAGTGACTGTCCGAAGTTAGGGCAGTGAAGGATGACGGTCAGATGGCAAGAAATATCGATTATTTCAATAGTAAAAATAGTCCAATTGAACCGAAATTTGCAGGGAATGTAAATTACCGCACGAATGTTTTACTGAGCAATTTTGGCACCGTTTGGACAATAAATGGCCGAGTTATTGACGAAAATATAGCAATTTTGTCCGAAGTTAGGCGCTTTTACGGTACCGGTACTTGGGTGTGAGTGTGGACTTTTAACATGGAGTGTAATTACTGCTATATCTGTACATGGAGATAAGGAGAACTGTAGAACACAGCAAACGAACATGCGGTGCGCAATACCGGTATGCGATAAAATTAATTTGATTACGAACTCACTAAGCTAATAGTCCACTGGACGACAAACAACAATCCTGCAACAACAAAAGCACCACAAAAGAAACAACAACAAAATATCAGTACTAAACTCTCTTCATATAATATAAATACTACTACCGTACTACTACAGTCTTGCAGTAAACAAACATATCGAACCGAGCATAGGCAAGGCTACCAAGCAAATTTTTTGTTTACAACGAATCTTAGAAAAATGCGACAGGACGCCCGGATGCTCAGAATCACCATGACATCCGACAAGTCACGTGATAATGAGAAGATTTTAAGCAAACTTTTCAGTGTATATATAATATACTTTTATTTAGAAGTCGTAGTACCGATACAAAAAAAAGAAATACAAATTATACTTTCGAATGAGTACAAAAATGATGAATCTCTGTAATTATTGCGTATCGTATATGGTATGTTTATGGTTTATTATTATTCATTTTCCGGTACAGTGCATACGCTCGAAGCATAGTTTCATGTTGGCTGGTTTATGCTATTCTGAATTAAATTAAAGTGACATTGTAAAAAAAAAATGCCTAAATAGTCACGAAAATTTGAACACGACCTTCGTTCGGGGGCATTTTGTCTAATATCTTTTTCATTGTTTATTTTCACCACTAGAGGAAGAATGATAATTTATTAGTTCTAGCGGTTGTTTGTCGTTAGACCCCGGCATTACTGGAGCATATGATGTGACGTCCGAAGTTTTGATGTTCCACTCCAAATTTGGCCAGTACGGATGTGTATTGAATTGATACGATGGCACTGAATATGTAATTGATTTGAATGATATGTGATTTGAATGATTAGATACATATTTCTTTGTAGTTCCCACTAATGCTATACTTCGATTATTCATTTGTGATGTTGTCAAGCATTGTTTAAGCATTGTCGTTTTTTGATTTTATGATGATAATATGAAACTCATATGAATCGAATTTATATAGTAACAACCAAGTATTTTTGTACAGCCTATCTCTAGTGTTTGAATAATCATATTCGAGAATCTAAAAAAATGACAACCACTTTATGACATCACTACGAACACTTAAATCGTTAGCCTATTGCCCACGACGTAGCTTACTAACATCTCGCGAAGCTAATCATTGAGAAAAATCATAATTGTAGCAGCGTACCTCATTCCTTCCAGTTACAAATCATGTCCGCCATTTGGCTGAAGAATTGTGTCCGTCAACATGTTTGAATCAAGTTGTCATGCCAGATCACAACTACCACCGTGTTAGCGCGGCGCGACAATAACCTAGTTTTGATACTCGGTGTGAAGTTCCATTATATTTCATGTTCTTAAAACACTTGTTATTTTTTGAGTGTGACAAAGATCTAGTTGTAGCCTAATTTTTGAAAGACAAGTTAAATATAGAAACTCCCACCCAATTCCAAGTCGTTCGCGAGAATAAAATCATCTCAAATCGTTCAGGGTAAAAAGTTCTTCATCTTTTCGATTAAACCTAATTGATTTTCATTTTGCAAATATCTGTGAAAAATGTAAAAACCCAAATGATGACACTTTAAATTATTGAACCTCTATATTAATAGTTTTATGTATTAACAAATATACGCTATGGATCATTGATCATGGGGTATGAATCGGATTATCAGCCGCTATTTCCACGTCTTTTTTAAAAAAACGCTTCTGGCTTTATCTATAGATAACAGGCATAGTCTGGCATGGGTAGGATTATCAGCGCTATTTCCATTTTTAATTATTATTTGTCTCATAAAACACTTTTGATTTTTTTCAATGACAACAATAATAATTTGGTTACACAAACTTAAAACCCAAGGTAACCCCACATAACACCGCTGTTACATGATCTTTTGGGCTCTTCTGTGAAAAAATGTTTTGGGGCACCCAATGCAGCCAAGTACAGTTTTGTGTATCAATCGCCGGTTAGGTAGCGTTGCGCAAAATTGATTTTCCTGGTGTGAGTGGTTTATAGCAGGAGCCGGAATGGGTTGAGAGCTTGGTTCCTTGCTGCATCACACTGAAAAATGTCAATCACGTGGTGGGAAAATTTATTATCAAACTTATATCAACGTTGCCGGATGTTTAAAAACAAAAATGTTTCATTACCATTCTCTACGTCAAGCGATTAGCCAGTTGGCAAAAACAGACCATTGGTGAAGGCGGACGAGAGAAACAGCACGTATGCATGTCTATCCCTTCAATCATACAATACTACTGGATTCCTTTCTTGTCAAGTACAGTGTTTAATAAAATCAAAAGGGGGTAACTTCAGCCATTCTGAAATTTCAGAATGGTAACTTTTATGAATGGGGGCGTGAATTCCTGTATTTGATACACATGCTTTGCTTCTTTAAAAAACTGAGAGCTGAGACCATTTTCATTACTTGAAAAAATTGATAAACCCTTCAGAAAAATATTCATGGTTCTATGTGAAGATATTCCCGGGGACAAATACGGACACTGGCCAAAAAAAAATTAGGAAAAGGGAAGACGTAATGTTTGGGAGTATTTAAACAAATATCATCTGTTCAGATTATATAGTGGGACTTTGTTTCTTTTATGGGCGCAACTTTTTTATTACTTTCGACGTTCATGACATGCGCCAAAAATTTATCCTAGGGTTATCGTTTCTGAACCTATCTCAACCTTTATTTTCAAATCATATTAGTGTCGCAGATGAATACCTAAGACCACGCAATGAATTTATTTGTTTAATGTTGAAAAATGATCCTGTAACCTTTGTTGCGTTATTTTTTTTTACATTCTGTCACCCTCCAAAACCCATTGTAACACACTTGTCGCAATTTACAGTGATGCATGTTTTTGCAACATAGCCCAAATCAACTGAGAATACCGAATATTAGATTTTTTTCGTCAATTGAGTCGTTGTTGGGCTCCTCCGGTGTTAAACTACTAACATTTCACGACATGAAACAGAAATTCCTCAATATGGAGGAAAAAGTTTTTCAACATATAATTTTAGTGGGCAAATCAATTATTCGGCCGTGTTAGAAATTGACAATAGTCAAGCAAAAATTCACGCGGCTCGTTGAAAAATGAACATGAAAATATCAATATAAAACTGCAATATTTTTAAAGATTTTCTGTTTGCTAAGCTTATCTAACGAACGTAAGTTTGCTTGGCTTGTAATAATGCAGGACCACAATATAGTGATGTGGGTAACAATTTATCAGTACTGTATATATATCTCTCACTCACTTTACACAATTTGTGACATATGGGAAGGTGGACCACGGTGGGACATGGGGCACGGTGGAACATCAGCTCTCACACTCGTATTATATCCGGTCTGCGGTTCGTTTTTTGAATCCGCTAAAATTTTACCATTCCAATTTTTTTTTCTATTTTAACCTTTCCAACATTACAAACCACCATCTGATATTTTTCAACTTCAGTCACTGTAAAATATTCATAACGTTGGGGGAGTGGATGTGCCTTCCTAAGCTCGCCGTGGGACAGTCTGACTATATTTGTTTCTTATGGGGAACAACGAACCGGGGTCCAGTGGGACATGCTCCACTGGGCGCAGTTCGGTAGTTTGATCCACTAAGTGCTTAGAGATGTGTTATGTTTTTGTAATATTATGGTATCTTTCGGCCCATGGCCCAATATGGGATATTTTCGAGAATCAAAAATGTTTAAAATTTAGATTCTAATAAGGAAGAAATTTAATTTGTTCGCGTTATTTTTTTGGAAGAATATCTGAAATATTTTGGTTGAACATTTGTTTCAAAAAATTAAATATCCAAATTTGAAGCCCTCCCCCCCCCGTTCTTTAGAGATTATAATGCTGATTCTTTGCTTAGTTTTAAGGGCATACTTCGTTGAATTTAACAGAATGCCCCATTGTGCCCCTGGGTTTGTCCGAATGTGCCCCACGTGGGGTATAGTGGGACACTTGACAAACGATTTTCAAAGTATTTTGGTGGTAAGATGTGTGTCGCAAAGGACCCAAAATGAAATGGCGGTTCAGAATAAACAGGTCAAAATATGCAAGAGAAAAAAGTGTCCCAACCTTCCCCACTTCCCCCTACTTACGAGAACGGATTGCACATCTTTTGGAGCTCAGGCTCAGTTCCATTCTTAGGCCAACCTTGCGTATAGTATGTGATTGTGTAAGCTAAGGCTGAAGTTGCAATATATTTTTGTTTCGCTTTCCCCAATTTATTTTCACTTTGCTGTTTCCCTAGCTGAGATTCTTACAAGTTTCTGGCTAACCGTATTCTTTGATTAGTACTCTTTCCACTTTTATTTGATTGCTCAAGACTCTAAGGGGAATTCTATAAAAATAAATATGAAAAATCCCACATATATATATACATATATGATGTTTCTCTGTACATAATGTCTATATATATATTCCAATACCTGTTCCATACCGATATCATGTGGCCTATTCACTTGAACTTTGAGAAATAGTAGGCCTACAGTTTGAAAATAGTTTCAAAACAACTATTTTTACTCCATATCCACTATATTTGTTACACAAGTTTTCAATTCCATAAAAAACTTGTGTTTTGATAAGAAACCATTGTGCTATTGGAAGTTCCCTTTCAATATAGCCGGCTGTATCGAGCATTTCCGAGATTCATCTATATAATGGCTGAAGAGATCAATGTTTAGTTTAATTAGACGTTGTAAAAATGCAATACAAAAACTCTTACGTATAAGTTACTACTGAATCCCATTCTTTTTTACGTACTCACATATGGTGAGCCACGACACGTCAATCAAATTAAAACAATTTGGCAGCATTTAAATAGCTACTAAATCAAACAAAAAAAAGAGATTATTTCATTACAATCACTAAAGTCTGTTAAAGTATACCGAATTCTGCCATTAAAAATCGACGAGTTACCAATGATTTAAGTAATGATGTTGCTTGATACTTACAACATTTACATGGAGATTTTATAAAAGTCCCTATTACTTTTTATAGCAAAGAGAACTTTGAATGCGGTGAATTTTTGGTCAATAATTTTGAATGCCAACAGGTAGTTGCTATTTTAAATGACAAATACGAGTGAACAGAAATTTTTGGAAATTTAGTGAAAACTACATTTTGAAAAATGTTATTCAGCTCAAGTAGATTTTAACAATTTGATTTTATTTAATGTCGATAGAATAACGCACGAAGCCTTTATATGACAACATAATCCAAGGCACATTTAAGATATTCGCAATGCCTAGGATTGCTTTTTCATGTCTTTCAGAATGGATTTCAAGTATTTTATGCAATCTAAGATTTCTCATGTGCCTTCCAGTTAAATAAAAAAATCTTCGTTAATAGTTTATCTTTTGTTTGCTAATGACATAAAAAACCGCAGGTAACAGCTTATTCAATGGCGTAATATTGTATGATGTGACTACGATTAGAAATGTCTCTCCGCCAAAATCTCAAGCCTTTCTTATATGAAATCTTTTCATAACGGTATTACACTTAAAATAAAAATTATTACGAATTAAGTTCAACTAACTTATATTGCCAAGTCCAATTCAACCAGTTTGTGTTGTTACGACTGTACAATCATGCTTAATTAACTGCTGATCGCCATCTGATGAGATACTTAATTTTAAGTTGTTTCTAGTCATGCAATAGAAAGATCAATCGATGCGATGTCATATTATCACTGTAATGAATTACAACTTTGTATTTTACTCGCGTGATGTTACAAACTAGTATGCGAGTTATGGCGAAGATTTAGACAGATGCTGGCGACTGACAAGGTATCAGCCGCCTATGTAAGATTATCAATATTATTGTTGTGGTCGTGGTTTTTAGCATAAATTGAATACTTTTGTGTGAAAAGAGAGCAATGCAGGGTTGGTGGCTTGAATGTGATTAATGTATAACTGTATTTTATGGTTAGGTATTACATACCTAAAGAACCACAGGTATGCGGGATGCACGATATTCACAGAATTTTTCGAATTTACATACAGTACTAATGTAATGGACATTGATAATATATTTCAAATAAACGCAGTCAGTCAGCTCCAGTACTTCTGCACAGAATTTTGCGAGGCTTGTGCGTCTAAATAATCTAAAAACCTATTCAAAGATAATGAAAATGAAATGGAGCCTATGTGTGCTTACATTTTCACTAAATTTTTTCTTTCAAAATACTGTTCTGATACATTTTCTGACCACTTGAAAAAGTGACTAGAATGAATTGTAAAACATGTTTAAACTCCTCTGTGTACAATATACCAGTGTAATGGTAAATTGTAGCAGAAGTTCAAAATGATGTACAATAAAGCTTTTCCTTTTTATTACATAACAATATTGCAAGGGATTTTAAAGACATACTGTAATAACCCGGCCCTTTAGACTTTATTTTCAAGCATATAACGTCACGCGAACGTGATGGTTTAATTCCATCACACATTTAATTTTGGTGCGTTCACGCACGCAAAATTTACCATGGTTCTTAAAATAAAGTTTTCAAAATTTTACTCGCATGTCAGGAACAGGTTCTCCACGAAAGCTCAATAGAAGTAACTTCAACTTGGGATAACGTTTAGTCATCGCGAATGTCTAATTTTAAATCTAAATGAAGAGTTGCGATGTAAAATATATTCTACTGCTTGAAAAGTGCCAGGTTCTTACAGGAAGTTATCAATTTCTACAACAGCCTCACATAATAAACTTCTGCTTCGGTGTGAAGGTCCTATAGAAGATTGTAATTTTACAAGCAATTTCAAAACGTCTGAACGCAAGTTAGGATATATATATATATAAAGTCATTTGATATTTAGAATACTTGACATTGAATTTCACCTCGGGGCTCTCGTACATTATAAGAAGAGCGGGTATAAAGTTGTGCCTATTTAACACAGAGTAGTCTTTCACCCCCGGAAGGCTTTACAACATATTCATGTCTTTTCATCGCGCCTTTATGATCAAACCTATATACTTGCGGCCTAAAACATGATGTATCAGGCTTAGGCTACAGGTGGACCGAGCATTCTTTATGAATGCATCATGGTTAGATTCATGTAAATTGAATATGTTTGTAGCAAAGAACAAAAGAAACTCTTTGTTTGTATGCGCTTTGTTCTCAATTCAGATGTTTTTGTTTTGATGTCCTTTTGTTCAGATCAATTTATTATGAGCCTGTGCTGAAATTGAGTTAAGATATTGTGAAGAGTTTTCAGGGAGTTCGTAAGCTTTCAGCACACTTACTATGACTGTGCTGTTTTCTGTCTAGTATATTCTGTGTTTCAAGAGATTCGGTGAAATATATAGCGAAAACAATATGGAAATGAGTGAGTAGATTTCGTATTACAAATATTCTTGTTACAAGTATGTAAATGTAAGCAATAATATGTTGACAATGAGTCTATGAAAAATTCGTCTATTTAACTATACTTATCTACATAATTAGTTTCATTAATTTCTGTGTACGAGGCAGGTGGTCGCGTTTTCTAATGCGTTTGTGAGACAACATTAGATGAAACTGAATGCAAATTTGTACGTACGAAAAATAAGTAATGTTGTTATGAACTAGTATCATTGATTTTAAATTTCCAAAAGATTAATAGTTATCTGAATTTTGGACAGTAAGACCACACATACATAATATAATATGATTGTTGGAGTACTGTTTTCGTCTATTTATAGTTAATAATGAACTTTAATTTATCATTGAGGTTTGCCCATGAAATACATCATGACGGTGATGTTTTGAACAATTTCGCTTTCTGAATCCAAATTCTATGCCCTACCTATGTACTCAAATCTTGCTTCCGAAATTAGCTCGATACCACATTCGAGTCGCAAATTTGTTTTCCCCTTAAGTTAGCTAAACCATTATAAATGGAGATCGGAGCCATTTTTATATGGTGCTGTTATCAAACAGTAACACATGCCTATACGCACTTTTCTATTACATTTTTATCATTCTGAATATTATATACAAAATTGTAATATGCACTCTGAATTCCATAATTGTTTGCCTGTGGTTTCACATCTTTGAGACAAATAAGTCACGACCGTACTGTGCTATATATAATTAATTTAGTGTGGAAGTTCATCATATTGTTGTGAATAATTCCCCATAGAGTATGTTCGTGTGAATGTATTTCTTTATATTCATGTGAGCAAATTGACCATTTAAAAAAAAAATCAAGAATTTCAATTCACAATATTGGTGAAAAACTAAAAAAAACATGAATGTTATTGAAAAATTCACAGCGCGGCAACCTGCTTTTTGCGAGATAAATAATTCAGCTACACTTTTCGCGCCCTAAAGGCAGATAGTATCTGGATTAGACATTCTTTCAAAAGCCAGTATTTACGACGAGCCAGCCTTTGTAATAACCATATTCCAATGCTTAATTTAGTAGCCCGACTATAGATGGAACGGATATAAAAAGCGCCATGAACAGCTCTAAATCTTCATCGTTCCACGCATGAACCAAATCAATAGTATTCGCATGATGGAGGTTCAAATGTTTTTGTTATTGGCACGTACATCAAATCAATATTTTGTAAATCAATGCTGAACTTCCCACAGATATGGGTAGTTTTCCAAAACTAATCTAGACTAACTTTGTTAATGATGATTTCCCAGTCTGTATTGGGATAATCAAACTTCTGTCATTCCACATAAAGTTGTTGTTCTCTATGTTTTCTTATCCGAATAAAAGTGGAAGTTATGAGTTGCTTTTTCCAACTTGATTTATACCAAATGAATGGCTTTTATTCACACTAATATGGATTTATGTTTGTATATATTTCAATTTGTACAAAGCACACAAATATAACTTTCGGTGAGCGCTCGAATGATAAATTTTTACATTTAAAGTAATAAAAAAGAAACATGCGATTGATGCGTGTTAAAATATGCTTCATTTATCGATAAAAGACTCAAAAGGCTACACAAATTATAGCCTATACAATGTACTTATATAATTGGCCAATTAGTCAAATCAATCGAGCTATATACGTAGATGCTGAATTTAATGCTGCTGTGTAATAGTGTTAGAATAATGCCGAAGTTAATTAGCTTGTCCGTCAGATAGGGTTCGACCCAAAAAACGACCCCCTGGCTACGCCACTGTATTGTAAGCAGTTACCTAGATAGGAAAAAGCCATATTATACATAATATTAGACCATTAATTCTAAAAAACCAACTCGGCCTACTCAATATTATCAATTACGACAAATAATTGAAATCTTGCAGTTTATAGTTTTATTATAAGGTTTGATAAATTTTAACAGCAACGGATTCTAGCAATTTCACCACTGTAGAGACGGCGACGCTCTACCACAATGTGGCAACAGACGAACTATCGCAAATGATGATGTTTTTCGCCATAGCCATTGTTGCGGGAGGATTTTCCTGGCTCGTTTCAAAATGCGTTACAGTTTTACATAAACGCCATTTACGTAAACTAGAAGAAGAACAAGAAGCGTCGATGAAATACAAAAATCAGGAAACATTTGTCATTGGAAACAACGAAGCCGCGGTGAGATTTACATATACCGAAGGAGCAGTAACCACATGCCAGCTCATATTTTTAGGAGGTTTTCTATATCTATAACATATGTCAAATTGAATTACCATGCTCTTTACAACGTTGATTGAATTGCGGGGGTTCGAATCTCGTTAATGATCGTAACGTATTGTTTCATGTTGTGTTGTGTCTCTATTTATAGATGTGGTTTTGTCTAACAAACTCCTTTGTACAAACAGTTTTGTACACTTCACCCTTATCCATGTTACCACACCCACCCACCCTCCTTGCACAACTGCCTGTATAAAGGACCATATTGTACATATTTGATTTACCCTATTATAATTTATATATATCAAAAGGGGTGTATGCCGCACATCTGTGTTTTAGGCCAATATGGTCTTGTGCATACACCCGTCTTCAGTATTTATAATTACTTACTCTTTTATATTGCTTTTACGAGACGAATAAACATACATACATACGTACGACGTATTTCTTCCATATTGATTGCTGCTCGCCCAGAACCCCCTTCAATGCACGTTCGTGATAAAAAAGAATAATATTGATCTATTAAGCTATGTTGCCTTGTAAATGATTATGTGCCAGGTGTTTTATCTACTTTGTCTTTGTGCTTGGTCAATGTGAATCAAATGGAAATATATAACTCAATTACGATCGTGTTTTATGGTTGAAGTAATTGTAACATGGTGTTGATGCTAGTGACGGGTAGTTGTCGGTCTTCACATATGTCGCAATTATAAAACTGTTGATACTCGATCGTTCACAGAAATATTATCTGCCTGGAGCTGGTCTAACTTTCCCGTTACATGTAGCCTACATTGTTCTCTTGTTTTTCCTATAGGTCTTTGTTAACGGTACTGAAGTGAAAGAAGAGGAAAAATCTGAAGCGAGCCTTTATACTCGCGGCTTTGGAATCACGTCAATGGGAATGTTCGACGTGGCGGTGGATGCCATAGTACGAGCAGGAGAGAGAAGAAAAAGCAAAGAAACTGACACTACTTCTCGAAATGGTGACATTTTCCAAACACCAGTAGAACTATTGAGTCCAAATGACACCCCAACGGAGGACCCTACAGAAACAACGCCCGTAATCAATCCCCTTGATAATGCTAATATTAATAAGTCAAACACAGTGACATAAAATCGATGATTTCCTGATTATTATTTATCAAAACCAGAAGGTTGATATACCGTCACGTAAAACATAAGCGATATTCATGAGCGCCAATCTGCCTTAGTTAGACCTCATGTACAAATCAAACTAACGAGATCGTTGTGGTTTCAGCCTCATATCATCAGTAAGGGTAGCAATAGTGGTTCTGGCACGGCTCCAAATCGTTCAATTATTCGTCCAAAGACAGTAACACCAAGAGTTGAACACTAATTAGAGCCTTAGAGGCTATTTACTTTCACGCCTTATTAATTTACATTATTTTATTATTGTTCTTTTTTTTTTATCTTCCATTTGCCAAACTCCAAATTGCCTTTGATTATAAATGATTCAACACTCGGGCAATGGGTATTTTCAAATGTTCTAAAGGTTGGAAGGTTTCCAAAAGAGATTAGACTTCAAGATAGGTGACACGCTTTGTTCTTTTAAAGGTGAGTCACACGATTATTTTTCTGGTATTCAATATCTTTTTGATATCATTCTGCTTCCCATTAGTCTTCATAGTAAGTAGTTTTATATAAATCTAAAGACGAAAAAAGGGCTGAATTCTCACAACTCGGGCCAATTTTTCGCAATAGAGTCCACCCCAGTAAACAAAGCGACAATCTCTTCATTTCTTCGCAATGTTTTTATTTAAAAATCTCCTTTGGGTCTAATAGTTATACAAATATGTAAAAAGTTGATTTGCGCAAGTAGTTGTATGTTTATAGTCTGATTTGCAGAGCACTTGCTAATATGCAGATCAACTGAGTAGCATCATTCAAGTTGTATTTCATCTATGGCATATGCTTGACTGTTGTAAGTTATACCGCTGATATGGCGATGTTATATGCGAAAAGCGTATTGAGAATAGAGATGCAAGTTTCAGAATTACGACTCGAATCAACATTTATTTGAATAGATCCAAAGCAATTTCAGAAAGAAAACGACTTGACTCTATTTATGAGTTATAATAATTCAGATAACACGGGGCGATTGCGCGACACAAGAGTGCTGTCTCAACACCGACCGAATGCGTCTCTTCGTTAATTTTTCTTGCGTTTACAGCTATTTCCAAGCCATAAAACACACGGAGTTGATATATCCCATATGAGTCACAGTTATAGAGCAACCAATAGGGCGCGGGGTTGATACATTTCATATAATTTCTTATTTAAAACATAGATATGCGATGTTTTCCTCGTAATTACTGCTTCTTACAAAATCACGTCCCATATATACGGTTGTAAAACACGTTTAACTTTATCCTTATAATGGAGTTTCTAAGTCGATTTAGAACGATCATCAAAATCAAAACGTCATGCTTTGCGGCATCAAAACGGTGTTTTGTGAATAAAAATGAAATAGCGAAATTTTGGATGAAACCAGAGATATTGGACGGACGTATGGAGGATTGTTTGGTTCACATAGAACCTCGAAATACGCAATTAATAAGAGACCGGCGTCGAATATATTGTGAACGTCCCATTAGTTAACGTAGTTAGTGTGTCGATATAAATACGGAGGCCTCGCATATAGGATTAGACGTGGGGATATTAGACATGGATAGATTGGAAAATGCAGGATCAGTCATGCCAAGTTTAGTTACGATTGTGGTGTAGGATTGGATCATTAGACACTGGTAGTTGAAGTAGGGTTAGCGGGAGAAAGTAGAAACGGTGGTTCGGTAGGGACCGGACATCGAACATTTAAGAGGAATTAGCAGGAGGGGTTAGGCATGGGGAGATCAGGTATAGTCAGCGGGTGGGGTCAGACATGGGGAGATCAGGTCGAGATAGCGGGTAAGATTAGGCATGAGGAGGTTAGCGGTAAAGCTCAAAAGTATACAATAACAACCAAGGATTATACTAATGGATGTATATTTATATTGAGTGTTTATGCTTATGACAAGCTATATGTATAAACTTTACTTGAAAGGCTATATAATTTTATCAGTGTACATGCATATGCAATTGGCTGTGTATGTATGCAGGGACCGTACCGGCGCGCGGCGTTTCTTCCTTCCCTTTATTAACGTCTCAGGACGGTGTGCTATACTTTCTTTAATTAAGTCTACTTTGTCAGATAACGTGTCACTGTCTTTAAGTTTTGAGATATTTATTAACAGTATAATATTCAGTCAATAATAAGTCACAGTCTCCTCTTCCTAGTCTTTTTATTTTCCCAGTTTTCCTTTTCTAGTTTTATCCTTTTCCTTTCTAAGCGGCGATTCGCCGACTTATATATTCGACAGCACAGATGGGCCGCCAAAACGTGTCACATCGTTAACATTCATTTTGTTGTCGCCCCATCTGTTCAGTCGATCTAATTAAGGTTGACACTACAGGCTCCACTGTCGCGGTATTTGCACGTGTAAGTGACGTTATATTAAACGACAATAGAGGGTTGCCCACTGATACCAGCATAAGTTACCCCTAAGATTGGGCGGCCAAAACGTGTCACATCGTTAACATTCATTTTGTTGTCGCCCCATCTGTTCAGTCGATCTGTTTAAGATTGACACTACAGGCTCCACTGTCGCGGTATTCGCACGTTTAAGTGACGCTATATTAAATGACAATAGAGGGTGGCCCACTGATACCAGCATAAGTTACCCCTAAGATTTTATAAAGGGCGGTGTTATTATGAAATAGGGAAGGGGAGGCTGTAATGTCAAGCAATAGAAAAAAAATTCAATCAATAAAATATAAACATGCTCAAAAGTAACAAACAGGACGCACACAATAATGATGAATGGGGGCAAAACATAATCAAATATGAAGGCGGAACGGAAATCATTGATAAGTAATGTTAACAAACATGTTAACAAGTCATAAATGAGATATCGCGTAGACAGACAGACAAATACCCAGTGGCGGCGCGTCAATAGGGCTAATGCCCCGGTTGTTTTTTCGGTATAATAAAAAATATTCGAAAAATACCTCAATATCGGTTGCACAGACTGTCTACCCTAGCCATATTCTCCCGACATGGTTCATTTTTCGCTCGCAAAGTTTTCGCCGAACGTCGACGGGGCGACGCCGATTTTGCCCCGGTTGCTCATTGTATATCGTATTCTCTCTTTTATCTTCCACTCGCCGCGTTTGTCTCGTTTGTTTTCTGTTTCTTTTACTAAATCATCGGGGCTAGCCCCGAAATTATGACGACACAATGCCGACGTTTCTTACAACAACGTGTTGACATATTCACGCATTCCTTCTCGTTCGTTGGTTGCTTGAAGAGTTGATAGTTTCCTCGCCTTCGTTTTTGTCGCTTGTTTCGCTATTTGAATCAGTTAGAGACCTTTAGTCCATTTGCTTTCGATTTTCCACATTCCTTTTGAGCTCCTCACTTCTTTCCGGCTTCGCATTTCTTAGCCTTAGACCTCATAATGAATAAGGTTGATGCACTACTTCGCACTCCGTTTTCGCAGCTGCCGCTGGAACAAAAATTAGAGGTACAACGTCTTGGGCCTTATCAACCAAAAAATTGTTCACTGGAACAATCCCATGACGGAGGAAAGCGTCGGCGTACATTCTGCGCAGAAACTTGGTATAAAAAACACGAATGGTTGTGTTACAGCGAGGACAAAAATGCACTTTTTTGTTTTTATTGCCTACTTTTTGCTACCGCCCGTGACTCACGTTGGTGTAAATTTGGTTTTGGAGATCTTAAACATCTTTCCGAGCGTGCTAGGGATCATCAATCTTCTATGGAGCATCTGGACAATGCAGTAAAATACCGAACATTCGGAAATGTTAATATTGCAGCACAGTTGGATGAAGGACGCGCGGTTTCTATTCGTCGGCACAACCAAAACGTCGAGAAAAACCGCCATGTTCTCGGTCGATTGATAGATGTTTTGAAGTTCATTGGTTGTCACGAGCTGTCCCTCCGTGGGCACGATGAACGGGCTGGCTCTTCTGATAGAGGGGTATTTTTGGATATGGTGGAATACACCGCATCCCTAGATACAGTATTGAGAGATCATCTTGATGCCGCAACTGTTTCGAAAGTGACATCTAAGGTTATCCAAAATGATTTGCTCGACACAATGTATAAAATTTATTTACAACATTTGGCTCTGGAAATTGAGAATTGCCAGTTCCTTTCGATTCAGTCTGACGAGACAACTGACATCACGTGCGTTTCCCAACTGGCTGTGATTTTTCGGTTTGTGAAAGATGGTAAACCTACCGAGAGATTTCACAGCTTTGTACCAATCGTTGATCGCACGGCTTGCGGGATATCGGCTGTACTGAAAGACAGTTACAGCCTTACAACGCGAAGTCAAATTTGACCACTCAAACTTATGACGGCGCGGCAGTCATGAGTGGGTCGAAACATGGTGTTCAAGTTAATATAAAAGAAGATTTTCCTCATGCGCATTTTTTACATTGTTATGCACACCAATTTAACCTCGTTATTAAAAATATGTGTCTTGATACCCCTCTCGTCCGTATATTTTTTGCAAATGTTTCGGGGTTTTCTTCATTTTTTTTTTCGTTTCGCCGAAGCGCTCTGACCTCCTTCGCCAGATATGTAGCGGCCGTCTTCCAGCTTGTGCACCAACACGTTGGAACTTCCAATCACGCGTGGTGCAGGGCGTGTCCGAAATTAGGTCTGAGCTCATTGAGTGTTTCAATGGCATTCAGAGCTCTCCGGTTTGGGACGAACGCTCTGTGAGGGAGGCGGTAGGTCTAAAGCGTCTGCTAGAAGATGGTGAGTTTTCATTTTTTTTCGCTTTATTCTCCACAATATTCTATCACGTGGATGTATTATACGGCGCATTGCAGTCAAGGCTAATGCATGGAGCGTCTGTGCAGTCGTGTATTTCAGACTCCTGCGATGCTGTATCTCGTATCCGGGAAACAATAAAATACGACGACACATGGAGTGCTTCTTTACCCCGCGGGCAAACAACGCAGCGTTTGATTTTGTCTGCAAAGGAATGCTGTGACATTCTGTTGAATCACATAGGCGATCGTCTGCGCACTGAACACCTTGCCGCGTTCTCTTTGATGAACCCCAAAAATTTTTTAAAATTTGCACGTCAATTTCCCATCCATTTGTTGGCTACTGTCTCCAAATTTTACCCCATGATAAACGTGGGTAAATTGGAAAATGAATTGCGATGTATATACACCAATCAAACTTTTTTGAACATCACATCAACTTGCGCGCTCTATGGGTTCCTCATAGATAACACTCTAGTAATTACCTTTGCGGCGTCTGCAAAATTTCTGGACATCATTTTGACGACGCCTATTTCTTCTGCCGACGCAGAGCGAACATTCAGCACGCTGAAGCGTATTATAACGTATCTCAGAAACACAATGAAGCAAGATAGATTAAATTCCTTGGCTGTTTTATCCATTCACAGAGACGTTATTTCTGGGATGCATGACTTTAATCAGCGCGTTATTGAGCATTTTGCTTCCAAGAAACCGCGTCGTGTTGCATATATGTTCAAGCAGTAGAAGTCTAGCAGCATATAATCTATGAGTGAGCGACGCATGTCCTCATCTTTGCATTACCTTTCCTTTCTTCATAGTAACGTTTTAAACCTTATTTTAGGTTTTGTCTGCTTTCCCGAAGTTTCTGTTAATATGTCATTGTATTTATCTGGGTAAATATTGCCTTTCCTTTTGAAAGAGGTTTCAAAATAAACTATGTCTATATTTATTAATCCCTTGACTTGGACCGGTTTTAAAGACACTTTCTTATCGTTAAAAATCGTCGCTTTTGCCGATTGGTTGTTACCGATGGAATGGTTTTTATACTCATAAAATGATGGGAGAACTTACAGCGCTCATCCTGTCCCCGTAGATGGGGGTGACTTAGTCCCGCAGTAGCTTGCCCCGGTTGTCAAAATGACCACGCGCCGC